TAAGCTTCAAACAGTAAATATTGGTAAGTTATCCTATTATCATATTGGTTAAATAAATATATGCAGAGATAATGTTAATAAAACAATTAAAATCGTTTAATGTACTCTATATACCATAATAGATTACTTTGAAACCCGTATCAGTCACTAAACAAAAAATTGGGCTACTCTTATTACAAATTCGCTACTTTTAGACCATCAGCTCGCTACTTTTAGAAATTTGAATCTGGCAACCCTGTTTGGAGCAGCGATTTCGTTCACCTGATGCATATGTTCAACCAGCTGCAAATAGATACCTGCGAGTCAGAAAGCTGTTGTGGGTTGCATCCTGGAGAAGGTCAGAAGTCCTATGAGATCCTCGATAAGCCTAACAGAGTTCCGTCATCAATTATGGGAACAACACCATCCTACAGCAAATTAAAAATATATGAAGACTTCAGAATAATGATCCACCAATCATTGAAAACTGTTCAGCGGTAAGGGAGCTGGTCGGCCGAGCGGACAGCACGCTGAACTTGTGATCCTGTGGTCCTGGGTTCGATCCCAGGCGCCGGCGAGAAACAATGGGCAGAGTTTCTTTCACCCTATGCCCCTGTTACCTAGCAGTAAAATAGGTACCTGGGTGTTAGTCAGCTGTCACGGGCTGCTTCCTGGGGGTGGAGGCCTGGTCGAGGGCCGGGCCGCGGGGACACTAAAAAAAGCCCCGAAATCATCTCAAGATAACCTCAAGAAGATAAGTGAGGTAATTATCATAAGAACGCTCTAATCCTGTATATGACTATATAGTACTTGGAAGGGATATGAGGACGGAGCTGGGATACATGAAGACGGGAAGGAACAGTGCACAACACTCTGATCACTGGGCCGGGCCCCGCTCAGCAAGTACAACAGCCGCAGTAAACACAATTTCAACCAAACCCTAGGAATATTTCAACTAAACTTCGACTTTAAGGAAATGAAGCTAATCATTCAGTTGTACGAATCCTTGTTGTTCTCCCACTTAGACTACTGTATCCAAACATGAATACATTACTTATAAAAGTGCTTGATTTGGAAAACGTTCAGCGCAGACCAGCAAAAAATCATCCTAGAACTGTTACCTCCATTCAAAGGTTGTCAGGACTAACAACACTACAAACCAGACACGACAGTGCTGATCTCATATGAGATATTTAAAATACTGGACAAACTGGAAGACATTAAACCAGACATCTTTAAAAGCTCCAGTGTAATATGGGCAATAGCATTACCTGTAAGCTATAACCCTCTATATAACATAACAGAAGATGCTTTTGTACCCATGGAATCTCCTACCCGCCGAAACCACAAATGTAAAGACAGTGCTCCAGTTTAAAATACAGCTGGAAAAATCCTCAGATATAATTGCGAGAACCTTTGACAAGTCATATAACGGCTTCCCGGACCTCTGGTAAATTCATGTAGGTCAACTTGATGTAGCGTCAGTAATTGCAGACCTAGACGTAAAGCGGTTGGCGAATTGTGTTCCAAGTATAACATGGCGCTTAATAACCTAACATTTTTTTCCTGCGCACAAGGGCGAATGTTTGAAAGAAGCAGTGCCCAGTCATGTCACTCAGCTCACAGGATTTGAACCCAGGCTTCTCGCTAAGGAGAAGGGTGTGATGACCTCAACACCTATATCCATACCGGTTCCAATACCTTGCCTCAAGCTAAAGCTAAAATCCAAACATTCAAAAACAAAACAAAAAACTTGGACATTGAATTTCTTTTGCTTATGGGGTGTAGTAGCCTAATATTGTCGGCCACATCTGCAGGCGTTCCTTTGTTCATGGCCACCGACCCTTCCCACCTACCCCGAGTCTCGCTGAGTCCTGGCGTGGGCCACGCCTAGACTTCTAGGAAAATCATATCTTGAGGTGATTTCGGGGATTATCGTCTCCGCGGCCCGGTCCTCGACCAGGCCTCCTGTTTGTTACACACCTCCAGGAAGCAGCCCGTAGCAACGGTCTAACTCCCAGGTACCTATTTACTGCTAAGTAACAGGAGCATCAGGGTGAAAGAAACTTTTTGCCCATTTGTCTCCGCCTCCACCGGGAATCGTACCCGGAACCTCAGGACTACGAATCCGAAGCGTTGTCCACTCAGCTGTCAGGCGCCCAGGCTTCTCGCTAAGGCGAAGCCTGGGCGCCTGGTCTACATAGTTGTAAGTGCAGTGGGCTACATCTTAGTAATGAACTTTTTTCTAGAGTTCTTAGTGTAAGTTGTGTAAAAATAAATAACCACTACTGCTAAGAGAAATCACCTTGCTGAAGCTATTGAAGCAAGAACATGTCTTAGGGTCAGAAAATTCTTAGAAAATATTCAAGCATAATACTTAGGAGGGGAAAAGACCTTGAAGCAACAACAAACTAATATCCTGTCCCTATCAAGGCCATGCATAGACGCGGGAACCAAAAGACAAATTCATGCAAATTTCCGGTGCAAAATCATGCACGTGTTAAACATGGAACGACACTTCATAGATCTTAAGGAATACAGGGCCTAAGCACGCTAGTGTAGGCTACAATAGATTCCACTCGCATCCCATGCATGACAGACTAGAGATATATTGTATGGCACTGTATGTAAAATAAAAAATAAAATAAATAAAATGTTTATTTAGGTAAGGTACATACATACAATAAATTTTTACAAAGATTGGTTGACTTATAGGTAGAGCTAGTACATACAATGCCTAAAGCCACTATTACGCAAAGCGTTTCGGGCATGATAAACTTAAATGACAAGCTTAATACTAATTGAGCATAATGAGTAGAATGAAAACAAGAAATGAAAACATAGATGAAAAAGCAGCACAAATACAATTATGTCGACAAACAGCGCTCTTTACACACAAAAAATGTACTAGCCCTATCTATAAATCCATCACTCTTTGTAAAATCTCTTGTATGTATGTACCTTACCTAAATAAACATTTGACTTTTGATATCAGTAGAGATATATAAGGTGAGCCTAGCTGGCTCTAGGCCTACTGTACACTCTTTAGCCCAAGTGATAGCCTAAAGCGTTGAATCAGCAGTATGAAAGTGTCATTATATCTATAAACTGTTGATTCAAAACTCAAATTTAATTTCTAAAGCAAACTTCTATATACATATGCACCTTTCATGTATAAACAAAAACCTTACATGACAACAGACAGCTTGAAAAATCAAATAATGCAATCCAAGGAACTGCTCCGGTAGAAAAAGGACCTGTGTGAGGAAACAAGTGGCAGGCAGCAACAGAACCAGCCACCCTGTATTTGGAGGGGCCATGAGTAACATCCCGCCAGTGACTTGGCGAAGTTCCATCCACCACACTTCGGGGTCGTTGTCTTCCATGCTGCTTGAGATTTAATCACGGTGTCGCTAGAAACCTGCCTGGCCTGCAGCGGCCATTATGGGCCCTGGCAACCAGTCCCCATGCAGTACCTGTAGCGTAATAGTACCTGTAGCCCAATAGTACCTATAGCCCAATAGTACCTGTAGCCCAATAGTACCTATAGCCCAATAGTACCTGTAGCACAATAGTACCTGTAGCGTAATAGTACTTGTAGCCCAATAGTACTTGTAGCACAATAGTACCTGTAGCCCAATAGTACCTATAGCCCAATAGTACCTGTAGCGTAATAGTACCTGTAGCACAATAGTACCTGTAGCACAATAGTACCTGTAGCACAATAGTACCTGTAGCACAATAGTACCTGTAGCACAATAGTACCTGTAGCACAATAGTACCTGTAGCCCAATAGTACCTGTAGCGCAATAGTACCTGTAGCACAATAGTACCTGTAGCCCAATAGTACTTGTAACACAAGAGTACTTATAATGTGTTGTATATATAAAGACGTTTGTATGTCCGTAACTTTTCTTGTCACACATTTGTACTAAACATTTTGACCCAAAGATTTCCTATTACTGTATATTACTGTGTAAACACTCTATGCAAATTAAGGGACCTAGTCTATGGAACTCACTCCCTAGTGAATTGAAAAACTGTAAAACTTTTGCCTTATTTAAAAGCAAAACCAAAAAGTACCTAACTTCATCTATTTAGTTTCCTACACTGAGCTTTAAATTTGCTCTGTACCTAGTGTTACCCAATCTCCTAATTTTTATGTAATATCAAACAACCTTATAATTGTGTTCATTGCTGTCTTCTTTTATGTGCTAGCCATATGCTGTATTGTGACTACCAATTTTTGTCAACTACCATCCAAGCTGTCATTGCAATCAATCTTATATTGTTTCTGCTGTATTGTGCCTACCAATTTGTTGTCAACTACCATTTTAAGCTGTCATTGCAATCAATCATAGCTACCTATGTGCTTTAATATACTGTACCTATAATTTTCTCTCATCTTTTTTTTCATTCCATGTAATCTGTTATCATTTTTTGTCTATAAATTTTGCAAGTATTTACTTCCTTAAAATTTTCTTAGATTAAGGACCTGCCCGAAACGCTGCGCGTGCTAGTGGCTTTACAAGACTGTAATTACCATATTTGTATCCTCACATTCCTTATGTACATTCTTGTATATGCATAAATAAATAATAAATAAATATTAATGTTGAATTAAAAGGGGGCGTCAACATGATAAATATTGCCGAATGTCTTTATAGTGTGAATTGTAACTTTTTGTAGGGCAAAGTGGAAGGTTTTATGGAAGTTTTTTTTAATGAAGGAATATATGTTTTCCTTAAATAAACAAGTATATAGTTCATTGGTGGGATTTTCTGTATCGAATTAAATATTCTTCCTAAATATAATATTATTATATTAGAACTAAATATTATATTTATAATATTTTTTATATTATCTATTTTTATAATATTATCTATATTTATATTTTTTTATATTATCTATTATTACTAAATAGAATATTATTATATTCTTCCAAATATAGGATTTTTATAAGAGCATCTGTTTATAATCCGCATCTTCAGTCAACACTTGTGACGAACGCCCCCAGACGTAAACATTGATGGCTCCACTCCTCAGGGCTGTCAGAAGATCCCTGGCCCAACGCCCAGTAAACCTTTTGTCTCCTATTTCAGATGTTTTGTTGTGATTTCTGACCTTGGGGTTAGATTTTTTTTAGCATTTAAGTTATCTGAATTTAGCAGGTGATACGAGGCCTGGGGCATAGCCCAGAGTGGCAGCGAAGAGGCATTTAAAAAGGGGAGGGAACAGAAGGCTGTTCCCTCCCCCTTTGCACTCAAATAATAATTATAATAATAATATTGTATTCAGGAAAAGTCCATACATAGATGCAGAGTTACAAATATAATGTTGGATTTATAGATAAAGCTAGTACATACAATACTTTAAATCCATTAATACGCATAGTGTTTCGGCAAAATTCGCAAGTTTTACGCACTCGCAAGATAATGTAAACTTAAGGGTTGTAAGATGTTAATCTCTTGATTGACAATCTGTTCATTTGAGATGGTTAAGTAAGTCCCAGCTCCATCTGGGTACACGTAACACGGTGGGTTTTCAGTGGGTTGAAATGAAATCGGTGGGTTTTCTTACTATTGATGAGTGTTGTAAATGCTGCTGTGCACATTCATGCCTGGCATTTTGCTTGGCGTTTCACGAGCGCTTTGTCCTGGGTTCGTATCCTGGCCGGAAAAGATATACTTGGCATCAATCCTTAACTGTAGTCTCTGTTTACCCAACAGTAAAATGGGTACCTGGTTGTTAAAGGATTTGGTGGGGTTGTATTCCGGGAAACATTAGGATTAAGGACTTGCCCGAAACGCTATGCATTCTAGTGGCTGTACAAGAATGTAAGAACTTTTGTCTAAATAAAAAAGGAATAAAAACATAAAAAAAGTGGGAGTTTGGCTTTACAACATTTAGGTTACTAATATAAAGCAGTAGAAAGCTTTTAGATAATTACTGTATTTGACATTTAATAAACATTTATTTAATTGTACATATAAGAAAAATTATTTCAGAGTGAAATATTCAGTGTGATATTGATTGTTTTTGTCAACAGGGTGTGTGAGCTGTAAGGAATAAGCAGTATAAAAGATGTATCCAGCCAGTCCAAAGTTGGGTCTGGCACACCTTGGTGCATCCACCTTCTTTGCCTCAGCTCACCCCAGTGAGTCGTGTGGCAGCAATGGCTTGCCACTCACACCAAATTCAATCAGAATCTATGGTCGTGCTCGAGCCTTGCACCTCATCAACCATCCCCACTTATGTTCTTATGTGGATATTCACAGAGGAAAGCATGGTGAGCCTTATACTAACTTATAATTAAGTACTATAATCAATTTATCCCAATTCAGCATTTGAGTTTCCAACTCGTTTATTGAAAAATGTTTACAGTAATCATCTGCACCAGCTTTTAATGCACAGAAAACACTAAATTTGCATAATGGATCTTTCAATGAAAAATCTTGTGCAAATTTTATTCAGGCAAATCAAACTGAAGCTTTTATGGGAAATGAATGGATTCATTCCAGTTCTCCTAAAGTCAGATTATTTTTCACATTTTTTTAAACAAATACAATACAGCACAATACAAAAAACATTCATACCATTTTCCCCCACAAATGCATTGTTTCCTTTTACATGATGGCTCTGTTCACCTAGTAGTAAATAAGTGTCCTGTAGTTAAGCAACTGTTGTGGTCGCATCCTGGTAAAGGGCATTGGTCTTTAGCCTGGGGGAACTTCGATAAGCCTAACAGGCTTCTTAGCCTCGAATATGGTAAACTATGAGGTGAACCAATATACGTAACTAGAAAAGTGTGTCATACTTTCAAATGAGAAGGGTAGGACAGATGTGGTGCTGTCTGCTATAGTTCTCTTTAAGTACTGTATAGTCATCTATATCCTATCTGGACGAAGGTGACCCGAATAAACAGTATTGTTCGAATATGTGGTCGCTCATGAAATATCCAAATAAATTTTAGTGTTAATACCTCGTGTGAATATTTGAATTACCTGTAGCACATTTGAAGGAATTACTGTTTTATACCAAAAAGTACAGTAAATAGTATCTTGATGAAAATATTTTGTTAGCATGTGAATTGAGGTGATAGACTGTAATTTAATACAGATATCGGTGTCATTGTATGCACCCATAACACCGAATTATCGTCAGTAAACTTTTAATTCTTTTTACTAATAAGATATGGTACTTCAGAGAGAATAATGGTGATTCAAGAGTATTATCTGCTGAACTTGCGGATGGCTGTACAGAAGTATCCAGAGTTTAGATGCCACAGAAGTCTTGCTAAAGTGGCCTATCAGGTTGGTTGTTACTGATCACCAATAGTAATTTGATTATAGCATGCTCCGGATTGTAGAACCCTTGCATGTAGCACCATGTAACTAGCCGTGGGGGTTAAATAATGCTTTGTTCAGATACGTTTAGTGTTATATGTTAATGCTCTAATGACATATACCAGGAGATCTGGAGATGAGATTGCATTATTTCACATCACAATAGTTGACATCATCTTGGTCATTCTCAATGCTATAATCAGTGATACAGCTCTGTATTCATATTTGATACAGTACTATAAACATAATCTGAATACAGCATTATTTGACCCCCATGTGATGTCAGGACAAGGAGTCCATAAGTGAGTATTTAAATCAAGTTGACTTTCTAAACTGTACTTGCAATTTGCATTTTGTTGACAAGTGCTTCCTCAAAAACATGAAATGAATTTCACATTAGTAAATAAATTCATATTATCTTGCATATTTAGACTATTTTATGTTCATGACTGCATATGAATATAATTTTAATGTTTCAGGTGATTCAAGGACTTGTATACCTTAATAACTTTGGAACTGTCAACTGCAATTTAAGCCCAGAAAACATCTTGATTGATCCCTGTGGTAGAGCCAAGCTGTATAATTATGGTCTTTTCTACATGACAGAAGCTGGTACTGCAGTTTCCTTTCCTCTTGGGTTAGTTATTTAAGATTTATTGTATGTCTTTAGCAAATTTTAATACATTCTTCAATGTTTGTATATTATGCAGTACATCACAATATATAAAAATTGGATGAAATGTGCACCAAGTGAGAGAGATTATGACGACGATGTAGTTGTTGTATTGCAACGGGTTTCTAGAAATTTGATAATCATTTGTACGTGAATAAACAAACATGCTTATTAATTAAAAAGAGAGCAGATAGATGTAGATGTACTAGCTAGATATTTAGGCAACCTCAGATCTCCTTGGTCAATTATAATTATCCGACTTCCTTGAGAATTGAGCCCCCCAAACTTTGGACAGATCAAGCAGTCAAGTGGCTGTGGAGAAAATGGAGCAGACCATCAAGTGTCTATGTGAGTGTAGCTAAATAGAAAAAAACATAATGAGGACAGGAGTAACCGAGACCAACTGGTCTGCTACCTGGGTAATGTCACAATTTATTTTATAATACTATTCATAAAAACTTTTCTGATCTAAGTCTCCTTGATTGCTTCCTTACTTAATGTTTGTCAGCATTTTCCATATTCATCACCCTCCAAACTGCTTATATTATAGAAATGCTGTCAAATTGGGCCAGAGCACAGAAAATGGTCAAAAAGTGGCACCCAAACATTGCCATAATCAAAACATAAATGCATTCAAATGATAAAGTGATTGGCTACTTCAGAAAAGTTTTAAAAACAGAAACAGACAACATTGGACAAGTTCTTTGCTAAACCAAGTGTTAGTGAATCATTGGCAAAGGAAATAAAATAACAACTATCACCAGAACTGGAGTTACCTAATGTTTTAATGGAACATGACTTCCCCTCTAAACAATAATACCTTTGCTCCTCTTTCGCTTCTACCATCATCTCTCCTCAGTACAGTAAAGGTAAAGTTCTGTCAAATTTGTATTTATGAATTATTTTTGGGAGACTGGGAACAGATTGCCAGTTTATTGAATTTCAGTTACCGGTAGGCAAATCAAAACAATATTTTTTATTTTTATTTTAAATACTGCACTCACTTTATTTAATCATATTTTATAATATTTACATCTGTAGGAGCATTCAGTATACAGCACCAGAGATCTTGCTACAAGGATGGAGCCAAGAAGGAGGTACTGGTGGGGCTACAGTGTCGGGTAATCCCGCCTGGGATGTTTGGTCTCTTGGCATGATTATGGCTGAGATTATAATGGGATCTTCACTTTTTAGTAGGTAAGATGCTCAGATAGTAATTTTAATTTCATTGGTGCAAAACTAGCATGAAAGAATTCTAGTGCTGTAATAATTTTTACATAAATTTAGATTAAAATATTATGAGTCAGGCTTATTCATATATAGACCAGAAATGTCTTTATTATTATGAAGATACAAGTGGCAATTTGAATATAGTACTGTAAGAACTGACTAATTCTGACCTCAGTACTCCAGTTTTCTGGTTAATTGAACCAAAATCAAGCTGCAAGTTCTCTTGGTTCTCTTCCCTGTGCACACTCTAGTGCTTCCCTTGCACTGCCAGGGTTCTCTTCCCTGGAGTGTTTGGGGACGTTCCTAAGGAGATCTACCTCGCTTGTGGTAGCTTTCACCTTGGAGTGAGTCTGGGGTTTTCGCCCTCCGTCTTGCCCTCGGTTTAGAGCATATTTGGCTAGTGGGATGTCACGGTGTATTTGCAGCTGCACTACAGCATGCCGAGATAGGTTTTCCTAGTCGAGTGGTTTAAACTGGGTTGATTTACCAGAGAGCACCGGCATTGCATCCCAGTGCCTGGGCTTCTCGCTTAGCTCAAGCTTTCGGGCCCTGAAAATTCCCATCGGGTTTGGCAGTCCATAAGGGTATACCTGTCAACCACGCCCTCGCTATTTGCAAGGTTCAGGGTCTGTTCCATGGACAATGTTCATTTGCTCTGCCTCCTCCTGCTCCCTGTTGGGTCGCTGACACCTTCAACCCTGAGTTGTGCGGGGTGTGTTCCCAATACGCCTTTCTTCTCCCCAGCCCTCCTGTTGAAGTTCGGGCTTCCCAGGCAGTGACCATTCTTTGTCTTCGTTTCTCTAGGTTACAGCAATCCAGGTTGTGTGCCCAATTGGATGCCCTGGAGCTGCCCCGGTTGGGTTTTAGGGCCTTGGAATTGCAGGTTTTGGTCACTTAGACCTTGGGCTCTGCTGTTCCACTTCCTCTTTTTCCAGTTTGTTTGGTGGTGCCCACCCTTCTTTCCCTTCCCCACCCTCTCAGCCCCATGGCGTCTGAGGGCTTCGGGGTCGGGGAAGGGTTTAATAGCTAAACGTCACTTCCCACGAGGTAAGCATAGGCTCTACTCATTACATCAGCCTGTACAGTACTTATTAAGTCTTATTCAATTGAACCATTTCTAGTTATAGTATTTTTACCTTGATCCATTTTTTATTAAAAAAATTTACTGATGTTTTGTACCTTAGAACATTGGCAAAAGTTTGTTTGTTAAAGGCAGTAGAAAATGTAAGTTTTCTGTCCATAATTTTCAGGTATGATAATGTTGAAAGCTTAGTGTCTGAAGTCTTAAGAATGTCTATGGCAAATGATCCACTCCACTACTTGTCACAAACTCATGATGCAGTTACCAAGATCGGTGTAAGTTTATATTATACTTAGATATGTAAAAAGTATTGGCATAATTGACTAAATCTACATTAGGTGTTTTAAAGTACAGAAATATTATATTATAAAACATAATTTGTAAATGTTTGGAAAACTGTGCACCTAAAACAATACAATTTTTATTTTGCAATGCAGGCATTAACAGAAGAAATGAGAGATTTTCTACGCCTTTGTCTGACAGTGGACCCAGAAGACCGACCAGTACCACGCAACCTGTTGTCCCATGTGCTCTTCAAGCCATTTGTTATTTCATCTTCTCTTATTCCTGTTCCTCCTCACTTCCCAGTTATTGATCCCTCTCTCTGCTTGGTAGATTTTGTACACTATAAGGTAGGTCAAATATTTTAATTGTGTTCATGTATTTTTGTTATTTTCAGTATACTGTACAGTACTGTATATTCTTTTCTCTGTCAAGTTAATAAATATTAATTAGAAGTACAGTACAGTGGACACCAGATTGAATGAACTAATAAGGATAAAACTCTTTTATTTGATAAGGATAAAAGTGCTATAAGATATGGAAAGCCACTGAAGTGCTGCCCAGAAATGTCATTACATTAGTCTCATCTATTTTTTTTTTTTTTTGACAGGCCAAATTAGGAGTGATGGAAAATGAGAGAGATCAGCTCATGGAGTATCCTTTGGTGCCTGATGATGATTTCATTCAACAAACTCATACAGATGAAAGACCTAAACTTAGGTGATGATTAGCCTTGCAGTGTATTCATCTGGTAAATTTGAACATGTATCATTGAGGCTGAAATTATTGTAACTCTTAATTTTGGTAGAATCAACAGTACAGAATTTTGTAATTATTAAAATTATATGTTTTCAGAACTGGAAAGAGAGACCAGCTGTGTGAACGTCCTATGAGAGAGGTGTACCATTTATGGCAGTTGGCTGGCGGTAATGTAGAACAAGAACTTAGGAAGCAAAAACTTGTTAGGATTAAACCAGCCATACTTACACTTCCCAGGTATATGTTTTTTATTATTAATTTGTTCAAGTGTATTTATATTAGAATATCTTTGAGAGTTTGATGGCCATCAGTAAGTTAGTGAATTCATATTTCATTCATACTCAATTCATGCATTGTATTATGAATATACAACTCTTAAACCAGAATACTAAATAATCTCATGACTACTGTATCTATGGCAGTACTGGAGTTCATAAAATACCTTATTAAATTTCGTAAGGAATGTAGAAGCAATTTCCCTGAATATTTGTACAGACTTTTAAGTATAAAGTGAGTTATACTTGTTATATCTGTTGTTATTTTAACTGTTCTGCAACATGGGTAATTGTAACCCTTTTTTGTTTGATAATTTGCCAGGTGAGAGGGAAGGAGAGTGATGTACAGAGGTAATGGAAAGATGTGCTGATACATTGTATTACAAAGTATCCCCGTGGCGCAATGGTAAGACATTCGCCCAGCGCTTCACAAGCGCTTTGGCCTGGATTCGTATCCTGGCCGAGGAGGATTGACTAGATGCCAATCCTTAACTGTAGCCTCTGTTCACCCAGCAGTGAATGGGTTCCTGGTTGTTAAACGATAAAGCAAGTCGTATTCCAGGGAAAAATTAGAGGGTCCCGGTAGTACAATACAGTCGGATTTGTTCTTGACGCACAATCGAGAATTCCATGTTCAAATCCCGGGTGGGACAGAAATGATTGGACACATTTTCTTTTACCTAATGTACTGTTCCCCTAGCAGTGAGTAGATACTCAGGAGTTAGTCAGCTTGCTATGGGACTGCATCCTGGGGGAAGGGGGGGCCTCGATAAAAGCCAAGCGTGTATGAATACACTCTGGCTGTCTGTCCCACGGCACAATGAATTATATAATTATTTACAAATCTCTTTTGAGATAATGTTGCTGCTCATAATCACATACCATTAGAAAATGTGTATAAGAAAATATTGTTTTGTATTCTAAATGTTAACAGTAGTGCCCAAGGAAAAAACCCACACTTGTTTATTTGTGAAATTTATGTAAGGAATTTACACCAAGTTTTTCACTCTCCTGAGTGCTTTGTCAAGGTCTGAGTGTGTGTGATTAGGATGAGACTTGCATCTCAATGTGTAATGACGTTGTCATTAGACTAATAATGTCTCAACGTCTAATAATATCATTAGATGTTGAGATGTAAGTCTTGTCCTAATCACACACTCGGACCTTGACAAAGCACTCAGGAGAGTGGGAAAGACTCGGTGTAAATTCCTTACATAAATTTCACAAATACACAAGTGTGGGTTTTTTCCTATGTTATTATGTCTGTGAGAAGACATTACCATTACTAAATACAGTAGTACTGAAAACATTGATTTTGTATCATGGAAGTATGTGATGCTAAGGACTTTGCAGTTTTGTAGCTTGATGATGCGGAATAGTATCGAAGGCAATGATATTGTTTATTCCCAACACATGCTGTCAGTCTCTCACTGCTCTGAGCTGTGGTGGTAAACACTTGTGCATTACTGAGGTAATCATTAAGACAATTGTAATGCTATTTAATTCTGCAAAGAAAGTATTTGAAAATGTACTATGAAATAAGAGAATGGCTTTCAATTAATAAATATACTATATTCTGTTTTGTGATTTTCTCCAACATCATTCAGTAAGAGTTAAAGTGGATTGTTTCAGTGTGATGGTGGTGGAGGGAGAAGTGTTTGGTGGAGGTATACACCGACGTCAACTGCTGGAGACTACGACCATCATTTTGCCACTACACAATCTACGTAACAGACTAGCTCACATACCTCCTGAGAAATATTACCCTCTCATTACTCAAGGGTAAGAAAACTTTATATCTTATTTGGTACTTGGGTAGCACTATTGTTTCATGAGTTGTTTAGTAGTAGTGATGTGAACAATTGTATTTATATCTGTAGAAAACTGTACACTGTTTCCCACTTCCAAGCCATGGAAAATGCAGTCTTGGAACACTCTTTAAATGAAAAGCTCAGAAATCCTCCTGTTGAAACACTCTTATGCTATACTTTTTTATATTTTATCTTTTTACCTTGTTCATCATTGTCACCTTCATGGATGACATAATTGTTGCAATAATTGTTGTATTATTAGAGCAGTTGTAGTGAACTTAATAGTGCTTCATGATTTAAAGATAGCTTACAGTTTCTCCACCAGAAATTAGTAAATTACACGTAACTTAATAGATGATTATTAAAAATCATAAAGAATGGTAGAACCTTGACTTTTTAGACCAACTGGGATCCAACCCATTCTTATCAAATCAAGGGTTTTGTCATTTTTCACTATTGTCAATATTTAAATGTGGATATGACGGAGCCCATTAGGCTTGGGAAGCTGTGCGCGAGTTGATTCAAGATTGGAAGGCAGGACCATAACAGTAATTTAACTCTAGCAAACACAGTTATGGACATACAATTAGGCAAGTACATCTTTGTGTTCATGTTTACTTCATGTTCATGTTTACCCGTTGTATTGCTTATTTATCCTTATATAACTTGAGATACTGGTGTGTAGGGTTTATCAACACAGGCTACCTCAGCCTCATCTTCACACGACAACATAACAAATTCTGCCTACAGATAACATACATAATGTACAGCCACTTTGTTCAAATTGCTGAACATGTAAACATAAATTATTGTTATCCACTTTCCAACTTTCATTGGATGGGGTGGCATCATTCTATAGAAAAAGTGAGTAATAAAGTATAAGATGGTTATAGATATTAAAAAGGGTCTCATAGTACCGTTGGCTTCGTTACCGACTCAAAATCAGGTATTCCTAATCAATTCTCGACCAGAACCGAAATGGTTGGGCATGTTTCCTTTCATTTAATGTTGCTGTTCACCTAGCAGTAATTAGATACAGGAGTTAGGCAACTGTTGTGTGGGTTGCATCCTAGAGAGGGTCAGTAGTTCAACCTTGGAGGACTTTGATACAAGCCTAAAGTAAGCAATTACCTAAGTGTAATTACACTTAGGTAGTTACACACACTTGCTGTCACCTCCACCAACAAAACAGATTACATAGTAAAAATGATAAAATATCACTTGTCCATTCATAATGCTGTATCATTCGCAATACAATACAGTTGATAGCATCACAGACAGACAAGTGCCACCACACTGTGGCAGTCATCCACAACTGCTCTCCATTACCAACATTTCATGTTGGAGGGATTTCTCAGCTTATTTAGTGAGGAAGCTGAGAAAAGGAAATAATAATAATATTTTGTAAGTTAATGTAAGTTCTATGTCATAGAAGAGTACAGATAGTAAAGTACTGTAGTTAAATAATTGTTTACTGTATTTAGCTATGGTTGTTAAAACAAGGATTTCGTCTTAAATTCATTGATATACAGTACTGTATATTAAGAATGCACAGTATTTCTTATCATGCAATTTATCATATACAGTACAGTATATGATAAATATCAGTTCTATAATTTTCATCAAAAAAGAGCAAATTACTGTGGATAGTATGTTTTGGGTGTGATCCTAATTTATACTGTATTGATTAGCAAACAACTATTGTATCATATAAACTAATGATAGGGTGCAATAGCAAAGTACTGTACTTTTCAAAATATCTACTACGAATATTATGCCATTAGATATGCACTTTAATCTACAAAGAAAAATCTAATTTCCTAGAGAATGTGGTAAAGATCATCTGGAGACTAGTAAGCTTCCACTCGTGATAAGAGAACGTGATGTCGAGTACCAATTCCATCGTTTGCTCATTTTTGAGAGATTACTTCAGGTAAGAAAAGAGGAGAAATTTGACAGGCCGTTGCTGTTTTCAGATTTTTTCTGAGTTATAAAACAAGGTTGCTTCCTTAGGCAGTGGCCTAAGGAAACAACCTTGTGCAGACGATGAGTCACAATAACGTGGCTGAAGTATGTTGACCAGACCACACACTAGAAGGTGAAGGGACGACGACGTTTCGGTCCGTCCTGAACCATTCTCAAGTCGATTTGACTAGTGGCTGTACAAGAATGTAACAACTCTTGTATATACTGTATCTCAAAAAAAAAAAAAAAAGATTGTAAAGACAATCGACTTGAGAATGGTCCAGGATGGACCGAAACCTCCTCGTCCCTTTACCTTCTAGTGTGTAGTCTGGTCAAGCAACCGTGTCCTCCTCTAGTCCAATCCTTCAAAAGGATTGGACTAGAGGTAATCACTCCCTTACTGCTTTATGTTTTTGTACTGCTTTTACCCCTTCTCTTTGTTTTTATTACTAGTACAGATACAGTACTGATAAAGTTACCACTATACTCATGTTGAACTTGAAGGACAGTTTCCTGCTTGGTGTCTTAAGAAGTCAGTTACTGTATCAATTATTTTGAATGTATCTTTTTTTTTTCAAGCTAGCAGTGTATAGATATTTAATAGTGTAATTTCTGATTACATGAACAAGTTGATCATTATGCAAATTACTAGAAAAATATAACCTTGAATCTGTTTCACTTGTTATTATAGCAATGTCATATTTTCCTGATCTAATGATACTAATATTAAGTTGTTTAGGTATTTAATTATAGTAAGTTTTAAAATTATATTCAGTGGCATATTCTATATTTTGTTTGTTTTAATTTCTCAGTCATACCCATTCAAGGCAGAAAGTATTCTGCGAGAAGCTAGAAAAGACACTCCTCCGTTCTACCGAGCTCTAGTATGGGCATCACTTCTGGCCGTTGATGGTGCTGTAGCACATACCTACCACCAAATTGACAAGGAAACTCCTACTCCAACAGACAGACAGGTATTTCATCAACACTATATTTATTTTCTTTTGTCTTTAACATAGTAATGTGATATGTTTATTCAGGAAGGGGGGGGGATTAAGAATGACATTCAGTCAACCATCTCTTTCATTATCCTGCAAGATTTGTCGTTCTTATTTTCTTTTATTATTTATCATTAACACAAATTCAGTAATTTATCCATACTCCTCTTAACTACATATGCTTCAACTCGGTTACTTCACCACAATTTTGGTACCCCTCTGTGCAGCTCTGTTCTTATTTGCCACAACATCCTTCATCAGTTTCATTATACCAACCTCTTTTCTACTTACATATTTCACACACGTTTCAATTCACCCATTTTGTATTTTATTTACAGTCTTCTCTTTCATTACATACACTTTCAACATCCACATTCATCATTCTGACTATTATTACTACAGTGAAAACACAAAAAAAATACTGTACAGTATTTAAAATATATTTTCTGAACTCCACTGAAGAGAGATAGAACAGATGGAGTTTTATATTGAAACTGAAATTGATATTATCACAGGTGTCCTATACAAAGGAAGTTTTTAGTTACTGAATAAGAAGTCAGAAGAAATCTGGAGAACTACTAACTGCTATAAACACTGATGCTTAAATATTTAAACTACTATATTGATTTTCACGCAGATTGAGGTGGACATCCCAAGATGCCACCAGTACGACGAACTGTTATCGTCACCACAGGGACATGCCAAGTTTGCACGCGTTCTGAAGGCCTGGGTGGTGTCACATCCTCATTTGGTGTATTGGCAAGGCTTGGACTCACTCTGTGCACCATTTCTTTATCTCAACTTTAATAATGAAGGTCAGGAATTTATAATAATAATAATAATAATATTAATATTAATAATAATATTAATATTAATAATAATAATAATAATAATAATAATAGTTCTGATGGCAGATTTTTGCTGAGCAATGATGGCTTGAGTTAATTTGCAGTGATTGAACCCCATGCACAAATAGCGTATGTAAGATAGGGATAGATTAGTGCGTGGTATGATGAAATGAGAGCAGAGTGGGGCACATAATACAGTATCTGATTTGAAAAAGTATACCGACCGTTTTTTAGACTTTTTAAGCTACATGTTGTATATGTGTGCTGAAGTTCAGGCTCTTGTCTATGTATAGGCCAAGGAATTTTTTCTCAATTTTATTGCTAATGTTAACATTGTCTATCTGAATTTGAATTTTATTTGATGATTTACTACCAAATAAAATGTAGTAAGTCTTTTCTACGTTAAAATAAACAGAATGTTCGATAATGTTCAGTGTAAGTTTGTTGGTTAACATCTATGAGTAGACTCTTTTAAATTCATTACTGACAATATTATTTAGTGTGTGGGGGTTGATATTATTGTCAGCAAATAGTATAGGTTTAAAAATATTAGAAACATTTGGCAAATCATTGATGTTTATAAGAAATAGGAGAGGTCCCAAGATGCTGCCCTGTGGCACTCCTACTGTTAATGGTAGACTGGGGGAGGTTATGTTATGTATGGCTACATATTGGTGTCTGTCACTGAGATAGGAAAGCGTGACCTCTCTTCAGGTCACTAAAGAGGTCAAGTGGGAACTCATTTTGGCAAGGGATGTGTAGATTATATTAAGCAGACTAATAATAGCATCATTGGTACTCTTTTTGGGAACGGAAGCCAAACTGGCAGGGACTTAATATGTTGCATTTTACAAAGTAGGAATAAAGCAGTTTGTAAATATTTTTTTTTCAAATATTTTTGAAAGTATAGGTAGATTTTATAATGGTCTGTAATTATTTGTTTTATATATATTAATAATTATTTATATTTATTATCATTTGTATGGCAGATAATGAGCCATATGTTTAATGTCATGTGTAGAGCTTGTTCACTCTTAAGGTTTAACCTTCTTCCAAAAAACTTATGTAATGATTCTAATGTTTGAGTGTGCATAAATCATAACTTTTCCTTATAGGATACTTTAGTGATATAATTGACTATTTCCTCTTTGCTAGCTCTGGCATATGCCTGCTTGTCTCAGTTTATCAACAAGTATCTACACAAGTTTTTCTTGAGGGACAACAGTGCTGTGATACAAGAATACCTGGCAAAGTTCTCCCATATGATTGCCTTTCATGATCCACAGCTTTTTAACCATCTGGACAACATTGGCTTCATCCCTGAGCTATATGCCATTCCTTGGTTTCTCACCATGTACACACGTAAGTAATGTATTACAATACTTGACTACATAAATACAGTATTAACTTGTTTTTTAGTTTCTTTTCAGGGCTGGCCCTCCTCAGTAGCTCCCTTGAGCTTATAACACAGGCTCACTAGGGACATACTGAGTATGCCTCGTTTCCATGCCTACTAGTTTATCCACCAATGAAAAGCGCATTTTCAAGCTATCTTGCCCACTTTATGGGGCTGGAGACCCTGGTAGGATAAAAAAGAAGCAACCCTCTGTTTAGGTGAATTGCTTACTAAACATTTGGAGAGTTACAAAAAACTCAACCTCCCTCCCAGCAATGTTTGGCAACATCTACATCAATGAACAAAACCCTTAATTTAAACAGTTTATCAAGGTACTTATTCTCCTCCCACAATAAGCAACTAAGGATCCTGGTGAGGTGAGCACCCTACTCTTATGTCAAAGTTCACCTACTGACATGGAAAAGAAGGTAGACACTGTTGGAATAGAACTGAGATGCCACCCAGAAAGGGACACTTCATAACACTCGGTGCTTTATTTGCTGTAAAGATAAGTTTTCTGAAGTCAGATAAGTTGCTTAGATTTATGTTGAATGCCAGTAAGCAGGGAATGTATACTAGTCATTTTGTATGTATCTTCCATTTCTTTTCATGGCTCTTTATGCCCTCCCTCATCCATCAGTAATGGAGTTAGGTGTTTGTTAGTTATATTGTTAGTCTCTTGTGTTTAGTAGCTTCATCTTAGGCTCTTTTTTGGAAGGGATGGACCCAGTTTCCTGTGCTTTAAGAACGTTATTTACTCTGTTTTCCTGCTGGTTGAGTCATGATTGATTCCCCACAGTTCAGAGCATGACTGCTGCTTACAGCCTTCCATGATATTTCATGTTTTATTTTTAACACCAATAGATATCTAAGTTCCCATTTTCATACAGTCTCTGGGTTCATGGGCATTTTAAACCCTCTTGAGTTCAACATGTGTCATTACCAGACCTCTTTTGGCAGTGGCTCATCTCTTAAACTTATGCCTTGCAGTACAGGCTTTCACAGCCCCAGGTTGTAGCTGGTATGGAGGCAGGGAGTTGTCCTCTGTTTTTTCCAGGGGAAGAGGCGTAGCTTCCACCTGCTGTATGTCCTTTTGTCCTATTTTCTCTCACTTTAAAGAACCTGACCTGGTCAAACTTCTGTGCACCAAGCCTTTTAGCCTGGCTGCTTTGGATATGTCGTCCTGTGTACTCTGGACCTTTCGCTTCCTCCAGATCCTAGGCTTTAACCCTCTGTGTGGGCTCTATGGTAATGTGTCCTGGGTTCTTGGGCTTTCGGTTTCGGAGCTGAGTGCATAAATTCTTTTGGGTATGTGTACTCCGGGCATTGGACCCATGTGTCCTGATCCTCTTGTTTAGCTGGGCTGATGTGCCAGGTTGGTGCTGCGGCCAACTGGGTTGGTTACCTTGCTCCTCTGGGGATGAGGGTATATCTTTACCTCCTGTTGTACTGTATTTTCCTATCTGGTTGGGGGGGGGGGAAGTACTCTCTCTAGTTCTATTTGAGTGTCCTTGGCTTCCCATTAAATTTGTGGTCCCATTACATTTGTGGTCTTCTCACTTTCTGTTGGAGGCCCACCTGGCCCTTTTCCTCATACTTAATTAACAGAATTTGCAGGATCAAATTACAGTTCCATGGGAGGGTGCACTATATATATAAAAGTAGGAACATTTTTAAATCCAGAAATTGCTTGGCCCCAACTTTTTTATTATTGATGTTTAGCTGTACACTATCTTGTACAGTGAGGAATATCGTCCATTTTGTGACAGGCTCATGCAAAATAAGTAGTTAGTAAAAATGTGTTTAAAAATCAATATTAACCCAAACACTTTTTCAACAAAACTAATGGTATTTTTTCTTGCAGATGTTTTTCCATTGCAAAAGATTTTCCTGTTATGGGATACTCTTCTGCTAGGAGAAGCATCCCTGCCATTATGCATAGGAGTGGCTCTTCTACGACAGTTGAAAGACAGACTGCTGCAGTTTGGATTCAATGAGTGTATTCTCCTTTTTTCTGATATGCCAGGTAAGATATTTTCTACTTTTTTTACTGAGAGTATCTCTAGGCAAACTAATTTTTAATGTTAGGATCATGCAAAGATATACAGTCATAATGAGATAATTCTTCCTTGATATTAAATGATGGTTATCTTTACATGCTGACTGCAACTCTTATCATTTCCGTTTCATTGATGCCTTATTTCTTCTTACCCTTGGAACTGGTCCAGCACTGTTTGTTCCAGTCATGAATTTTCTGGCTGCTTTCTTGGTGGTGCCTAGTACATTTCCATCCCCCATGGGGTTTCTTTGTTGAAGCTGCCATCTTTCATCCCAGGGCTGAGATGGGTTTTGGCTCAATGTCCGAGCTCCACAACTAACTGCTTACATTGAGGAGACTCTGGACTCCCATTTTTTTTTGCCCACTGACGGTGACATTGTTGGCTGGCTGTTGGTTCTCTCAGGGTTAAAGAAGTTCTTGATTGCCTCTTCTTGTCATCTTACTTTCAGTTCATCATGTCCAAGTCAAGCACTTGCATTCTGTTGCTTCTTGGGTTCCTCTCCTTTTCTGTGGTTTAGTAGTATTTTGCGAGTCTGTTCAGATAGACAGGATATTTCTTTCCTTATGGTACAGTGATCTGGGAGGTTTCCATTTGCCTATTGGGCTTATTGAGCTATTAAGCCCAATATTATTATGCTATTAAGCCCAATAAGTAGTACCTATTGGGCTTCTGCCCACTTGGCTCACACGTAGTCAGTCAGAATAGGCAGTCAAGGCTTTAAAGTTGCTGTTTCACAGGTATTTGCTGTTTCAGTGACTTGGATTCTCTTGGTTGGTGAACAGTATGATCCAGCCATCTTGTTATTTTTAGGACTGCTGCTATTGCTCTTTGGTGGTGTGTTCACATCTGCCATGTGCCTTGTTGGCATCATGTTTTAATGCAAGTAGTGTTAAGATCTGAGTGTTTGGATGAGCCTCACCCTACATGTATTTGTCTTGTGTTCCTGCTTGTTATATTTGCTGGATCACTCCTGACATGCCAGGTTGTGTATCTGTTAATATTTTTGGCACTGCTGGACTCTTGTGTTTAGTGATTGCCAGAAGTTTACATTAGCTGGCCCAGTGCAGATAATTTTGCTCATTTCTTGCGTGACTTGCTTACTCTCCTCGCCACCTCTGGCCTAATTCTTAGCCCTGTTCTCCCTATGCCCAGGTCTTCTCTTTTTGTGGCAGTCCAATCATTGTGTCATTTGAGTACATACTTTAGCACATCTCTGTGCTCTGCTGGGATATGGAACTCTGCTCCCAACTTTCCATAATCTGATTACCGATGTCTGCCTTCTGCTCTCATATCTTTTCAAGCAGTTTCAGGGTTTGCACTCCCAGTCCACTTCACCAGCTCTTATAGGATCCTGTGACCACGCCAGGTTTCTGGCACCCATCTTGGCATGTTGTAGATAAACATTTTTGAAACCTTGAGTTATCCCCTCTTCATGGCATGGGGTCTTGTTAGTATTGATCAATCTATAGTACTACTAATATAAACCTCCGAGAATTAACCCTGACCCTCAGGTGGCCCGACCCACGTGAGGGTCAGGGTTAGCAAGCTCCTCGCATACATTTGCATGGCATTGTTTGTTGCTGAATGGCATACTTCCATTACTGTTTAAAACAAAGTAGCCTGACTCATTGTTGCACTGTGTCTTGTATTGAGCCTCCATGCTTAGTCAGTTTGACAGTTCAATTTTGCCTTTCTTAACATCATTTAGTTTTGGCCTTGTTTCAGAGTTTCCTTCTGTCACAAGGACAGTCAACTTCCACTATAGTTATCTTCTCTGAGGATTGATTCATTCTTGAGAAAGATTTCTTTATAGTTAAACCTGTTTTGGGCTGTGCTGCAAGATTTTATTGGTGAAGCGATGCTTTGGAGGGGAAATGATATCATCAGTGTACTATTGTGTGTGTGTTGTACTTTTAACTGGTTTCACACTTGAGAGACGTTGAATGAATATTCCTGGTTAGATGATTCTTTGTCCTCTTCTCATTTGTCTTTTTTGAGGTTTGGTTCATGGTGCCAGCCTTCTTTGGCCATCTCACCCACTTTTCCATTGGCTCTGCCAGCTGTCAGGTTCTTTGGATCAGTTATATTTTTAATCCTAGCTTCATTATGTTATTTACCAAGCTTTAGTGCCCCAAGTTCATTCTTAGAGTTGTCATGCTTAGTCAGCCACATAAGATATTAGCCTTCAAATCACAAACCGCGAGAATCATGAAAAAACGTCAACATACAGTACAGGTATTACCAAATAAGATGATTTTTACTTTAAATCATATAGTGAGATTTCGTGTTATTTAGATCATTAAATTGCACATCTGTAATGTTCCTGATTTTCGATTAATTTTACCGAACGAGGATGTGCACAGAAATCAGCTCCATTCCGGCTTAAACTTTGAAATATGCAGTAAAAACACGATTTCCCTCATACGTATCCTCATACTTCTTACTAAAATATTGAATAATAGAGAGAACAGTTTGGAAGCAGATAAATAAATATTTCATGGTTTGAATATAATAGGAAAGGATTTTAGATAACAGAACTATAATGGGCTGTAGTTCTGTTATCACAGGAGTAAGGCATTGTACAAAGGGTCTAGAATGATAAGAAAGCAACCATCCTGGAGACAGAAAATGGAGGAATATGTATAAGAAATTGAACAGAACATTTTTCTGGGAAAAGAAGGCATTATGGATTCAGACAATATAATAGCTTTCTAAAAACTAAGATGTAATCATTCAGATGAATGTCTCATTCCAGAATATCACATATGTTAGTAACCCATGGTGATTGGTATTCTATATTCACAGATATTGATATGGAACGTGTTGTACGCGAATCAGTTCAAGTATTCTGCTCTACTCCTCCTTCAGTCACATACCGACAGCATGAACGACCTAGACTTGACCCTAGCAAACATAGCTCAACCTCTCCCCATCTTACTCAAACCAATCAAGATTTGGTAAATTTTATGCTGTATTTTACTATGCAATATCTTATCAAATAATATTTCAGGTATTCTTATTATTATTAAGGCTTTGGTTTGAACATTTATTTCTGTGGGGAGCCCTGTTGGCTACCTGAAGCTTTTCAAACTGATCTGTGCCATATTAGTTTGGATAGCTTCATGGAGCCTCCGAGGTTCGCCCAGAAAATGACGTTTTATTACATTCAATGCTGGTTTTTTATGGCCAAATTTTATAATGTATTCAGTAAGAATATTTCTATTAAAAATATGTAGGAAATTGCAAATTGAGTAATCCTCTACTTATCTATACTGTATTCTTACATTGCTCATTACTCTACAATTATTTACAGGCAATGGATGCAGTACCAGTAGCAGAGCTCAAGGCAGAAAAATGTCCTCGTGCTTGTGGTGCCGACTTATTGGAGCTGTTGGCTCATAAGAAAAGCCGCAGTGGCAGAGCCAAAGTTTTGGTGGTAGATATTCGACCATCTGATGAGTATCCTTTATCTCATGCCTTGAATGTGAACTTTAAATTTAATTCAATATCTATAGCTAATTTAACATAAAAAATCACTGCTTTACATATACAGTATATGTTATCAAGATTTAAGTCCGAGTTAGCTCCCATGGTTGGTCCTCCAAGCAATGTATCCATAGAATGCACCCCAGACTAAAAAACACAGCAGTCACAGTCAACCTGTTCCCTAACAAGTATCTTCTTTACCCGAGGGCCACTAACACACTAGTGGCCTCGATGAGGACAGGAAGCCGGCAGCTTATCAAAGGTCCCCCATTTGTCCTGATGATTTTTCTAGCTGGATTTTAAAATTCAACCGTTTTTTGGCATTTACAGCCTCAACAAGTAGTAATGGTCACTGAGAGGTCACTATCCATCACTGAGAGACCAGTTTGCTATGAGAAAAAGCAGGAAAACAAAACTCCCATATTCTACTATATTGACTGTGTCTTTCAAATGTATCTTGGGGTGCTGGGCTCTCTTAGAATGTAGACAATATGCTGCATCATTCCCTGGATGTCACTAACTAGGCATAATGTTGAGCTCTTTTTTTTTTTTTTTTTTTTTTTAATTTATTTATTTTAGTTATGGCCTGTTCTCACCATTGTTGATGGAACTTAGTTAGGTCAAACTCTAAGTACAGTACAGACCTCTTGCAACTATGCTTCCTTCCGAGTCCTTACTATGTTGGGGAGGGGATGTGAGAGTAAGAAAATCTGAAGGAAAGTCTTCAAAGTGTTGAGGAAATTTTTCAAAATATAATTTCCTTAATTTTTCAATCAGATTTGCCCGTGGTACATTGGTAGATGCAATAAATTTGCCTGCAGAATCCTCAATAACCCATGAAGGTTTGTTAGCCCCTGGACCCCAGTACGACATTCTTAATTCCTATCGGGGTAAAATCGTGTGCGTTATGGGTTCGCGGAACAACTGGGAACAAACCGTAAAGGTAAGTTAACAATGGATTCAGTTAAGCATTGGTAACACTCTTAGAATTAAGCAAAAATCAAAGCAGAATTTAGTCATGCCTGAAACTGAAAAATAATTTTACCGTACACTTATTTACTGTATAGTTTATATAAAAAAAAATACAATATTGAAATATTTTATTTTAGTTTGCAGAAATGCTTATAGCACAAGAGTTTCCACGAGTGTGTACACTGCATCGAGGTGTGGAAGTTTTCCGTGCATCAGGAGCTCTAGTTGTGCCAACCTGAGCTCGCTCACTCACTTCACAGTAAAGAGTATTAAATTATATCATTAATACAATAATGTGTATATTGTACTTTTAACATTTTATGATGATACTTTTACAAATTATATTGCCTCATTACAAATATTTTAACATGTTTTTTAGCGTTTCGATGTTTTTCAGTTGCATATTGAAGTCATTTTTGCCTAATTCTCTTGGACCTAATTGATTTGAAAGTTCTTTGTTTAAGTAACTTTTTACTTTTGTATACTGATTAGTTTTGCATCATTAGTACTACAATCAAGTAAAATATAATTAAAAAAAAACTGATCATCTTAGTCTTGTTTGGATAGTCAGAAAAAGTAAATTTGTACAGCATCAGTTCTAGTAATTATAATTCAACTTTTTTTTGCATGAATGTTGTTTTGGCCATTGCAAAATATTTAAGTAATGTTGGCAGATCAGATCTGATTAAATGTTTTAGAATTTCTGAAGTAATTATCAAAAGGCACCAAGCCGAGAAGGCTATGTAGCACCATCAAATGTGCGGAATATTAAAAAAGGCATTACATATCACTACTTAGGATGCCAATACAAGAACAAAAGCACACAAAGGGAACAACATCAAAGGTATCCAATTCACCAAGGATTCTGTCGAGGGACAAGTGACCGCGGGGAGGATGGTCGGGAAGCAAGACACACACATCCTGGAAGTCAGGACATTCAACAAGGATACACACGCCCATAAGAGGGGACAGTAAGGAGCAGGGCGGTGCTCCATTAAGTGCCAGTGAATTAAACGGGTATGGCCAATACGTAACCTCACCAGAGCTGTTTCCATCACCAGTTATGGTGGTAGGAGGAAGGCCAGAGGGACACGCTACCCTTAAGAGCATGCAGTTTTTTACCAGTAACAGAAGACCAACAGTCCTGCCAATGGGCAAGGATTAAGGAATGAATAACTAGGTAGAAGTCGAAATAAGGAACACCTTTGCTGGAAATGGGACAAGTGCAGATAGCCTCCTGTGCAGCAGCATCTGCACGCTCATTTAAGGAAACCAACATGGCTGGAAACCCAGCAAAACTCGACTGTCTTTAATCTGCTGGAGATGAGAAACAGCAGATTTCTGCTGTTTCTGCCAATGTTGAATTTCGACGACCATAGGATGGACAGGATTAAAGAACTCCAGAGCTATGAAAGCACTGAGTCAACTACAACAAAAAGAAAAATGAAGGCGAAAAAACAGTTTGAGCACAGAAAATTGTATAGATAGCATTCCAAAAACCACACAGACAGACATTACCCATACGTTCAAAAGAGTTTGCAGACGCAACTCATTAGAGCAATGGGGCAGAAGTCTTTACAGGATGACTCTAAAGAACCAGGTTTTCAAATAGCAAGAACAACTTTTTATAAGCCGCATTGCCACTTTACATTGCAAAACTGTCATTAATAAGCAGCCGATGAGTCACAGTAACATGGCCGAAGAAATTTTGACCAAACAACACAAGAAAGTTAAGAATCAACGACGTTTCAGTCTGTACTGGACCATTATCAAGCCATATAGATACGGGAGACCCAAGACAGTGATAATGGTCCAGGATGGATTGAAACATCGTTTCTTCACTTTCTGATGTGTGGTTTGGTCATCACATCTGTCATTAATAATTCATCAAAAAGAATTAAAGCAGTTTGAGACATTGTGACATCATCACTGAATAAGAAGAATGAATTAAAGCACTAATTGTATGGGCATTAAGAAATAGCTGTAATTATTCCTCCATACACGAGAGATAAGAATGACTTCAAGCGTTGAATCATCAACATCAACATTGATTTAATGTCAATAATGTTGTTTCAACATTACTTGAGCATATTTTGCCCACTGGGAGGAATAAAAACAGGAAGGAGGGGGAGAGGTGGAAGGATTGGGAAGTGAGAGAACAAAGTGAGGAGATATAAAGATAAAACAGCAAGGAAGGAGGGGAGGGAGGGAATTATCCGGGGAAAGCGCCAAGCCATTACTACTATATAGCACTGGGAAGAGGTCAGGATAAGGATTTGGGATGGGACGGGGGAAAGGAATGGTGCCCAACCACTTGGACGGTCAGGGGATTGAACACCGACCTGCATGAAGCTAGACCGTCGCCCTACTGTCCAGCCCAAGTGATTGGGTAGGAATGTTAAACATACATATTCTTGAGTCACTCTTGTGACTAGAACATCTGATAATTAGTGTGATTTATCTACCTATCTAGACAGCAGCATTGTAATGTCTTAGGTTTCACTCATACAACTGTTGTAGAAATTTTGTTGATATAAATTGCCACATTTCCATAAATTATAATGCAAAAATATACTACAGTTAGTATAATAAAACAAAAAACAAAATATCTTTTGTGTAATGTCACCTGTCAAGTGAGGGATACTGTACCATTCAGCGACACTGCCCCACAACCCGTGGTAAATGAGTTTTTAGACTGAAGATGCAAAGGTCCTCTCTAACCCCATGCACTTGAGAAATGGTGAGTAATGATTATGACTATTTATGTATATGCTATAAAGTATGAAAATGTAGATATCTTATTGTCTAACAATATGATTTATTCATATATAACATTTGTTTTACATTGGTGCACTATAATATACAAAATATAATTACTGCATATACTAAATCTAAAATTACACTGCAACAAGAGCAGGTAAAATAAAATGTTTAATACTCAAATAATGAAAATCATCAAGAACAGAAAAAGCTGACATGTAACAGTTTAGTAATGTTTTTTTCAGAAATAATTGTAGTTTGTCATAATTCATGACTTTCATGGTAGAAACATTCTGGATCACGGATTAAACTAAAGCAATTATGCTAAGTGGTTATATTTAATTAAACCCATTTGCCTAAACACACAATTGCAGTTTGACAATTATCTAAAACACTAAAGTTTTGAATTTTTACATAAACTGAACACAATACTGTTATACACATTTCTTATACTATATACTAAATTCACTTTACTATATACACGTTATGAAGGGAGACCCCAAGATTTTTAAGCAAGTGGGTAATAGGCATTCTAAAATAAATTATTATTAATGTTGTACAAATTATAAACAAATAGGTCCTTGACTAAGTATTGAGAATGTGAAGGAAAATGGTAAGGTAAAGGCATTGACTTCTAAAATAGTCAATGTCAATACATATACAGTATAGTTAATCTTTTAATATCTATATATATTTTCATTATTGGTAGGAAATTATTATACCGTCTCTGAATGACTATCATTTTATTGCAATTAAGTTGGCAAGTGCCACACTTTGTGATCCCAACTTGATAATTCACTCCATCTAACATGTACACAAAATTGTCCTTGCAATAAATACTATTTTATTTGTTATTTCCTATTATTTTTAATTGGTTAATCATTATCTTTAGGTAAATTGTTTAGTTTACAGTCAGTGACAAATACTAGTCTAAATGGACAGCCGCTGAAACATCACAGTTTACACAGTATAGGGTATGTGGTGGGTTTTTTACACCTATGTTCTGGAGTAACACATTATATGTGAGACCATGCATAATGGATGTATGTAGAGTAATGCTTTTATAAGTTACCAGTCTAGTAGCTACTATTTAGGTAATGGAGCCTAAGTTTGTCTCTCCAATTAACAATTTATTCCTCTCAAAGTACATTTGCTCAAACTATAGAAACATAGTTTATACTGTGTTCCACTCTTCAAATCGGAACTTTAATCTGTATTTGTCATGTACAAATTTCTTATAAATTTATAAGAAACTATGTCAAGTGACACTTGATATTTTAATTTTAACACTTTGGCTGCAATAAATGATACTGGGTAACAGCTGAAAATACTCCATAGAAAGCAATAAGCTACTTTTGTCCACATGCCTTAAAAAAAGTGTCAACTAGGTTTTCTGTCCTTCAAAAAAGCCCTAGACTCAGTACATGTTATCAGCAATTAATGGCAGAATGTAATATCACCTTATGTGATAGTTCAGCAGATAATTTACTTGAAACAGTCAAAGCAGCATCCACGAGGACCTTGCCCCACATCCCCAAGGCTGCCCGTCATCAAGCAGCAACCAAACTCACCAGTCTGCTGACAAAGGTCAACAATGCTCCTAGAACTATTGGAGCATGGCACAATCTCCTACTGTTTGAGAATGCATGCCTTGCATTACTGCCGCAACATGCCTAGCATTACTGCAAGTCATTAGCAACCTCAGTAATTAGGGTTCTTAATGAATTTCCCAGAGAAGATAACCTTGTCCACCTCCCCCCCTTGTGACAAGAACACAGGCCGCAGGACGACCAACAATAGCCCACCTGAGAACCACAAAATGAGAGCACAGATCACCAGGAAAATAGAAGAGGGCAATACCACTGATGCAATCAGAATCATAACCAGTGAGGACACTAATGTCACGACAGTACATGCTTTACAGGACAATTCACTTAATGGAGCAGGGCAGTGCTCCATTAAGTGCCCGTGAGTTAAACATGTATGGCCAATATGTAACCTCACCAGAGCCACTTACCACCACTGGTTACCATGGTAGGAGGAAGGCCACAGGGACACACTACCCATAAGATTAAGCAGTTTTTTACCAGCAACAAAAGACCAACGGGCAAGGATTGAGGAATGAATAGCTGGGTAGAAGTTGGAATAAGGAACACCATTACAAGAGATGGGACAAATGCGGATAGCCTCCTTAGTGGCAGCATCTGCACACTCATTTAAGGATACACCAATATGGCTGGGACCTCGGCAAAACTTCACTGTCTTAAATCTACTAGAGATAAGAAACAGCTTATGTTGAATTTCAACAACCACAGAATGGATTGGATTAAAGGACTCCAGAATCCTGAGGGCGCTGCAAGAATCAATGACAACAACAAAGGAAGATTGACAGCGATAAAGCAGTTGACGAAGAGCACACAAAATTATCATAAAGTTCTGCGGGAAGATGGTAGTTTCTGGAGGCAGGCAACACATTGGTGTGGTCAGGAAAACAACAGAATAGCCTACACCCTCTGCAGACTTTGACCCATTAGTGAAAACGGTAATGGAGTAGGAATGCAAAGAAAAGTGTTCAAGGAAAAGGCGCTTCGGAACTGTAGGAGGGGTAAAAGCTTTAGTCACATGGGTCAGGGTTTACAAAACTTAAGGAGGACCCTCCATGGCAAGGATGGAATGACACAAGGAGGAATATTGGCAATATGAACCGAAAGATAACCTTGGAAGTGAGACAACCGTACAGAAAGAGGTGGGTGGTGAGAAGTGAGGGTGTTGTAGGGACCTCTCAAGGTAGTGATCCTGTAGACAGGATGCCAGTTTCAACATACAGGTTTTAATACTTTTGCGTTCTGATGATGGTCTCAATGTCATAAAACCAAAATACGCAGAGGCTCTGATGACGGTAATGCCGTCATCAATTAATAAATTTGTAAAAATTCCATTTATTGTCCGCATATTTTGGGACTGGTTTAAAAATGAGCACCATGATATTGCGAAGAATTTGATACCACAATGAATGATGTACTGTAGTACAAAAATGGAAGTGAGAAAGCCAAGAAGAGTAAACATTTGGGAGTGGTTTGTGCGCTCACGGCCAACGCTCTGCCTACTGTGCAGATTAATAAATTTGTAAAAATTATTGTCCGAATATTATAGGACTGGTTTTAAAATGCACGCCATGATATTGCAAAGAATTTGTTACCAACATGAATGATGTAGTCCGAAAACTGAGGTGAGAAAGCTGAAAAGATTATAAACATTCGAGTGTAGTTTGTGCACTCACGGCCAACGCTCTGCCTACCTTGCAGTATGCGGCGGATCGCCCACCGGGCATGCGAAAGTGTTAATGACTACCTTGCTGGATTAAATAATTTTGTACTTGGAGAGATTAAGGACAAGACCCAGGGTTTTCCTATGACTTCACCAGCTGCAGGTCTTCCAGCAGGGTGTCTTGTGTGCCTGCCATAATCCAGGAACCAGATGTTGAGCTCACTGGACAGACTACTTGTGATTTCTCGAACTGCAATGCAAAAGAGGAAGGGTGCAAGGGGGGGGGAGGAAGTCATGTTCCCTAACAGGAGCATCGAGTCTTTGCTGTAACCTGCTGACACAAAAGGGAAGAATGCTTGGGCAATGTTCCTGGACTGCAGTGAGGACTACTTCTGAAACCTAATTTTACCACTGCCTGGTCTTTGGTAAGAGAACTAATGCAGGCACGTGAAGCATGGGCTGCTGCTTCAATGCCTTAGGGGATCCCAAACCCCAGCTGGTGTGGTTGCAGCATGGTGGCTGCTTCCATTCGGATTCCTTTGACAGCACCTTTTGCAATTACATGGCGAAGGGTATTGCCAATGGCAATGGGTTTTATCCCTCCATCCATCTTTTTCAGTGTGCATAGGGATGCACAAAAGAAAAACAATTTGATTTCATCAGGAATTAACACAGCGAGGCAGTTGTTAAACGTTGTGATGTGCGACAGGAGCGCCTGTGCAACTATATACAAGACTTTTGAGGGAGTACTTGAACCATCTGCCAAATGTTACCTATCTTATTGCAATATTCCCCCATGGAATTCAAAATGCCAATTTTAAGATGGACTTTCTTATTATTAAATACAACAAATTTTTATAGAGATTTAAGTAATGTTACTTTATCTGACTAAGGGTATTTAGTTTAATTTGTTTCAGTAACCGATTTGAGCAAGGCACAATATAAAAAGCATTAAGGCCTTTCTTAAAATGAAATTGTACAGCTCTTGACTAACAGTACACATTGACTACCATAGGGGTAATGGAAACCCTAAGTTAATGAATGAATAAAAGGAAATACATGCATAGTCCAGTCATTCACTGAAGGAAACACTACTAAAGATGAATAACTCCAAAAACTCAAGACAAAAGTGAGCATCATTTACATGAGGAAACAATCACCGAGGAACATATGACTTGAGAGAATACTGGTCACCGAGATGTGAGGCACACGCAATACTAATTATAAGATGTTAAAAGGCTAAACCAAGTAGTCTACGAGAGACTTGTAAAGCTTTCCACAACCACCAAATACAGATGATACTGAGAAAGGAGCCATATTTCAAGACTAAATTCTTGGTCTTTGCCAAATGAATACAGGTAAGTTAAATTTTGATTGATACTCCTAACATTATTAATTAAAATTAAATATTGATCTTTTTAACTAAACAAGTAATTATGTGAGACATAGAGGAAACAAAAAAAAGAAGCTCAAGAAAATACATCTTACAAAAGACACGAATGTTAGAAAATATTATAAGTGGCACGTGTGAGCTTATACATACATGTCAATATGAATACATGTAATTACAGAATTATTCTTGTGTAATTATATCTGCATTCATGCGCGCACACATATTAACACATGTATCAAATGCATGTTCACACAGATGCATGTATATATGCATATATATACTCACCTAGTTGTTGGCTAAGTAAATGTGCATGTGCACATATATATGTTTATGAAGACATCTGTGTTCACTTTTTTTATGCATTCTCACCAATCAGTACTTGCAGAAAGGATTAGCTCTCAAGCCTGCAACTTCACTTTCGGGTAATGGACAGGCAGCGGGTGCAGTTGCCACAGAATAAAAACCAAATTTAAGTAAAGTACGTAAAAGTAAAGAATACATTCCCTCAGTGCAAAAACTACCCAGTATAACAATTTTATCACCCTCATAAATGTTCCAACAAATACTTGTACATGCTAATTATTCAGATATGACAAACTTTCATTAGTACAAGCATTCATGAACAATAGCCTGCATGAAGACTCTTATCCTATTTCTCTCCTAAATGATTGATTATATATATGTCATACCTAATAGGCCAAGTTGTCTAAGAAGCCAAATTTTCCTTAAATATTATACAGTACTGTATTTTTAGATCATTTTTCTTATGGAATGATAAAGCTTTCCATTACGTTATGTATGATTTTAATTTTTTTTTATTCCTCCGGAACAAATGTGATCAAACCCAACTAACCAAAAATAACTAAGTCATGTTCCTAATATAATAGATTATTATTGTTATTAAAGAACCAATCTGGAAAGAATTATTTGAAAATAATGAAAATCATTTTGCCTGTTAGACAAATCAGGCCTTGCATACTAGGTCAAGTAGTGCAGTTCTGGCTATTAGGCATGATCAATATAAACATGCCATTCAATTAAAGAGAGACTTCATTACCCTATGGAAGTTTTCCTACCACATACATAAAAAAAGTATGCACTACTTATCTACCTGTCACGAGCACACATGTGTGTGTCTCTCTCTCTCCCTCTATCATCATACACCCACTCTATCAAACTAATACCATACACACAGTGATCAAATAAGTTGATACTTATTATAGCTCTTTAATAGTAGTTCTTAATGACAAGCCCTTTCACAAACTTTTTTTGGGGGCAGTCTTTATTGAATACTTAATACAATTAGTGTCCACAGCCTAAATCTCTCATCAACTTGTATAACAAAATACTCTCTCACTCTGTACATGTGTTATGCACTCACTCTACACCCACACCCACACACACCCCTACCACCCTGCAAACACACAAACAGGGAGAGGATATGCAAAAACTTGCATGCTTAACCATGTTCAAACATTTTACACTAACTTTTCATTCAGAAGTTGAACAATAATCATAACTTGCACTGCTACATAACGTATAGTATTTCTCTGCTTAACTGAAAATATCACCAAATGTTTGCTAAATATTAAAAACAAGCCTGAAGTGAACTTTATTTTTATTAGCAATTGCTCAACTGTCACACCCAGTTTTAAGAAGAGTTAGTGCTTTCTGTAGATTGTTAATGGCAGTTTTAGAGTCTTCATAATCAAGTGCTGATACAGCCCACTTGCAATACTTCTGTGCTTTCACGATCATGTCAGGACTCAAGGTCACCGCACCACCTGCACAAATGTAAAATATATTATTAATGGACATAACTTTTACAAATTACTTCAACCTTCAATCATTTAAATTTTATTTTGTCTATACCTGTGGGGAAATATCCCACTAATAGTAGCATAGTAAACAATTCCCTTTGGTAAGCTCAGCAATAATGATAATTAAGCCAAATTTTATGCAAAGAAAATATATATATACATATACTGCCCCCGGACAGACCCCCCAATTAATGTGACGAGAAAAATAGGTGGTATTGCAGTCTCTCTAGGCAGATGGAATGCCAGTCACACAAAAGCAACAAAAAGAAAAACTACTTCCAGACGTCTAGACAGTACCTCCAGTCCCCCCCCCCCCCATACACCACTGCCCGTCACCCCACCTCGCACCTGGGTCACTGGGAGCTCACGCCATCTCAAACAAGCAGTTAAAAGTGAGCCGGTTCATAGTTGCCGAAGTCATCAGCGCCATCTGCACGGCCATCGTCGTGTATATATAGGGCTACCTAGCCCACTACAGTTCAGATTACTCTTGAGTGCTCTACCGAGTAGACCTGTTGACATACCCCGTGTATGGTAACAGAGTTATTCAGTTTGGCTCACAGTATTCCTGCACCATATTTTATTTTGCACATAATCAAATTTACATTACGTTAATCTTGTTTATTTTGTATACTTAGAATATAGCCAAGTTTTTATATTATTTATATTTTCATGTTAAGTAAGACTATTTTAAATGATTTCTCTTTTGTGCTTTATCCTACAGTTTACCTCACAGTGAAGATTCAACTTGCAGTCTAACTTTTTTTTTCCTTTTGTTGCTTTTATGTGACTGGCATTCCATCTGCCTAGAGAGACTGCAATACCACCTATTTTTCTCGTTACACTGAATACATTATACAATAAAGCAGGGTAGTTATAGAAAATTCTTTATATAGATAGAATATATCTATAATAAAAATGCGATACAATGATGCTCGGTACTCGCTTCCCTTTTCAGAGCGGAAGAGATCTCTGAATTAGAGGGAATACAGAGAACATATGCGGCACGCATAGACACGACAAATCATCTAAATTATTGGGACCATTTCAAAGCTCTCAAAAATATACTCTTTGGAAAGGAGACAAGAGGTATCAAATAATATATACATGGAAGATACTTAAAGGTCAGGTCCCAAATTTGCACAGTAGAATAACAACATACTGGACAAAATAATATGAAAGGAAATGCAGAATAAAACCAGAGAAGAGTAGAGGTGCCATAGGCACAATCAGAGAACACTGAACATCAAAGGTCCACAGCTGTTCAACACCCTCCCAAGAAGCATAGAAATATTGCTGGAACAAAGGTGGATGTATTCAAGAGGTAATTACAGTAGATAAGTTCTTGCAAGAAGTGCCAGATCAACCAGGCTGTAATGGATATGTGGGCCTACTGGCTGATCCATGCAACGGCATGTTGGACCAAGTTATCAAGTCGAGCCTGGCCTGAGGCCAGGCTAGGGGAGTAGAAGAACTCCCAGAACCCTCTCAAGGTATACTCCAGGACTAAGTGGGCATCAAAAAGCCTAAATGGCTTTCAGTTCCTCATCATAAGAAACCAAACCATTTGAATATTGTGCTGGCATGGTAACAAAATGTTAGGGATTTTCAACGGAAAATAAAAAATAATGTGAGAGAACATTCCGTATGTCATAAATTAACTTCAGGCTGGTGGTATCTTCAATGTCAGGTCAAGAATGGATGGCATCGCCATGAAGAGGTAGGGGGAAAGTTTTTTGGACTTAAAACAATGAGTAGGACTGTCCAAATAGAATGAGGGTGAATAGTGAATTAGTCCCTATATTCCTCTAAATGGCAACATAGAATTTTGTTTAGCCCAAAGTCTTAATACCTCATATAATGTAACAAAATATTGTGTTTTACCTGCAGCCTCTGGTAATGGTGCCTGGTATGTGTTAGTTGCTGGAGGCTGTGCTGATACAGAGGGAGGGACCTGCAAAACATAAGTTTCACTATCACAACTGGGTACAGTACTTACACAACATTACAAAGATTTAATTGTTCAAAACTTGAATCATAAATATAACTATATTGTAAAGATTATTTTTGGGGAAAAGATCTGTATATCATAAGCATACTATTCTAACTGCAGTATTCTTAATTAGTAGGAGTAGGAAGTCTGTACAGTATATTAAAGAGAACTGGCATGCACAGAGCTCCTGAACTTGACCAATGAGGTGGTAGAGGTCCTTGGAATCAAGGTACAAAATATAAATCTAATTATTATTCTAATATACAAACTGCCAGATGCAACAGCTGACGAATTCACTGAGCAAATACACAAAATAGAGAATATCCTCGATAACCTAGCAAATCCAGTACCAGATATTATCTTCCTTAGAGACTTCAATCTACCCAGTTTAAAAATGGAGAATAGTAAACAATAACATTATATAGCAGGAAATCAACCTGGAAATAACCAACCACAGGTGAGAGAACTACTGAGATTATGTGACAAATTCTCAATCAATCAGCAGATTACAGAAACAACTAGAAACGAAAACATGATGGACCCGATATTCACAAACAATGAGCTAATCAGATATTAGTCTCATACTACATACTCAGACCACAACCTCACTGAAGTGAAAACGAACATTAATAATGGTAGTAGGGCCAAGAGAAACAACAAGCGAGAAGGGAATAAATTCAATTTCAACACTAAGAGGATCGACTGGGGAAAAAATAGAGACTTTACAAACACTCAGTGGGATATGGTCTTAAGCGACAAAACTACCACACAGGGTATAGCCCAACTGACATCTGAATCATACAAGATCTGCTTGAAGCATGTGCCTGTGAAAGTCAGAAAGAGGACCTCTCTAGAAAGTTTCACTGAGCAAATATAACTGCAGCCAGGAAAATGATAGGATGGATTATGAGAACGTTCAAATCCAGAGATCCCACAGCAATGCTAACACTATTTAAATCGCTAGTACTGTCTCGTCCTGAGTATTGCTTGGTACTCTCTTCCCCTTTCTGAGCAGGAGAGATCTCTGAATTAGACGGAATACAAAGAACATACAGCACGCATAGAAATGATAGAAAATCTATATTACTGGGACCGTCTCAAAGCTCTTAAAATGTGCTCTCTGGAAAGGAGACAAGAAAGGTATCAAATAATATATACTATACATGGAAGATACTTGAAGGCCAGGTCCCAAATTTGCTCAGTAAGAAAAACAACATACTGGAGTGAAAGGTACGGAATGAAATGCAGAATAGAACCGGTGAGGTGTAGAGGTGTTATCGGTACAATCAGAGAGCACTGTCTTATCAGAGGTCCACAGCTGTTCAATACCCTCCCAGCAAGCATTAGAAATATTGCTGGAACAAAGGTAGATGTATTCAAGAGGCACTTGGACAGGTTCTTGCAAGAAGTACCAGACCAACCAGGCTGTAGTGAATATGTAGGCCGCAACAGCCTGTTGTACCAAGTTATCACAAGTTGAGCCAGGTCTCAGGTTGGGCTCGTGGAGTAGAACTCCCGAAACACTATGTGTATGCTCCAGTAATATAATATAGACTGTAGCAAGTTATTGAAAGAAGTTATTAGTTATTGAAGTTATTGAAGGGATGAAGTTATTACACAAAACTAAAACATGAAACAATGGATATAAATTGGAGAAGTTTAGATTCAGGAAAACCTGGGTAAAATAATGGTTTGGAAATACGGTTGTTGTTTTACTGAACAAATTACTAAGGAACATAATAGATGCAAGCTCACTGGATTGTTCCAAGTGCAGGTTAAATATATTCTGTACTAACATGTGAACGTGTTTGGATGAATATAAATAAGATCTGCCTCATAAGGGCCAATAGACCCAGTGCAATTTTATGTATTCCTATGTTCTCAAGATGAGGTAACAGGAATCAATTTTCATACACACGTTACCAGTTACGGAAAGGCAGGTATGAGAGGACTAGACCGACATAAAAAAAAAAATGCTACAAATAGTTATGAAGAGTGAAGCAGTTTGAGAGTTCAAGAACCGTGGCATGACAGAAAAGAATCAATTGAAAGATATATGCCTGATTAAGAGGCTCCTGGAGAAACTTGTGCTGTGACCAGCCCCTAATGGTAAGCTCCAAAGAGGAAGACGGACATCAGGGGCTATATTGATAAATAGATACAGTAAGAACATTTTTTTCAGTTCACCATTTAACCTGATATATGTACTTTCTAGCAACTGCAGTACGTGTGTTTTCATTTAATACTGTAATTTTCAATACAAAACTGTATTCATCGAACCTGTGGTTGCAAATAGGGATCTCTGAATGCTCGAGACCCTGCCCCTCCAGACGGTGTGGGTGAAGATGATGACACACTTGGTAATCCACCAAAATCTGTGGCTGCGGGTACAGATGGTATACCATGATTTGGCTGTGCAAGGTGAGACCATCCCATTGCTCCACCTGATGCCCCACCCACAGCACCCTCCTGGTCCCCCTCACCACCACCTACGTCCTCACCTAAACCTTCATCATCTGCAAAATATCATTATGCACCAGTCAGTCAAAGTATTAACCTGTTTATGTAATACAATATGCATCAGGTCTAGTGTTCAGAACCAAAAATCTGCAATAACAAACTATTTTTTTAAAGTTAACAAAATAATTAAATATTTCTTATCACATCTCATCATGAAGGGTTTCTAGTCCCACATGCAAGATATAGCACACAATACAAACAATAGAGTATTATGAAGTACTGTAATGTACTCCGAAAACCACACATTGATTATCTCATGATACAAATTACATGAAATATTTAAATACATAATTTACTTTTCTCTCTAGCACCTTCCTCCCTCCCTCTTACATACAACTGCTTACCTATTAGTGATTACAAGGAAGTAAGAACTAGCTCTTTATGCCCCACCTCCTACCCTTTAACACAAGGTGTACTAATTCCATATCAAAATTTTGATGGTGACCTTTTTTTTCAGATTATGAAACAAATATTATGACCCTTTGTTTCTCAAGTACCTAAGCAAGTGCCTTGTTTAGGTGCTCCCTTACCCAGTCCAATGTCATTCCCATTATCTCTGTCTCTTCATCTTGTGTATTAGACTTTTGAGGAACTATATTAAAAGTTTTCTGCCACCTTAAAAAGAATGCAGTTCCGTATACTGATCCTTCATTCAATTGCCTTACTTTAACGACCCTGTCAAGGAATTGAATCAAGTTTTGTTAGGCATGATTTTCCTTCCAATTCAGTCTCCACTGAACATTTGTGGTTTGGCCTACACTGTCATCATATCAGTAGGTAGTCTTGCTGGTTGGATACCCTTGGAATCTCTTATTTTCTCAAAGCTCCAGTGATGATGTATCTCTTTCTGCCTATTTATCCTTTCCTTTCTTACTACCTAGTATCCTTTTGGAACTATTGCATCCTCTATTAGGTTTGTCATTTTAGTCTAACTGCAATGATAAGAGGGTGTAGTTCTGCCACCTGCACTTGCAGTAACAATTATTTGTAATTCCATCAACATTTCTGTACCAAATTTTTCTACTACTCTACTTATTTTTACTAGAATGCTTAGGTTCATCCCAGGGACCAGATTCTTCTTTTGGTTTAGTCCCATTCCAGAGGGTGGCATTTTAGTGTTGATTTATTCTTACACTCATTCCTCTGGTCTCTCATTCTCTCTTCTGTTTTCTTTATTATCATTTCTTTATATCTGCTAGCAAGCATCTGTCAGTGGCAATGCCATTAACCAGCCCTCTTAACCAGTCCTGCCTCTCTCACTTTGTAATAGCCCATTCACACTAGTTTATCATAATTACAGGATGTCCCAGATTTATGAATATCCAACTTACATACAACAGACCTTAATAACAGATTCCAAGTCTAGCTCCCTTTATTAATGTTACAAATGTAGCCATGAAATCATATCCAGCATTTACCTCCACCCATGGGTCCTGGAATGGGTGTCTCCCCGTTCTTCAAACAGTTATGAATGTATGTGGCTTTCCACTTTGCATATTTCCTCTGGGATGCAACTTCTTCGGTCAGTTCACCAAATACTTCACAAACATCAAACATGAGACCAGCTGTATAGAAGACTTTTACAACATTCCTGTTAAGAAAATAAAGTCTTAAAACTTCCACAAATTAAATTAATAAAATACAACAGGTCACAAACAAAGCAGTAGTAGCTTTGCTTCTTAATTAATCTTCAAAATATCCAAATAATAAACACTTCCACACCTAAAGTAATCTGATACTGTAGTTCCATTTTTTAAATGGAATTTGTTCCAGTTGTTCCTGAAATGGAACAAATATGTATATTTTTTATCACATCCGTTTGCAGACGGTATCTCCAGCCCTGACACATTTCACAGTACAAACCATATTATGAATATTCTTACAAACAAAAAGTCCCAGCCCAGCCCAGCCCAGGCAGGACCAGCCACTGCCTAAGGTAGCTTGGCCAATACAAATGTCCAGCAACAACACACATTGCACAATAGTCAAAACACTAACTACTGAACCCAGCAGGAGGAGTGACAAGAGGCAACATGGGTATCCATCACTTCAAAAGAAAACTGTAAAACCTCAGGAAACTTGCAAGCTTCCAAGTCAAGATTTCAATTGTAGCTGGGTCCTTTGCCCCTGACTAATGTTACGAAGTGGTCTAGTAGCCAAGGAACAGATGCAACAAGACCAGTACCATAACCTAAACCTGTCACTCAAGACATGAAAATCTACAAATTCCTGAGGAACTAGTCTATTGTATCCAAGTGCTGAGATGTTATTTAAAAATCTCAGCTCTTTTATTTAAAACATTAAATATAATTTTATTCTAAAAACCGTGACTAATTTAAGCCACAAAACTTGCCCAGCAATCCAAATAAATTCTATCCAAACCCACCCACCCACTGAAGTCCATTTAATAGTAACACACTAACAGATACCAAGAGGACTGTTACAATACCAGATCCTGCTACCATGTGGGATATGAAATTACAAGAAAAACTCACTTATTAAACCTAGCAGCACGGTCCTCTCCATCAGCCCACATGAAGAGTTTATGTGCTACATTCTCCACCAATGCTTGACCAGCAATATCATTTGTTACAGATTCATTAGCAGCATTTTCCTGAAATCCAAGCAAAAACAAACAAAAATTACAAAATACCCCATCAAAAGGTGGTAAAGAAGGCTATTCATAAAAAAATAAAATGGATTAAATCTATGCTATTGCTATTGCTATGCTATTGGATTTATTATAAAGTAGGATGATATAATCAACACTAGTGTTGTTATAACAGATTAGCTTGTATCCAAATATTGTACTGTAGCACATTCCATAGGTCTATATCTAACAATGCCACAATTATTTAGTGGGATTCAATATTCAAACTATTCTTTTACTAAGTGTCATAGAGCACAGTGTCCTTCGACATGGTGCTTGCTGCAAAGACATGTTAAACAGTACACTCAACATCCTCTCTCCCAGACACGTCGGGCCCAACTGTGATTGGATATGTAGTCGTGTCTGGATAAATGCATACAAATAAAATTAATTACCTTCTTAAAAGTCTCTAGATAATCCATCAGTCCTGACAAGAGGGCTCGAGCTTCAGGTGATTTTCGATCCAGTTTGAGAGCCGACTGTAGTGTATAGAGTCGTGCTAGAAATTAAAACAAAAACAAAACTTACAGTATATTGGGTATTGCCTAAATGTAGTACAAAATATTGCACAGAGCACAAGATGTGTACTATTCCAGTGATATCATAAATTGAAGTCTGAGGCAGTTTTTGGACATAACTGCTCCATGGAGACTAAAGGATGTGGTGTGTCTTGAAAGCTAAACACATTTTGAAGTTATTCCTTCTGATTCTGATGCAAGCTGTACCTACTGAAGACAGAAGTGCTAACCCAGTTTATGGATATAATGGAGACACTGATCAAATGTCACCAATCAGCGGGTGAAGATCTGCAGCATGAATGGCACAATAGGGAGAGTGGGTTTTAAGTCCACAAATATTGCTACTCTTTAAATAAACATTCTAATCTAACCAAAATACTGTACAGTAAAACTGGATATAAATTTTAGTTTTTTATATATAATGATCACAAGCTGTTTGTGGTGAAGCAGGAATGATCAGGAAAGCTTTCATGTGTGGCAAAAGTAGAGCAGCTTAAATGCCACTGACATAAGTAAAGAGGGGCAAAGACATGTGCAGTCCTCCCATTGACTTCCGGCTCAACCTTGACTCTGTGCGGATGCCCCTGACCTGTTCCACCTGAGGTTCGCCAGAAAACAGGCCGATTATGCTGCCCACTGGGTTACATTTTGCTGTAACACACCTATATTCAAATGCATGGATGGTTGTAATGCCTGGTTATCACCACTGGGTAAAAAGAGGCACTGATTTTTTTTTTTTTTGGGGGGGGGCTATGCTCTTAGGGCATTGAGTGAGGGTCTCGTACTGGCTTGGTCAAGAGGTGCCAGGAATTGGTGGGACCTGAAGGTTCTCATGTTTCCTCTGGACATAGAGGGCGCCTGGCTCTTGTTCCACCGGGGTAGCTACCCTGTGTGGTGTGGGTGACTGGTGTTTACCCTGCCGTGGTAATTTGGATATTGCCCAGTGTGCCAGGCCACTATGCAATTTAGATTTTTGCCATTTGGCTTTTTGTTTTGTTTTGGGGATAGCATCCCCCTTAAATCAACAAACAATAATCACCCTCCCACATGCAATGAAAAACCCCAGATATCATACGTGGAATACAGTATCTCCCTTCCAAAAATAACAGCAGAGACAAACCTGAGATTGCCTTATTGAATGGTAATCTCAGGTTTGCTATTTTCCCCAATTGCCATTAAGGAAAATAACAACCCCCCTCCCCCCCAACACACACACAGCAACCTCTTCCAAGGGTGAAACTGGAGACACTGGGGAGTGGCATAGCCTCTGGAGGAGGAATTATCAAAAGACGGCACCAAGCTGGGGAGAACTGTATTACAGTATTATTATCCCCAATGCCAAGTACCTGTTGTACCCCAGTGCCAAAGGGCCTGTTGTCTTTCCTAGAGCTTTGTAATTGTTTAATTGGAAAATATCTCGTGGCTTAGCCAAAGTGTGCTAGTGCAGAATAGAAGACCTGACGTACATCTCAACTTCCCCAAGATGCCATGCATGACTTACCATCCTGTGAGAGATGAATAATATATGAAGGCATAGCTAGCGCTTGATATATACTCTGTAACCCCTCATATAGAATAAGTTAGCAGAATACTTGCGGCCCTAAACGTGTTAATAAAGAAGGAATATAAAGTGGTGGGCAGAGTTGGGTGTGTCACACATCCCCCCCTGGAGCCTGTCCTCACACCACCAGACCAGTGACCTCCTCACATGACCGAGTCAAGGCCTCACCCCAGTAGGCCACGACGGGCTCCCGCTTGTCATAGTCGCTGGCGAGCTTGATGTAGTGCTGGAGAGCCTTGAGGGAGGGCGGACACGGAGGCAGCTTGAGGTCAGCAGACATGTTTGTTGTTGTGGTCACCTTCCCCCGCCTCGCCCGCCAGGCTTACCACACCACCACGGATTGTGTCAACATTGAGATATATATTTAATACAGTATAATATATATATATTGCATTTTAAAATATTTAGCAAATTTATTTAAAAATTAAGGGCTATATAAGTTACCCAAAAATGTAGATAAATACCGTACATACTATAGTGAATCTATAGCGATACACGTACTGTACTATTTCAAATCAAATCAAATCAAATGTTTATTCAGCTAAAGTACATACATACAAGGTGAGATACAAAACATTGGTGGATTTATAGATAGAGCTAGTACATAAAATACCTAAAGCCACTATTAGGCAAAGCGTTTCGGGCAGGCAAATATAAGCGTTTTATTTTTATTGTTTTATTTGTTTATATATACAAGAGTTCTTAGATTCTTGTACAGCCACTAGCACACATAGCGTTTCGGGCAGGTCCTTAATCCTAATATTCCAGGGAATACGACCCGCTAAATCGGGGTACCCATTTTACTGTCAACAGTTAAGTAGAGGCGCCCAGTCAATCCTCCCCGGACAGGATACGAACTCAGCCTAAAGAGCTAAAGCGAAGCTCCGGGCGAGTGTTCGAAATCTTTCTTTGAATTCATTGTTTCAGGGGATAGGTAGCTAGTGTATATATACATGTTAGGCTTATATCGAGGTTCCCAAGGTCGAACTACTGCCCCCCCCCCCCCAAGAATGCCACCCCACAAAAAGCTAACTGCTGGGCACCTACTTACTCACAGGAGCATTTGGTGATAGGAAATGCGCCCAACCATATCTCTCCCGCCCGGGATTCGAACGCAGAGTTTTCCATTGTGAGTCGAGAACGAACCCGACTGTACTGCAAATATATACTCTTTGCCTTGCTTTAGACGATATTGAACCACATTACTTTTTGAAAAGGTCAAATGTAACACAAAGAAGGAGCAACGGCATCAGCCTGAACAAGCCTGTAGGACAATAAACAAATGATTTTTCAGTGATGGGTTAAATAAAGACCAACTAATGTCAGCCTACCCGCTGACACTGCTGCAGTTAAAAATCCAGCTGGATAAATTAATCAGCCGGCTTCCTGTCCTCATATAGGCCACCAGAGAAATGGTAGCCCCTCAGGTAAATTCAGGAAAATGTCTCTTCATAGGAATGTTTCTATAATTCCTGGGGTTAACTGTCATCTTTCTTGATCTGTGCTCGTTCAAGTAAACTCATTCCATTCAATAGTATTGGTGATCAAAATTTAACTGCATAATTGAAATTGAGTCTAACAGGACCAAAATAAATCTAAAGAATAACATAGTCGTTTTATTGTTAACATCTGTAACGTACGATTATGTTACTTTGTTGGGTAGATTAGATACACAGTGTTTAGTGGGTTTTCATATTTATTTAGTGGTCTTGTGTCAGCAGTGTCCTAGACGTTGAGACTGAGCTTGGAGCAGAGCTGAGTGAGGCTGGAGTCGTGGAGCTCTATGATGGAGAGCGTGGCGGCTTGATGCAGAATGATGAGTGTCTAAACTCGATGAGATCGTGAGCCATTCTCAAGTCGTGATTCTCATCAACTTTAGAATGGTCCTGGAAGGACCGAAACGTCATCGTCCCTTCTCCTTCTAGTGTGTGGTCTGGTCAACTGGTGAGCCTTGTAGCTCCATGCGGTTGTAGTCTGGTCAACTGGTGAGCCTTGTAGCTCCATGCGGTTGTAGTCTGCTACCTGCTCTGTAACGAAGCTGTAGCATCTTGGGGTCGGTTGGAAACCAACAAAGATCCTTTAGCCTCCCATATTGTCTGGGTCAAGAAGCCTGTCAGCCTTACTGAGGTCTCCATGGTCCAATAATTGCCCTTCCCAATATGTAACCTACAACAGTCATCCAACTCTTGAACATCAGAACTACTGGATGAACAGAAGCAGCAGGTCTAAGGATAACTGCCACAGGATCTCATTGTGCTAAGAAAATCCACTTTGGCTCAGTCAGTCAAGAGCCAACAGCACAATCCACTGCCCTTCACATCACTTCTCTCCTCTTTACTAATAAGCTTAGGGCTGGAGGAACTTACTGCAATGCTGTAATGATTGATGAAGGTTAATGAAAGGTCCAACATTTTTAGTATTAAAAACAAATTTTTGGATAAAACCTACATCTTCTATTGGTACTAGATGCAGTCAGAACATTGTATACAGAACCTTGAGAAAGGATGTAGGTTACATCTGAAAATTTAGTTAAATACAGTTACACGTATGTATATTGGGCCTTTCCTTCACCTTCATACTCGGGGATTACAGACCATAGAAGGCAAATCACCCATGTCTGAGTAGAGTAAAAGTAGGTCTCATAGTAGAACAAATTCAGAGACCCTTTCCAGGTACGATCAAGATCTAGCTAAAAGGAACAATAATAAAACAAGACCATTAATTAGTGATTTTACTGCAGTACCTTTCCATAGTACAAGCATGTAAAGCCGAGGCAGCAATTTTAGTGCAATAAATTTTACAATTGTAAAATACTTTCACTTTGCTTTTGTTTTCCTCTCCCTGCATAAGTCCAACCGAAAAGTTTCTGATCAAAGGGCCAGGGCTAATTACAGCTAAATCCTAGCAAACATGGTGAGAAAGCCGTGGTAATACTTTTATCTCTCCAACTGGGTAACAGATCTGGATTGTAAAACATTTGTTTTACATCTGGACTACAATAGTCTGTACATCACCAGAAGTGTTAGTCAATTTCTAACCCACCAATGCTAACATCACACCTAATTTCAGGGTAAATAAAAACTATGGCTTTTATTTGGCATACCATTCAGGCTATTTTACTAAAAAAAAAAATTTAAGTTTGCTTCCAATTATAATTTTAATGATCATAGTGAGACTCGGCTAAAGTGAATACTCTTAAAATATTCTTATTTAAAAGAATATGAGAGAATATACACACCTTAATGTTCACAATGATCAAGTGATACAATATTTGCTATTATAACATACATCAGCTATAAAGGTCATTACAATTACCTTTCTCACAGTCTGATTTATATGTTACTAGACATTTTATTCAAGCAGTTTTACATAATTCAAGGCAATGTTGCATATTGTATTTTAATAGCCGATGCCATGTGGTTAAACCTTGACGTGAGATGATGTAAAAATGGTAGCTTATGGTGACTGACTGCATGAAATTACGGTGAGTGGCACGTGTGATAATATAAACCTGGATATCTCCTGCTGGCAAGGATAAACTTAAGGCAACAGTGGGATGGATAAAATGTAGCTGCTCTCATACTACAATTAAAATAAATAAATTAGCCAAATTAAATACTAGTTTTCTCCATCAGGAATGGACTTTAAAACTTAAAAAAAAAAAATTGCTAAAATTGTTTCTAATACCAAAGTTATTAAGGGCACTGTAGGACACCTTGTGTTCAATTTAAAGCTGAAAGAGATCACTCAACCTACTGTAGGAGTGACTGCTGGTCTAGTATAAAGGACATGACAAGTAGTGCCACAGGCTACTACAGCATTGAAAACAAACAGTAATATATATCTATATATTAAGTCCAAGAGATTTAGCATAAACTGTCTCGACATAAAATATATCTTCTCCGAGAACCATACAGCCTATCAACATCTTTAAACCCCATGTTCCCATTGTAACCATCATAACTGGGAATAAATAGGACCTTTCTGACTTTCTTGGCCAATAAGGATCACACAGGAAATTTGTACAATGCCTCAAAAATAATCATCCACTTACATAAACTTAAGTTACATATAAAACCTGAAACAACATTATATTAAATCAGACACTGAACATTCCCTCACTGAGCAATGTCTACAATACCCTCCTTCATTACTGACATCTGACGTACACTTCGTGTAGCGACAAAAATAGGCAAAAAAGGAAAGGAAATGGACATCTCGTTAAAATTTTCCGAGGGTTCATTCCATATTTAAGAAATGAAAACAGCCATTTTGAAATATAACACAATTAAACACCATCTACGAGTATTCCACAGGCTCTTCCAAGATCATGGAAACTATTAACCTAAAATTAAACCAAAAGCAAATTTAGCTGAGAATTATTATTAATCCTCAACAATTAATACATAAAAGCTGTGTAAGTTGCCTCTTTAATTTTATCAACATTAATTTATATATAAAAATACCAGTGCAGTATATATATTAGAAAACCCTATACAAATTATATTTCTAAATAGCTGCTTTTATATCTATTTCATCCATTTAGAGAAATAAATCCATCAAAACATCTTAGGTATATTATGATATGAAACTTTACATTATTGTACAGAGAAAATGTAACAGGTATTATATGATACAATCTGATTGTAAAGATTGGGACATTGTATAATTGTTTAAAAGCAGAATACACCATAAAAAGCCACTGGTGCTTTTCAGACATGTATCAGAAGTCACAATTATTAAGAGTACAATTCACTTCATCAAATCAATCATTTTGGTCCAAATAATTCTCAACTTCACGAGGCTTATCATGTAATGATGAATTGTAACGGAAATTAAACTGTAATTTGTTCTAACAATCTACACCTTTCATCTCCCACCTTAACCATAAAGCTCATCCACAGTGATTTTTAAAACCACAAGACATTTGCATATGACTTGGCAGTTGATCAAAGGTGTCCCCTCCATTTGTGCTTCACTACTTTGCATGTAAACATTTCTTCTGGACTTAATGATGACAAACCTGACAATTCTTACAGGCAAATGATTCACTTATAACGAACCTTGATTTGTACTTCTGAAGGCTTAATTTTAAACTCAGGGAAAAATATAAATCGAGCATCCAAAAATTTCAAGGTAAAAACGTCTTAAAAGAAAAGCAATTGTAATATGCAAAATAATACAAATGTCCAAGGCTCTACAAAATGATATCATTACCTTTACCCCCCTTACTTCCCAACCCTCATTACCCATCTGCCTCGTCAAGCAATGCAATAACAACAAATTTAGTGGCGGGTGCACAAATATGGTGGTATAAAATTGAGATTGGTAACAATGTTTCATGAGAACATGGCCACAGCTCAACATACACAGGGGCTGGATTCTATCTCAGAATCATCGACACCACTAAGTTTAGCTCGACATGTCTGAAAAATACAAATATATATATAAATTTGAAATGTTTAATAAAAATAAAGCATGCTATTTACTGCTTAAAAATCTAGAATTATAATTTGTAAATATTGGTGAGGATACATGACGTGTATAAATGAGTCATTAACCCCTTTCCCAGGCCTATTTTGATGCAAGAAAGCTTAGTGCCTTAGCAATAATTAAAACTATTTGAAAGGCAGGTATAGCAGTTATCAGAAGACACTAAACTAATATGACTATACTATAAGACACTTGCAAGGGATTCAAGGATAAGAGCAAATATATGAGGAAGAGTGAAGGAATGGAACCCAACCACTTAGACAATTCCTTCGAGAATCAAACCCCAACTAGTCCAAGAAAATTTCAAGTATTTTTGTATTTTTACAGCACTACTGTAACACTCAAAATATTGCTAATAAAGGTCAATTCCTAGCTGTTTATTTAATTACTGTATAGGGAGAGCTGAAGGAAGATATCAAACAGAACAAAGCCAATAATTTGGTACATTTCAAATCTGTCAAAATCCAAATCATGATTTTATTTATAAATGCTTTAATAAGATACTCAAACTTGTTTTCAACATTTAAAAAATAAAAGTTGTCCAAATGATACAAAGAATTCTTTATATTTTATTTTTTTTCTGAAGCATCAGTTAATTAAAGAGTTCATAAACAAAATCAAGTATACAGTATTTGATTTGACAAAATGTGAACAGTAGGAATGGCCTTAGGACAAGATCTCTTACAGAGTACTGTAGGCAGGAAGCATAGACTATGAAGGAAAATTTGGTGCTTATATATGGTCAATAAATCCTAAAAAATATTAGATACAATATGGGACATGGTGTTTAAAAAAAAGTTGAATATAAGTAAGTTTGAAGCATTTCAAGATTTTGTTATAAGGTACTTATAATAGAGCCCAAGATGAATACAGTATACACTAACTAGTTAAAATGTATATAGAATTGTTTAGTAGTACTGTACTTTAGTTCTTATGTGCTTTGAAATTTGGAAGTCGTGCATTATTTAATTTATTTAATTAAGAGTAATTAAAAACAAGGTCATACTACACTCTTCCACTACATACCCATTCGTGCACCACCACTTGCTACTCGCTTCTGCATTGCTGGTGGCTGGTAGGGCTGCATTCCTCCACGAATAACAGGATTGCTTGCATGATTTGGTTGGGGTGCGTGTCCAGCACGAATTGGTTTAGCTGTAAATAATGATTATATTGTACAGTACATCAATGCAAAATGTAAGGTGTTAGCGTAATAATCCTAATAATATCTGATCTCTCTCTCTCTCCCCCTCTCACAAACAGCAGATAAGCATTTTCAGAGAACACATTACTGAACCAACCAGAGAAGAAAAAAAAAGAGAGGGGACCTGCCAACAACTCTAAATCACATTCAGCCAAAATGATGACCAAATTTCCAAGACCTAATTCTCAATCATTCAAATGCCATTAAAGAAAACATGAACTAACAAACTTGTTTTCTACATACCAATCTGTGCAGCAGTGCCTCTACGCTGAAGATTCTTTTGTCTCACCGCTTCTTTAATTCTGTCAACTTCCTGTTGGTATCTTTTGCGATCCTTCATTGCACCTTCCTTAGCCTCTTTTAATGCTGTCTCCAAAGCCTGAAACATGCAAGTTATGCCATATAAAGTGTTTAATGAATGGCATTTTTCTCTATTATACACAAAGTTTTTAACTCTCAAAAACATCAAGAAGGTTGGGGGAAATGGAGGCATGCCATACCAGGCTTTTACCCTACAACTGCTCCAAGTCCCCGAAGTGATTTAAGGCAGCCAGTAGGATTTGTAATATCCGCTACATCTATGGTGACATTAACCACACATAGACATGCCTAGGCAGTTGTCAGCCATCTTTAAAATAGAAATTGGGTATGGATCAGCATCCCTTCAGAAAAGCACTATTGGTAGTACCATGTCTGATGAAGCACCTTTGAATTCTGGTCCAAGGTGCATATACTAAACACTATGCAATATTGACAAAACTTTGACTTAGGAATTCCTCAATAACAAAAGATGAATGGTTATAAGGCAGGGTGTAGAACCTGGTATTTTCAACTGCACATGCAAAAATCTGTCACCATTCCAGTAGGGTTAGTTCTCAGATCGAACCACTTCTGTAGCCAGTCACTATCTGGCAGCCAACAAAAGCGGTCAACTTCATGACAAATATAGACAAACCACAGTAAGTTGAGCACGTTCGTTTATGTATTTGTAATCTTCACATACTTGTCTGTAATATAAGAAGAAACTGTGTGGATTTTTTGTTTTTCTTGCACCAGTTACAGAGAAAGGCAGGGGGAGTAGTTTAATGAAAATTTTTGTGTGGCTTAAGGTTTAACAGTAACAAGGGAAGGATGACAGCTCTTGGCTCATAAAATTTATTAAGAATTTTAATGTTAATTATATAAAAAATAAGTATCAGTTTTAGAAAAACCAGAAATTATTAATACATACTAGATAAAACAGTGTATTTTTAATTACTGTACTCTTACCTTTACACGCTCCATTGTTGCTCTAAGTCTCTTCTCTAACTTGGGAAGTTCACACCGAAGATCAGCATTATCTCTCACCAGCTGTTTATGTACCTTAGTCAACTGATCCAAATTATTTTCCAAAAATTGGATCTTCTGCTTTTGAGCTAACGATCCACCCGATTCGTCACTCTCCTCTCCCGACACAGACTATAAAGTAAAAAAATTGCTTGGTTATATACAAGCTAAGGTAAACTCTGCTTCACCATGGCCCTTTCTCTACTACTGTTTGTCACTGTAGTTTTCCCCATAAGGTAAGCAAAAACTGCTACATACAACACTGATTTACAGCTGGTCATATTTCACAAATGTTAGCTACTCCTTAATTTCTTCCTTTATGTTTAACCCTTAAACTGCGCATGGCGTATATATACGCCCTGAGTAACATGTCCCATGGTGCGCATGGCGTATATATACGCCATAGGGTGCCAGGCCTGATTCAAATGGCCCGCGGCTACACGGGGTTCACAGTAGCTTCCTCAGGGCTCTTGTAAACAGTTGCCATTTTAAAAAAAAATCGTGGGCAATATTCTCAGGTGTGAGAGGCACAGTACTGTTGGAGCAACCAAGGCCGGCGCACGCAGCATGAGCGAACAGCATTGATGTTCAGCTTGTGACCACAGCATCGCCGAAAAATGTCAAAATAAATATATAATTGTTATTATTTAGCGATGACAATATTACAGATGACCAATGACTGTGATATAAATAACCAGGGTTGTGATAATAGCAGGATTGTTGTAATAATTAGCGCTGTGGGAGGAGTGATGCTGAGAGATGGAGGGAGACAGCATCGTTTACTGACTGTGTGGCTAGCTGTTATTGTTTGCATTCACCATACCAGCTCAGTGGTTCTCTATGGTGAACACAAATGTACATACTTAAATATAATGTGTGTATTAGTGTAATAACAGCAAAAGGATTATGCTGGGAGGAGCCATATGGGTGACGGTGGTGACGTCGTCTGCACGATTTGTCTAGCTGTTTAGAGGGTGGCCACTATGCTCTTTGGGCGCACTACAAGCTTAGGTGTACAGTTACGGTGCATAAAACATGTAGATATTTATATATAATATGTGTATATAGGGTAATAACACTGCAAAAGGTATTGTTGGGGGAGAAAGTTTAGTGCGTGTGACCTTGAAAGAGTGAGAGAGCCGCCAGCCGCCATCTGTGTATAGCGACGACTCTTAGTGTCTGAACTAACTATATCAGCTTAGCTGTACAGTTGTGGTGAACAAAATATATACATACTTATATATAACGTCTGTATATAGTGTAATAACACCACAAATGGTATTATTGGGGAAGAAAGTTTAGTGCGTGTGTTGAGGGAGTGGCAGCGAGTGGCTGGCTAGTGTGTGGCGGTAACTCCTCGTTGCTTTTCGACTCTCAATACCAACTTAGTGGTTCGTTATGGTGACCAAAACATGCAGATACTTATATATAACCTGTGTATAGAGTGTAATAGCAGCAAAACTATTTGTTTATTGTTTTATAAACATAATAATTGAATCACTAATATGCACATCATACTTTTGAGTATAGCGATTATTAACAACTTTTATTATATAAATATATTACAATACACACTATTGAATAATATTACTGCAAAAAAACTAAGAAAAAATCAATCGGAGACATTGAAACAATTAGGTAATAATATCTTTGTGGCAACTCCCACCTGTCAGCACGGGTGACGCTGACCGGGTCTGACGACCGCTCTGTCAACGCCCACTTTTTGCCAGACTTCCTCGGTCAATTGCGCCCAAAATATGTCGCCTACGATTTTTTTTTTTTTTCCCGTGCTCAGGGGACACAAATTAACATGTTTAGAAGACGAAAAAAAAAAATTGAATTTTTTTTTTTCTTGCGCACAGGGGTGTAAATGTCCCAAGGACCCCTGAGCAGTGTAAGGGTTAAATAACACTCAAGTTCTTGATTTATCCAATGAACTTTTCAAGGGTTAGAAACATGTTTGGAGCCAATACTATTTCCCATGTTATACTGCTAAATTTCACAAGAGATTTAAATTTCTACCAATCACATGGTAAACAATTCCCAGAGAAACCTGACTGTATTGAGACTCCACCATCATTGCCAATATTTCTCAGGATCCAGCCCCTTAAATCATACATTTTAAGAAGGTATGGCAATGACTAAACTGGTGTAAATGGACCAGGTCCATTAACTACCTGAAGACTACAAGAATAGTAGATTGTGACATTAACCACATACTGCACAATTGAGTGTTGTACAATTTTTGTTTAAGCCATATTTTATTGTTTTCATCACTCTGATTTGAAATAAAAATGGTTGAGTTTGGAAACATTTTGACATTAACATTAGCTGAACATTTCTAAAAACAAAAATATGTCCTTAACAACTGCACCATGAATTTTTTTCCCAAAACAGGTGTGCAGTGCAGGGGTTAACATGGCTGGTGACTGGCATCTGCCAGTCTTTGCTGACACACTGCTGCCTGTTTAAGTCTCTGACCAAATTAGTGCTATGTCATCCTAATTGCCAGAAAGCAAAACCAGAATGCCTATCAACAAAAAAATTAAAATTAACATGCAACTAGTGTGCATATATGATTTTTGGCCTCTATATATCAATGCTAGAAGCTACAAATATCATCAAATTATGAAGAATGAAAGAATGGCTGGGGGTTAAGAGTTTCATTATATTGTCTGTTTGCAAGGTTCAGTAGTGATGACAACACTAATACCCCTCTTAGCCACATCAACAAATCCAAACTACTATAGAGTAAGAAATACAATTAATGCACTTCTAATAGCAGGAGCAACAATTATCAGCAGAATTGTCATCTGTTACATAACTTTTAAAAAAATTTCTGGTCTAAATATTTGTATCCGTGCTATTTTCTCTTAAATAAAGTGAGATTAGAGAACTATAATACTTAATACAAGAATTTAAGAAAACCTGAGAAAAGTTACCAGTTCATTAGTTTTGATATGGAAGGGTGTGTCACAAGCACATGCACAATGAAATAACATTAATGTGATGTATCAATGAGAAAATCAGTAGGAGCCAAGACGAGGAATTAAACTTTCAAACCCCCAGGGCTATCAATTGATTTGGGTAGGTAATGTGTCACATTGTACTGTATGTACGAGCACAAATTATAATATAAATATATAATTTTAAGTCGGCTAATCTTTGTCTATACTGTATGTTGTTACCAGACTAATCATTTCCAAATCCTGGCAAAATATAGTTAAGCTATAGAATTTACAAGTTCCACAACTAGAAAAATAGAAATTGAAAAAATTCACATTACCTTCTTCACTCTGGCCTGGAGATCCTGCACGAATAATTTACGTAAATTGTGCAAAGTCTGCAACTCTTTGGCCACAGTCTCTTCAAGACCTTTAAGGTCCTGCCGCGCCTGCTCCTTACGCTCGTGGACAATCGTTAATTCGCTCAATTTAGTAGTCTAGAAAAAAGGAAAGATGGGTCAGTCAGAGTTTACTGGAGACTCAGTTTTAACCTGGTGTTTGAATTGCTAAACGGACTCTTAAGCTTTAATACTACAGTAATTTCAGAAGCTCCCATATCAATGTCTATCTATACTTGACAATTTTTAGTTTTGTAGTTCCTCACTCTGAACCAGGTTACTCATAAAATAACTGCCCTTGCTATATATATAACAGAAATATCTAAAACATCACCCATCTGCTGGGATGTCAAACTACACATACTAAATAATAATTAAATTAACACAGTTCTTATCCAAAACTATAAACAAATGACTTACCTTTTCAGCAACCTCAGCCTTCAGCTTCTCATACTCTGCCTTCAGCTGTTCCTCTGTGACAGCTCTCTTTTGGGTTTCATCTGTCAGTTCATCGATCTGTTGCTGTTTCTCAGTAATTTCATCTCGCAGTGCTGCCAACTGCAGGACATAAGACACGTGTGAGAGATTCAAGACAATAATTTTATTTATTTATACATATTATATATATAATATATATTATGCAGACAAACTATATGTGAAAAAGAATGCTAAATGCATTTTTGGTTCAATTCACCTTCATCAGAGCAAAATAGAATTTAGAATGAAATGTGATAGGCAGACCTTATACCTGCCAGGGCAGGTGACCTGACCAAGCAAAGGTGAAGAAAAGGGGGCAAAAAATGAAACAAGAAAGAAGGTGGCTGTATAAGGCCTATAACTGTAGAGCTGCCCATACAAGGCAGCTCTTATTTATACCAATAACTGGATAATATTTGAACATGCCACTGGATAAACACAGGTTAAATGGATGCTATATTGATTTGACGAGCTATATTGAAGCTTATGCGGAGATCTAATTTGTCATGCCAGGGCTAACATTAATAGGGGCCTCGTAGCCTGGTGGATAGCGCGCAGGACTCGTAATTCTGTGGCGCGGGTTCGATTCCCGCACGAGGCAGAAACAAATGGGCAAAGTTTCTTTCACCCTGAATGCCCCTGTTACCTAGCAGTAAATAGGTACCTGGGTGTTAGTCAGCTGTCACGGGCTGCTTCCTGGGGGTGGAGGCCTGGTCAAGGACCGGGCCGCGGGGACACTAAAGCCCCGAAATCAACTCAAGATAACCTCAAGAAGGCTGTTGTTATACCCTTAATTAGGGAAATACAAATTTAAGAGAAGGTTTACCTGTTTCTGGTGCTGTTCCCTGTGTTGTTCAATCTGCTTCTCAAGAGCATCTTTAACATGGCCATCTTGTTCAGATACCTTAGACACTGCCTTCAGGCGAGCAACTTCCTCATTCAGGGAATCCACCTAAAATTCATTATATATATTAACATTTACATATAATAAATTCTACATTGCAGGATATTGCAACCAGCAATTAGCCTTTGCTAGGAAAACATCAAAATCTGTTCATTTCAAAACAATCTTTGCTTTTCAATTGAACAAAACATACTCGGTACCATGCAAAATTTAAACACTGTATAATAAACTGTCAAGCAAATAAGCTTGTAATAATACAGTATTTAAGTCTGTAGACAGGTTCCCAGAAATATGCCACCAAATTTTGTACAGAACCTCCAGCTAAACATAACAGCATCATATATAGAGAATAGTTAAAGACAAAAGATTACATTCATAATCACAAAATTACTAGGTGATATGAAAATTAAAGCCATTCTAGCCAATTTTACTATATTTGGAATGCTTTACCTGTTCTTCCAAGGACCTCTTCTTATTATCTCCTTCTTTCATAGACTGTGAGAGTGTCTTCATCTTGGCCTCATGTTGCGTAACGAGCAGCTTGGCCTCAATAAGTTCCTTCTCACGTTCTTCCATTTGTGAATGCATATCTGTCTGTTTTGTTTCAAGTGTCGAGCATCGCTGTGACAAGTTCTTCACCTCTGAGCGCATCTTTGATATGTAGAGTCTTGCAACAGTGAACTCCTCTTCCACCTTGCCTTCAACATCCCCAAGGTTCTGAGGAAATTAATATAATTTTAAAATACATTAACCTCCATACCTCTACTGTTCCCCCTCAAGTGATGGATGCCTATGCCCTGACTGCCTATAGGAGACTAAATGTGACCCATAATATTTAAGTCTCGCTGGGTCTATGGATATCATTCGACACTAGGCATCTCTTCTGGCACTCTTTTTGCCATATTAGAAAAAATCCCAAGAGCCCTACTTTCCTTCCTTCAGTGAAAAGATGGGCACCAAGTCTGGCTCATCACCTTCCAATAATTGGTGCCCACGTTAACACTTTCGCTCAGCACTTTTGCACTCTTAATTAAATTAAGAACCACTTACACCATGCAAAACTGTAAGAACTTATGGACCTGGAAAATATTGGTGATGAGAAATTCTATTATAAATAGTTAACTTGAAAATTATTCCACAATATAACTACAACATTCCTTCACCTCAATATGACCAGACTGAAATAAGTAGAATATATTTTTTCTGACATCAGTGAAGAATGTTTAGGATAGAGAAAGATATTTTTTAACGTGCACCAGAATATCTATCTAATTTTAGGCGTGTAGTACAGGACACAAGCAAAACTTTAAGAAAACTAAGGAAATTATCAATTTCTATTACACATTAAAGAATTACCATTTGTTTATTTTATTACTGTAATAATAGTTTGTTAATGTTTTATTAACCTTCTACTAACCTTCATGGCATCATTGGAAGTTCCAATGAGTGACCCCACTTCATTCAGATCTTTGAGAAGAGATACCAGCATCTCATTTATACGTTTCTTTTGATGTAATTGAGAGTCTTTCACTGTCTGGAGTTCAGAGGTGGCTACACTTAGTGATGCCTGTGGAAGAGCATCCATATTAGTTACTTTAGCTGGGAAAAATCATTCATGTTTGTTATAAAACTACAATAACAAAGAACAAGGTAGGTAGGTAGGTAGATACAGTAGTATTTATACTTGGAGCATAGCACTGGGATCTTGAAAGCTAAAATTAACACTTTGAAAGACAACATTCAATTCTTAAATGTCATAATATCTCCATTTAAGAGATGGAGATAGTTATTCATACATCAGTATGAATAACTTATAGTAAACAATTGTTTGTCAAACAATGAATTTTACCTGTTTCTGACCAAGTTCCTCAGTTAGACTCTCATTCTCTTTGCTCTTGCGCTCCACTTCTTCTGTTTTCTGGTCGTAATTGACAGCCAATTCCTCCAAGGCCTGTAAAACTTCCTTTACTTCTTCCTTAGCTTTCTCATTCTCATTAGTAAGGCGGGTCATCTCTGATTGTAGAAGTTCATAATCACGTCGAGTCGATGAAATCAACTAAAAAAGGAAAATATATTTAAATCTACATGAACAGCCATTCCACAGTAAGATACAAGAATCTTTCCAGTAGGATGAATAATTTAAAAAAAGTGCTCTTCGAAAATAATGGTTATGAAAAAGTATACGTATATGAAAAGTCCCAAAATTCAGATGCATACATTTATGAACATGAGAATGAAAACAGTTTTTATAAAATCAATGACACTTGTCTAACAAAGATACCAGGAGCAATACCTAGAACTTTCAGGGACATTAAACTTATTAATGAAGAACCTAACGACAGGTGACTGCATGCAAGTATGCAGCCACCAAACAACAACCATTGAACAGGTCATCATAAATTAATACTTTACTAAAAAATATTTAATATATCCCGCTCTTGTCTCTCAACTTCACCTCAGCGCCCTCAACCCTCCCCCTACCTTTTTCCCCTCAAGTACTGCACTAGCATTATTTGTTAAATGTTGATAAAGCTCTTACTGGCAAATCAACAAATAATGTTTGATGGTTAAATTAAATCTTGGTATTTTACTATATTACAGCCAGTACTTTGTGCTCTCCACTGTTTAGACAGCTAGTATAGGTCATGATCTCAACAAATTACCAACAATAAAAATTAATATACAGGTTTCACAACTTCATATAACCCCTACAGGCAGTATACAGTACCGGTAATACACAAAACTTCCGTAGTGTAGTAATTCTACCAAATAATTAAAATGCTGCCAAAAATGTCTCCCGATATTAAGTATTTCCATACCTCCTCCTGCTCAAGCATTTGTTCCTTAAGTTTTTCCACAAGCTGTGACTGATGATTGATTTCGTCATCCTTCTCGTCCAAGTTTTGGTAGAGGCGCTCGCGTTCTCGTGCCCACTCGGCTGCATCTCCATCGACAGCCACAGGTGGAGCCAAGACTTGAACTGTGAAAGTTGTGTAAAATAAGGTCCTTCAGCTAATATTTGGTGGTAAGACAACAATTCTACACTGCACCATATGCAAGTACAAATTAGAATGTACAACATTTTTCTAAGTAGACAAACTTTATTTATTCACAGAAAATGCTTCCATGTACCAGTTAATAGACAAAGAACATTTCAGAATAATGGTTGTATGTACATATAGTATTAAAATACCCTGCAACCCCATCCTCAGACAACACTTACTAAATTGCTGTGAAGTTGTCGAAGCATCCATATCAATAGCCACTTGCTCATCAGTGCTCACAGACTCGCCAGCACGCCATCTTCCAAGTTCTAGATCCATTTTCTCCAGTTGTGCCTTAAGCTTTGCAACCTAAACAAGAGCAACAACATATAAACACACTTGAATCAAAGAATTTATTTACAATTAAATTTTTGTTAACAATAACTTGCCCTTATGAATTAAGTTCCCTGACAGGAAGTAGATTTGACTTAACTATTTGGTATTATAATAACAATATACAGTATACTCTTATAGTCTAATATCAGTTCTTTTACTTCTGCATCCCATACCCTCACACTTGTCTCAAATATTCCCACTTCAAATTCCACTTGCCACTTATTTAGTACTTATTGAGGTGCCTTACCAATTCCCTTTTACTATCTAGAATCTAACCAATAAATATCTTTAGTTCCTAGCAACATTACTAACAATTACATTTCCAGGAGAGGAAGCATCCTTCCTCCAGGCAACCATCTCCTAAACACACGTCCCTCCTCACCATTGACAGTTGAGAGGCGGGACCAAAGAGCCGGAGCTCAACCCCCACAAACACAACTAGGTGAGTACCATTCACTCCATTATGCCAGTAAGCCTCACAAAGAAACTATCTAAATTAAGCTACACACACAATCTGAAAAGATTATAATGTGTACATTAAAAATGTCTAGATAGAATTATGTAGCACATCACATTAGGACAATATGAATGTCAATCATTATTGACAAATGATGAATACATTTATTTAATTATGGACAATAATTACCAAACACTTCTGAAGTTTGACAAAGTTATAAAGTTTGTTGTGAATGACTCCCTAGCTAGGTTTGTATGTAGCCATGTGGTTACATACAATCCAAAGCCGACAATAAAAATGAAGATTTGGAGCGAACCAATAATACCCAAACATACTTTGCATTGTTACTATGTAACAATAAAAAAAACTATACGAGAAATTGGTTAAATAGTTTAGTCAACAAAAGCTACTTAATTAAATTATCATCCAAAAGTTTCAACTTATTCTTGCCAGCATTTCTTACCAATTTTGATCTATTCCACACTAAGCATCTACCATTCTGCAGTACTTTATCACTAAGCCATATTCATTTATCAAGAGGACATCTCCAGTCATCTCCAACTGTCTTCCAATATGTTCACTTATGCTTTTATCCCCTATTTCTGCTCCATTTGTGTACACACATTAAAAAGCTACAGATTATTACCACAACCTTCTCACTGCTTTCATCATCCATTCGCTTTCACACATGCTCGACTTCTCTTTTAGAACTTTTATACTGAACCTAGCAGCTCACTTCAATCTTTAGACTACCACAGCATATTTCAGTAAACTACCGTATCTAGACAAGTATCTTATCTACCACATCTAGATAAGGGCCAACAGACTAGTTAACTGATTATAATATGCAAAATTAGCAACTTGCATGCTACAAAAAAAAAATTGAAATACTTATCATAATCAATGATTAAAAAAGAGAATTACAATATCAAGCACTTCAAACACAATATTGTTCAATAATAATTCAGCGAAAAAATATAAATTTGCCTTTTCTTTCTCCTTCTCATAGCGACGCTTCCACTCCTCAGCTGTTAGCTCCTCATTGACTGTCACGACATTCTTCACAGTCTTGGCTCTGGAAGCAGGAACGAGTTTTAAAAACTATTCATTAAACAGTGAATTCTCACAATAGTGTGATTATCAATGTCCAGAGAACTTTTACAATAATGTGATTATCAATGCCCATAACTTAATCTCTTAGACATTACCTCTTGCCGAAATCAAGTGTCGATTTTGTTTCAGATTCGTTGAATGAAGCTGGAGAGCAGCAAATAACAATTGTAGTTCTTGCATTACCACCAAGTGATTCTTGAAGAATTCGAGTGAGTTTAGAATCTCGGTACGGAACGTGTGTTTTACTGTTGTCAGCAAGGGCAGAAATAACATTGCCCAAGGCTGAAAGGGATTTGTTGATGTTCTTTGCCTCATCTAAAACAGAACCTTCTGCCCCAGTTTTGCTGACCTGTTCAAGAAATGACAATGACAGTCATCAAATAATTAAATTTGACACAAGTTTAAACTAATATGGCTGATACACTCGAGATATAAAACATTAGACACACCATTACATATTCATGACTGTTTCCAAATTGACTATTATCTTATGATATAATGTAATTAATAATGTTTTCAACCCTTTAATGATGGCTTTTATCATATATTTTTGTTCATCTGTGGTGAGTCAGCCTTGTGGTCTGATTAAATTTCTAGTTAAATATCTAATGTTTTCCACTAGAAATTTAAGGTATTTCAGCTTATAAATCCCTGTAATTACCAAGATTTAAATTTCTCTGGTTATCACTACCTAATAAAATAATAGCTAGTGTTGTTACACAGAAATCACCAATTATAAATCTAATCAATTATTATCCTTATAAATGACTACTGAAAATGCTACAAGCAATGCAAAGTTTTAAGAAGCAACTCTTTGAAGAGAGCACATTACAAAATATAATTTTGTAACAAGTTTTCCCACACTCTTAAATAGTCAACCTTCTTGCTACAGCATGCAAAGAGTGGTAGGCTTACCTTCTCACTACCAGCTAAATCAACAAGATAAAGCTTTCCAAGAAGTTTCTTCTGTGACTCTATATTCTCTTGTTTTACTTGAATTAGGAACACACTGTGACTTCTTGAACTATGCTCATTCATGTCTGTAGAGAAAAATCATTTACAAAGAGCCTACAAGACCCCCAAAATATTTATTTATATTGTATGATTAAAAGAAATGCATATATATACTGTCACTCACTGATGGCAATCAAGAAAATATACACACACTTTCTTTCCCAGTTACTTGTCTTCCAACAAGTCCCATCTCAAGGAAAATCTTTATTTCAGCTACAAAATCCCTAATAACTGTAGACATTCTGTAAGTAGTATTCAAGCCTTATCTCCACCAAACAATGTACCATCTCTATTTAAAAATAAAAAATAGAAAAATAAAAAATAAAGTCTTGTTATAGCTCCTTAAGACCTATCCCCACTTACTTGTAACTGCAACATGACGATTGCTTTTGCCCATCTCTATGACCTCAAGCACTTCTTCTGGAGATGACACAAACCGTTCAGTGGCACCCTTCACAAATGGTACACGGTTTTTATCTTCATGTACAGCCAGATTCACCTTCGACACTAGAAAATAAAATGTTTTCATTTAATATTTCTGTACTTGGGCAAGTTAAACTACAGAATCTATACAAAACAGTATTACTCTGCCAAAATTTTACTTTAAAATGGACCATTTATCTGTAAGAGGTACTGTACTATTAACACTTGTTAACTTACAATGTTATGCTACTAAATCGGCCACGAGTTGCATTGGCTAATAATAAAAAATTTGATATTCCCAATACTTAACAGAAGAGTAAAACAGAAGAAAACAGAGGAAAACAGAAGAGTAAGGGGAGACATGATAACCACCTACAAAATTCTCAGGGGAACTGACAGGGTGGACAAAGACAAACTCTTCAGCACGGGTGGGACACGAACAAGGGGACACAGGTGGAAACTTAGTACCCAGATGAGCCACAGAGACGTTAGAAAGAATTTTTTCAGTGTCAGTAGTTAATAAATGGAATGCACTAGGAAGTGATGTGGTGGAGGCTGACTCCATACACAGTTTCAAATGTAGATATGATAGAGCCCAGTAGGCTCAGGAATCTGTACACCAGTTGATTGACAGTTGAGAGGCGGGACCAAAGAGCCAAAGCTCAACCCCCGCAAGCACAATTAGGTGAGTACTTGTTCCATCTTGCATAATGCAATTGCCAAGACTGCATTCTTTTCATTCATTTTAATCTTTTCCTTATAGGGAGATTAAAATAGGCATAAGTTTCAACAGGAAATCTAGCTTTTATTATTATTTTAATTAAAACATGACGGCTCACTCCACTTCTCCATACTTGTGCTCCTATGCTGTCCTGAAGACCAAACACCACCACCTTCATTAACATTAGCAGTCTCCGTGGTGTAGTGGTAAGACACTCGCCTGGCGTTCCGCGAGCGCTATGTCATGGGTTCGTATCCTGGCCGGGGAGGATTTACTGGGCGCAATTCCTTAACTGTAGCCTATGTTTAACGCAACAGTAAAATGTGTACTGTACTTGAACTATGAACCATAGGATTAAGGACTTGCCCGAAACCCTACGCGTACTAGTGGCTGTACAAGAATGTAACAACTCTTGGATATATCTAAAAAAAAAAAAAAAAAAAAAAAAAAAAAAAAAAAAAAAAAAAAAAAAAAAAATTCCTCAGCTTTGGTTTAGTTTTTTTAAAAAGGACCGATATTCTTTTTATTAAACCAATCTGTCTCCACCATTTCAACATTTTTATCACAAACAAGAGAATCGTGTATAGCATTGCCACGTTCAGAAATTTCCTAGATTTTTCTTTTCACTCCAGCAATACTGCTTATCTGGATCACCCTCCACTACAACAAAATACACAAATTAAAAATGCTAGTATTTTTGTTGCATGTTAGTTCTAAATATATAGAAAGTATTTTTGCAATGTTACTGTACTACATTAAAACTCAAAACATTACCTGCCATCAGCAGGAATGTACAGTATAGCAAAATTAAGAAATTTGTGTTATTGTAATAATTTTATGTTACTCAATTTATAGTGATTAAAGTTAGAAACAAAATGAACAAGTTCAGTTTAAATATAAGACAAGCACTTTCTATTTAAGAAATACTATAATGTAAATGCAAAAATAAAAAATAAAAAAATTATTAATTAGTAATGATTAAATAAATGGAACTAATAACATTATTGCAATTAACTACTCACCATCTAAGAGATCTCTAATTTTATCCATGTAGATTTCAAAATAAGATACTTTGATATGGAACTCAAGATTTTCTTCCATGTTATAAATATGATTAAAGATATCTTGAATGATACGAGGTATGATGCCCTGCAGATTTGGGTCCCCAATAACACCTTCCATGGTGTGAGTTTTCCCTGATGAAGTCTGCCCATAGGCGAAGATTGTTCCATTGTAACCATTGAGTACATCTGTGTGGAAAATCCATATTAAATACTGTACAAGAAATGTTACTACTGTACATAAATATGATATAATGAACAGGAGAGAAAGGTGATCAATAAAAGTTAATAAAATGTCAAATGGAAGAGGATAATTACAGCAAGATATATTTCTTCTAAACCTCCCACAACAAAAATATAGGTAAAATAAATAGCTAGGCCAAAACATTTTCATGAACGGAATAGGACATTCAACAAGCCATCAAAGCTGAATACTATCCTCTACTTATTATCATGACGGCACAATGAATTTTTATTACTTAAAAAAAGTTCCCATACCTTTAACAATATCTCTGGCAGCAGTATTGTAGACTTTTTCTTGCGAAACATTAGGCTTCAGGATGTTGTCAAACTGATAGACTTTGCCCTGTGATATAAAAACAAATTAGGAAATCATAAATCAACTTCAATACAATATAATTATTACTTTAAATATAATATGGGAATATTTTGCACTTTCTGCCATGCCTCCTGGTCTCATAATGAGTTATTTCTGAGTGCATATTTTGGGACAGTTAATCTAATATTTATCAGAGTAAATTAATAAACATCTCTTGCCTGCACTCTTAAGAGAATACAGTTCCAGAAATGTTAAACACTCCCAATATTTTAGATGTTTTATTGAAAAAATTCAGGCAGTAAAAGATCTCTATACATTCTCCAGCTTTGAATGAGGATGTTAGTGTGCAACAATATTCCACCCGAGAGAACACCAGTGTCTTAATTAATAAGAACAGTACTGTATCATTGGTCTAGCATCTCGTTGAAAATGTTCTTGTTGTACAGCCTATGATTTTTCTTGCCGTTGTGACAGCTACTTCATTGTGTTCTTTAATAGTACAGTACAGTATAATCTTTATATTGATTTTTCTTTCCATTGTGTGATTTGATTGCATTTTATGTGGTTTTTGTTTTAATATTCTTGTCTTTACCAGATCTGTACAGCTGAATCATCACTTTCTCTTCCTTGAAATCAAAGGTTCACTTTATTACTCTTATGGTTTGGTCTGATTTTTTTTTTTTACTGCAGCTTTTATTTGCTGAGAAACTTTCAATAACTGGTGGATCATAACTAAGTTCCTTTACTCTATTAATTTGCTGCATGGTTGTGTTGTTGATATATAGTAGCTATTATGAGTTATTATGCCCTAAATACAAAACCTTACATATTCAATATTGAATATAATTTGCCAGTTTTCTGACTATTTTTGAACTTTATTAACAAAGCAAAGCTTCAATTTTGTTTTTGCTTCCCACTTTACCATAAATCTTTGAGTCATCTGCAAATTAGATGCTGTAGCTTTTTTTGTTTTTTTCATGCATGTTGTTGATGCATTGTATATTACAAAAAGGGTTGACCCTAAAATGGAACCTTGCAGTATTTCATTTAACATTTTTCCAGACACATTCATTTCCATTTAAGGCAATCCTTTGCTTTCCTCGTTTTATTCGTGGGTTTATCCATTCCAGCATTTTGCAGTTTATTCCACTTGAGTGCAGTTTCTGTGCAAGTCTTACAGATGGTACCTTATCAAAATCTTTGGAGTTCATGTATAATATGTCTACTGAAATCCATTGTCTGAGTTACTGGTTAGTTTCCAAAATTGGAAGCAGGTTAGTTACAGGATTTATTTTCTATAAAACCAAGTTCTGTTGATTTTACAAAATTGTGCACTTTGAGATGGAAAATGATTTCCCCCATAGGCTTCTCTCCACACCCTTGCAAATATTACAGGACGAGATTAGGCCAATTGGTCTGTTGCCTACTTATTTTTCTCCCTTTCTTGAAGCTGGGCTGACATTTGAACATTTCCAATCTAAAGGGGATTTGCCTTAGTCTACAAATTTTCCAAATAGTAGTTTCAGTGGTAGATCCAGTTCATCAGCTAGTTCCTTCATGATTTTGGATTTAATTCCATTCATATTTGGAGCTTTTCATTTGTTTAATTTGTACATGTTCTTCCTGACTATTTCACATGTAATGGAGATACTGTATCTCTTACATGATGAGTTCTACTGAATATTCACATGTCCTCTAAATGTCATCTTCACTTTACCTGGAGCATACCTGGAGAGGGTTTCGGAAATTCTTCTACGCCCCGAGCCCGGCCTGAGGCCAGCACCTCATTTGTACAGCAGACCTCAGCATAGGTTAGGAATTATGCTTGATTTAAAGCCATGATAATGCGTTTCTGCCCGAAACGCATTGCGTAATAGTGGCTTTAGGCATTGTATGTACTAGCTCTATCTATATATTGATCCATTAATGTAACATCACTTGTATGTATGTACCTTACCTGAATAAACATTTATATATATTTATTTATACAAAAACATGCAAACATTTCCACCAGTTGTGTAAAAGTTTAGGGATATCAATTGTTCAGCAACATAAATAATGCCATATGACTATATATAAAAAAAAAGTACAAACTGGGTAAGAAAGAAAATACCAGTAGCCTTTAATCACCTCCTACCATCCAGGTGGGAAACTATAATTCCCATCTCACTTTCCCAACACAGCCTTGGGAACTGTTAAAGCCTTTCTAACATCTAAAATATTCCTTCTGTGAATTCACAAGACAATAGGACAAAAGAGGAAAATTACTCAAGTCTTAAATTTCGTTTTTGTTCTTTCTTTAAAGCTTTACAACATTTAAAAAAATATTTAAGTATAAATTAGAGGAGCAGTAACAAGAGGGCCACGCCTCGACAACTTTCCAAATAGTTAATGACATTTTATATGTCAATTACCAAGTAGAAAGTGGCATTCCTGGCCACTGTCAAATGTATTGTACAAATAACCTGATTTTCCTTATTATTTTGGGTGTAAGGAGTGTGTTTTGGGTATGTGGAGAGTGTGTGGAGGTCCCAGAGAGAGGCAGACTTACCCCTATGTTGACTAGTTGGTCATCTTTGTTGTGTGGGAATGTGACTATGAACTTGGACCCCGCTCGCTCCTCAGAGTCATTCAGCGGCCTAAACCTGGCCACCACCTTAATGGAGTCCTCATTACCCTTCTCCGGCGCCTCGCCCGACATGTTGCCGTCCTTGTAGCACTGCTTATCACTATATCAACAACATACACGGTACAGTTTGGTCCATCATGGGCGAGGGAGCGGTGGTGGTGGCAGGAGTCAGCTGTTGTGGGTGGCGCCTCGTGCCCCTCCTCGCCGCCGACCCTCCAACACTACCAATGGCCACCACGGTCCTCGAGACTGGCTTCTCTGCCTCTCAGCGACACATAGGCTCACTCACGCACACTTCTAGCAAGGCTACGAACGCCTAAACAAGAGTCAACTAGTGCCGTGCGGCCATTTTCTGCCGCGGTGCATGTCGGGAGGCGACACAGGAAGTTGAGTCACCGGCCGCCACCTTTGACTCCCACTGCTGCTCCAGCCTGCCATTATGCCCTCACCTTACTCCCCTCTTCCTCTACACTACTCTCTCACAACTTAAATTACTAAATCTACACAACTGCGCAAGTCGGAGGCCGTCAATATACTATATCTTTTTTGTAATTAGCCATCTGTTCTCACAATTTTGTGTTATTTGGAATGTGTGTACATATATATAGGGCCACACATGACTGTAGTTTTAATTTAGTTGGTTTATAATGCACACAGACGCCTCCTGTGATCAGTAGCCTTGCAAACTGCTACCATAATTTATATATAAAAGGTTGAAAAAATGAATTAATATATATGGTCAAGAGTTTCACATATAACCCCGATTTCGCAACCATTATAATGGTTTTCCCAGTTGTGGGGCAGCAAGGAAGCCTGTACTAAGGCTTATCGAGTTCCTCCTGGGACAGAGGTCACGACCTCTCCGTAGGGTGCAGTCGCACCTCCACAGCTCTCTAGTATCAGCTAATGATACTGGTAATGGCTCCAAAGGGCCACCACTTACAGGCTATTCATGCCCGTAAGTGGCATGCATTAAACTTCAAAGGAAATCTGGCAAGATGTAAATAAAGTAGGGGGTAAAAAAGCATAATTTTGTTGCACATCCTGACCCGCAAGGAATCGCGAAATGGTGTCTTAGATAAATGGGCGGAAACTGCTAAACTTAGTTCATTGCTCGCTATAACGAGAGAGTCATTATCGTAGATGTTGTTGTTGTTTTAGATTCAGCTACTAAGAACAAAAAGTTCCAAGTAGCACAGGCTATGGTGAGCCCGTAGTGGACTTACCTGGCACAGGAGCGGTGCTGTAACTGCCTCTATCTTAAATCATTAGAAAATCATTATCTTAGATCTTGGAAAGATCTAAGAAAGGATTTTATACTTACAGCAGGTAATAGTGGTGATGTTACTTGCATAGGTATTACTAATAATGGCGATTAAAGTTGGGAAATCTACCGCCCCTAGGGAGGATGGAGTAATTTATGAAATAGTTAAAGAACTTGGCATTATGACGAAAAGTAGTAAATTAATAATTCGTAATTAATTCGTTTGGCTTTATCAAAAGCTTGTAAATCAATAATTATTCTACAGTAATCATTATCATTAGCTAGACATTTAATACAGTCAAAGGTACTTTTTCCTCTGAGGAACCCGAACAAATTACTAGACAGCTGATCACCTATCATATATAAAAGTCTATTTAAAATTATCCTCTCCATCATTTTTACAAAAACACGAGGTTAATGACACAGGTCTGTACTCTCCATTGACTTTAGGGATAGGGATAATCATAGCTTTTTTCCCTTTACTAGGAATACTGCCCTCTTTATAACTAATATTAAAGAGGTCTAACAGTGGGCTTTTCGTCATAATGCCAAGTTCTTTAACTATTTCATAAATTACTCCATCCTCCCTAGGGTTATCTTTTAGGTTAACCTCCGAAGAGGTTATCTTTTATGAACTAGCTGGTCTTTGTGTTAAAGGGAGATTATTGAGCTGGATAGGGGATTATCTTCACGAAAGGAAGGCTCATGTGTGGTATCAAGGTTGTATGTCAGGTGTGAGATCTTTTGAACTCGGCACACCTCAGGGAGAAGTGTTGAGTCTCACCCTTTTTAATGTACTAATGAATAAGAATAAGATAGCATCTGAGAGATACTCAAATGGGGTAACTCCGATCATAATTTCGGAAATCTGTGTCACCACATGGGACTGGTGGTTAATGAAGACAAAACTAAGTTTGAATGTAGAAGTCGGAGTCCTATTGTATTGAAATATGTTGGTTATACTCATGAGAGTTTGGAAGCTGAGATGAACAGACTGTTGGGTCAATGTCGGAAGAGATTACAACCTCTGAAGGCCTTGGCATGCTGTGGAAAGGGAGTGGGAGTCCCTGTGCTACGAATGTTATACTTGAGTACTGTAAGATCTCTTATCGATTATGCTGCACCTGTCATTTCTTGTTTTGGTAAAGGTAGGATGGGCAAGTTGGAGAAGGTACAAACTGATGCCATAAGAATTATCTTAGGATGCCCAAGAAATCTACATCAGTGACTATCTCTCCAGTAGCTTCGAAAAGGACAGGAAGCCAGCGGCGTATTAAGTACCCCTCCCAACCATTTGTCCTCATGATTTTACCGAGCTGGATTTTGAAAGTCAGCAGTTTTGACATTTACGGCTTCGGCGGGTAGGCGGTTCCATAAGTTTATAACCCTATGACAGGAAAAACATCCGTTCTCTGTCCAACATTGTGACTGGTTGAGCCAATACCTGAAAGTTTAGTCAATATCTACAGTTTGCTAACTGCAGGTAGTAAATGTGGATGATTGTAACCTTTCCACCGCTCCCCAATGGATGTGGGGTGGTGTGCAAGATAAATATTATCAATTATGAAACAAACTCCGAAACAAGGTTGGTACATAGGAGGGCCGGGTTAGGCCTAAGTTAAATTCTTTAAGAAATATTAACATTTATAGAGGAATCCCCCCTGTGATTTTCATAGTCAAGTGTGAAATATATGCCGTATTTCCCCTAGAGTTTTGATGAGTAATAATATTTTCAGAGTCCCATAGGTAGGTTTCTTTGCCTCTTAATAGATTTTCTGAGAGAAGAGGGAAAAGGGGAAATCATGGGGAGAAAGAAGGAGGGAAGATGGGGTAAAGAGACCCAGATGCTGCTGGATACCCCCCTTCCATATATATATATATATATATATATATATATATATATATATATATATATATATATATATATATATATATATATATATAATGATTGTTATATGTGTGTGTGTGTTTTCTGTAAACTGTAACACACACACATACATACATACATATATATATATATATATATATATATATATATATATATATATATATATATATATATATATATATATATATATATATATATATATATATATATATATATATATATATATATATATATATATATATATATATATATATGTGTGTATATATATGTATGTGTGTGTGTTACAGTTTACAGAAAACACACACACACATATAACAATCATTGTTCCAAGACCTCATCCAGCTCTTTGGAGGTAGAGTGCGTGCCCAAGATACAGCAAGCATTTCCTCTCTGGATCGCGACACTGAGGTGTTGGAATAGAAAAGTAGCCGGACTTGTGCCACAAGTTTGATTAATGAGTTCGTCACCCACCTCCAATAGGAACTTTAGTGCACATTTACCCCAGGCGCCCAGGGTCTCAAGAGGCTATCGTCACGAACCTGTAACAACGTTCTAGGTCCCTGTACTTATTAGTTTTCTGGATCTCCCTGAAGGTGGCTGCCCTGCCTTCATCAGCTGTACTGTGAGGTATTTCGGTATCAGCCAATGTAGACGCAAATGTGTAGTCCCATACGACCTGTCTACCATACCTCCATGGCTGCAGGGTGACTCCATCTGGGCGATGGTGACTGTTGTCAGGTCTGCACAACTGAAGTTCCCTTTGTGCTGGACACCCAGCTGTAGCCAAACTTCTCTTGATATCATTGACTGCTTCATGTCTGACAATATTTCTCTGTGACTTATGACAGATGAGACCATGGCTGCCATATTGGTCTGCCCACGCATAGCCGCAAATACACCGGTGTTTGGTGGAGATAGGGACGGCAAGCTGCAGGATAACACCAATACTTAAGGCCCGATGGTCTAGGCGGGTGCCCAAGGTTGAATTAGGGACAGCCAACAGAAAATCCCCGGCATGGGGAGCTTGCACAGCTAGGAGGCACACTTTGTCCTTCCCAGCTGCTGCCTCCAGCAATGCTCTCCACTATGGGGCTATCTTTTATATATATATATAATATATATATATATATATATATATATATATATATATATATATATATATATATATATATATTAGTATATTTTGGTAGCAGTCTTTCCTGTAGACATATATTATTAAATATGACCGAAAAAGTAAGATTAATGATTCTAACACGAATTTTCTCGATCTTTCGTACATTTCTTTTCACTGTTGGTGGTAATTCAAAAATCAATTCTCCAAAATTCATTTTTATTTTTAATTCATTTTATTATTAATAAAAATGAATTTTGGAGAATTGATTTTTGAATTACCACCAACAGTGAAAAGAAATGTACGAAAGATCGAGAAAATTCGTGTTAGAATCATTAATCTTACTTTTTCGGTCATATTTAATAATATATATATATATATAGTCTCCGTGGTGTAGTGGTAAGACACTCGCCTGGCGTTCCGCGAGCGCTATGTCATGGGTTCGTATCCTGGCCGGGGAGGATTTACTGGGCGCAATTCCTTAACTGTAGCCTCTGTTTAACGCAACAGTAAAATGTGTACTTGGATGAAAAAACGATTCTTCACGGCAGGGGATCGTATTCCAGGGACCATAGGATTAAGGACTTGCCCGAAACGCTACGCGTACTAGTGGCTGTACAAGAATGTAACAACTCTTGTATATATCACAAAAAAAAAAATATATATATATATACAGTACTGTATGTATATATATAATTTTGAATGATTATTTTTACATCTATTTCTTAAAAGTAATTATTATAAGGAAGTGCTAAGCCAGTAAGGTTATACTGTATAGTACAGTACCATGCAATTTACAAATAGAAACCACCTATACATCACTCAAGAGAGCAAAATGATATTAATTTACATAAAAAAAGTCAGATTTACTTTTTTCTCTCATGCAAACATATCCTGGTGGTCTATCAGTCACTGGCAAATATTAATGAAATGTTTATATTTTTTGTAAGACTATTCACCTATTCAAGCTATATGTAAGCTTTACTATGCAAAATAAATTACATACAATAAATGAAACACAGTAAGATGCATTGTATTATAGGCTGAATACTTCTTGGAGATCCTCGGATGTCAGGCAGGAACCATGAATGTAGCAGACTTTCCCTTTGTATCACTATGTTTTGGCTTGGAAAAAAAGAAGCTGGCCGCCCTTGGCTCGCTTATTGTTTTGACGAGTCTGGAACCCAAAACCTTCAGGAAACGCTTGGCATTTTTTTACCATGGACTCAGGTTCTATCGATTAAAATTTGAATTGGTGGGACAATCCCTGTACTTGCTTGACTTAGCAATTTCCATGGGTGTACAATGTGTATGCATTATATTTAATATACTGGACAATTGTTCTTTATAATATAAATATATATATATGTACCACCTCTGGTGCAATTGTAGGGACCCATAACCTCAGAGAAGAAAATAAAGAGTACTGGGAAAAGACCTTGTGGATCCTCACTGAGCACTTTGATATTTTCTTCTCTTACCACCCCTATTCTTTTTGTATATTTATATAAATATCTCACTTTATTTTAAAATTTCATTACACAAAAAGGGTTACAACATTGGTTACATGCAGGTACAAGGCTACCTGTCACAGGTTGTAGAGTTCCTCCAGCTCCTCAGATGGCGGGCAGGAACCACGGACACAGTGAGCATTACCTCTCTGGATCGCCACACTAAGACGCTGAAAGAGGAAACTGGCGGCTCACCTCTCAACTGTCAATCAACTGGTGTACAGATTCCTGAACTTACGGGGCTCTATCATATCTACATGTGAAACTGTGTATGGAGCCTGCCTTCACCACATCACTGCTTAATGCATTCCATTTGTTAACTACTCTGATACCAAAAAAAGTTGTTTCTAATGTTCCTGTGGCTCATTTGGGTACTCAGTTTCCACTTGTGTCCCCTTGTTCGCGTAACCCCCACTTCCCCGTGTTAAACATCTTTATCTACCCTGTCAATTCCTCTGAGAATTTTGTAGGTAGTGATCATATCTTCCCTTACTCTTCTGTCTTCCAGTGTCGTGAGTTGCATTTCAAGCCCGTACCTTGTGCTTGACATGGTACTGGCTCCATGCTGGAGCTGCACACTCCAGGATTGGCCATACATATGTGGTATACAAGGTTTTGAATGATTCCTTGCACCGGTTCCTAAAGGCAGTTCTGATGTTAGTCAGTCTTGCATATGCCGCAGATGTTATTCTTTTTACGTGGGCTGCAGAAGATAGGTTTGGTGTGATATCAACTCCTAGATCTTTCTCTGTCTGTTTCATGAAGGACTTCATCTCCCATTCGGTATCCTGTGTCTGGCCTTCTGTTTCCAGGGTTCTGTTTCCTCCTGTGTGCATGTGTCATGTTTAACACCCAGAACTGCACTTCTTGGGCTTGTATGCAAGGTCTAATGTGCCTAACAGGCAGAATGATTTTTGTTATTTTCAAATATTTCTTTCCAAATTAGCTCTTTTCTCACAATAATAACTTATTATATTAGGAATATGAATTGCTGACAGTTATATTGGGTTATGTTAGGTTAGGTTTGATCAAATTTCTATGTTAGTTTTGACTCAAATAACATAAAATGGCAATCATATATAATACAAAGAAAATTTTATTTCATTATAATTTTTTGTTTGAAAAATTAAATATTTCATGAAAATTCAGCTTGTTAGCAACACTAGCTATTAGCAATGATATACATACATACATACATATACCTGTATATATATATTTCAATATATTATATAAATTCAATAGTTATAAATTTATCTGTACAGTTATGCTTTCTAGTTTTCAAGGTCATCCGCTAATGCTATGGTTAATGATTCAAAGAAGTTTCCACCAGTATAAATATGAACCTTTCTTATCCCATCATAAATAAAGTATGACAAACACAGTGGAAAAATAATTATGTGAAAACCACAGAGTATTCCTACCAGGGATAACAATGATATTACACTTGTTAAATAACATGTAGTACTCCAAATAGATACATATCTATGTAATTAAACTACAGTACAAGTAAGAAGCTCAAGGCTGTGCTTCTAAAGGATTCTTTTAGAAACTTGTAGCCCACAGGACCTGACCCTGAACTATCAACAATCAACTCTGAGCATTTTATTCCAGCCATCATATAATGATTTGCTGATGACGACGATTTTAAGTACCGAATATTATTGCACAAAATAATTTGTCACCTAGTTTCATGTGTAGAAAACATTTAGCATAATTCTCGTTGCTGATAAATTTAATGGTTTTGCATGTAAAGTACTGTACAAGATTTTAGATACTAAACAGCAAACTGCATACAATACTCTGCCCAAGCAATATCTTCATGATAATCCAAATATAGAGATTTATCTTAATTTTCACATAAAGTTTTGCACATTAAATATCAATAATTAAATATACCTTTTAATTTGATTGTGCTTGTGTGGTAAGCATGCTTTGTAGCACAAGTAACACAAGGCTCAAATATATCAAATGCAGGAAATGACAACTTGCAGCAAAATGGTAATCACTCTTGACCAATTTTTCTCGATTGATATGGACATGGATTTAAAGCCTTTACCTGGAGTTTCGCTGATAAAACTTCAAGGATGCTTATAGTGCTAGGAGAAAAAGCATATGCAAAGCGAGATTCGATATGGAAGATAGGTTTACATATTGTAATAATATTTTGGTGTGGTTTACTTGCAAGGTAGCAGATAAAAAAAAAATAGACCTGTGTTTTAAACAAGAGTTGGGTAGGGAAAAGCTATCTACAAACAAGTTGGGAAAGCACAAAAAAGGAAATCACATTCAGGTAGGAGGAAAATAAAGCCAGCTAAAGAGAAATGTTTCAGCAAGTGCAACCAAGAGAGCTTCCTGTTGTCACCACCCTCCCAAACTCTTTCTTTAAAATTTGGAAATGAACAGAAATTTTGTATGCTGTTTTTTTACCCCCACTAAATTTAAGATACAAAATGTGAACAATTCTTACATATTGGTCAGTGAGAAATGTATTATACTACTTCTTTACTCTACAACTTGCTATAAAGGAAACTTATCAATTCTTAGCATAAGATATGCTAGTGATAATAATAATGATATTTAAATAAACGTGAAATATACTTCTAATAGTATGTTCGCCCAGTTTTGCATCACACAACTATACCGTAAGCAAAACTGACCACAACTTGGGTTAAATTGGTGGTTTGTTAATATGATTTTCTAAATGTTTAACAAATGGCTGATTTTCACCACCCTCTGTTCAAAGGTCCTTCAATGCAAATGAACACTGGAGAGTTTATTATAATTCAAGATGTCAGGGAATACCAGATTAAAGGTTTATATAAACTAAAGTAAACTCCTGCTCTTTTTATTATCACAATGGTGGTAAAAAAATTAAATGCCCTGCAATTGACTCTGGAAAGAACTTATTTAATCATCACCAATAGAAATGTGTATTGATGATAAGTTAGTTTAAACCTTACAGCAAAGTCAGATATGTAAGTAAAAAAAAGGATGAAATATTTGCTCTTATCAAATCTTTTTTTATAATTATCTAATATTGATGAATAAGTTATATGTTAAATTTTGGCTCGAATGAAAAAATAATGCACATAATTACATTACATACAGCATTTATTCTCTTATTTTAACTTTGGCAACTATATGAAACGCAAAAAAAAATTTAAGGAAAACACTTAATACACTAAAGATTTTCCATTCTACTGTACATATATAATTGTTCAAGCCAAATTTTAATCTACATGTATTCCCCAATAATTCCAATTCTTGAAGAGCACAAACGTTTTTGATAACTTAATACCCAATGAAGTAAACAAAAAATCACTTGCACAAAGCCAGTTAGCAGCAACCATTATCATTCACCAAGTAAAGAAGACACATACACGAAAAGCCAACAATGAACTACTGAGTAAAAGGCAAAGATGACTGCATGTCATTGATATATTACCACACTCCAGTAAGATGCAAACTATTTTCTTGTAATAAAACTGCAAATAATCAAATTAGACGAGTTGATGCATACAAATTTGCCTAGTCATTGCACATGCACGTTTGTCTACCAATTTGGGATACATACATGACCCTAAAGGTAGACAACACCAATATGTTCCTGATAACAAACACACACTCATGCTAGTGTTTGTTACGATAGATACAAGGTAAAGTCATGTTTAAAAATAAACATTTAAATTATCTGCTATAAAGCAGTACATATCACCACTGGCAAATTAGGTGGCCTAACTGCTGTTTAAAGCAAGATTTACATCGCCTTGCCATTAAACTTGCATAAAAAAATTGTCGTTCTTCTTGACAAAGGACTGAATGTACTGTACAGCCACTAGCCAGCTGAAGCTGACTATATAACACCACAGGCTATAGTTGTATTTATATATATATAGATATATATACAGTGATCCAGATACAGTTGCATAAAAGTCCACAACCTGCATGGTATGATACATAACTACTGTACTTACTTAACAACAATTTATAAATAACTGCCCATAAAACCTGGATGAAATGTGTAACTCTCCCAAAGTGACTAACCATCCTGGAGCTGCACTGTAACGATAAGGCCCCAATTCTGGAACGGCACCTTTCAAAGAACTTGGATGACAAGGATGAAAATAATGTCAATAAAAAACTTATTAAACAAGAAAAGGATAGGTACTCTAAATACCTGATTGTATTTGGCATTCATATCCTATTGACAAATAATGTTCTAAAACAAATATTAACACCAGCCAGACCAAACACAAATATTCAATCACACTAAAGCTCCAAACTAAAGTCTAATGAGATACAGATAATTTAAGTCACAGAAAACACTTGCCCAATTATTCCATGTATGGAGCAAAATAACACTGATTATAACTTGCATTTTGCGCTCACTGAGTGCGTTCTCTGGTATGGAAAGTGTATTTCTGTTACTGGGAGCCAGGACAGGCAGACTGGTTAGCTACTTCCATAGGCCCCATCATACTTGCAGGAAGTCCGTCAAAAGGGTGGTTCTTCGCTTCTCTACAATATCCATTTGGTTCTCCAAATCACCTCTGTCAGTCATCTCTGCACGCTCAATTTTCCAAGAGAGATTTTCAATCTCTGCTTCCAGTTGTGCTTGCTGATACTCAAACTGGTGGGAAAATAATTATCATTATATTAACTGGAAAGGACAGGGAAACACAACAATGCTATATGACTAAAACAACAATGAAACAAAACTTACTTTCTACAATGCAGTAATTTATTTCACAACTGAAGAAATTTACACAAAGTATATGCACATTCCTAGCTATCCCACTAGATTGCTATGCAAGGAAAGATTCTCGTGGTTCCATGATTAGAAGCATGCCAAGTCAAGGAACATCATCATTTCGTGCTAACACCAGATTTTTGTACAAATGTATCTGCTGGGTCATACTGAGGCTAGAGAGACATGGGGAAACCTCAATTCAGCCTGGAATGACCTATAGAAGGCTTAATTACAGTATACAATCTTAAGCACCTTAAGAGTGTAAGCTATTGGTCGCGAGACCAACAGCGCCTTGCCATTTACGGTCGCGAGAGAGGCGGAAGGGACGTCTTCAAAGGAACCAGAACAGCAGACGAAGCCACGCCCGACCCGGCGGGTAGACCGTCACAGCAAAGTTCAGGCTCCCGCACAAATCCTCAAGCAGAGCCTCTCAAAAACAGACAAAGGTGGGAATACAGCCGAACCAGAGCCACCAGAGAGAGAGACAAGGAAGTGGCCCGAGTTTCCCCACACAAGACCCGTCAGAAAAGATCAAACCTGAGAGGGAACCAGATGGGACTTCCATCAGTTCACCAGGAACCCAAACCCGGCAAGCTAGGGAAGAACCAAATCCCTGGCGAGCAGATATGCTGACTGGCTGGGTACCCACACCAGCCAGTCTTCGAGGTAGGCCAGAACCCAAACACCTAACAGAAGCAAGCGGGCCACCACGACCCGAGTAAGGCATGTAAAAACTCAAGGCGCCAGATTCAAACTGATTGGAAGGCAACGAACGCGGTAACTCTGACGCCCCACAACAAAACTGAGCCAGTCCCTGAACCTTGGATGAATCGGGACATGCTAATATGCATCCTTGAGATCCAGGGACACCATCCAAGCTTCTGGCTCCAACTGAAGACAGACCTGGGAGAGAGTAGTCATTTTTCACTAGCCCCAGACAAAAAAATTTAGACATGAACAGCATAATACTCCCCAATTATATCCTCACTGGCCTGTCATAAAAACCCAACTGGTTATGAAATATCCAACCAAATAAGGGAGATGTAAATTCCATAAAAAACAAAACTTAAGATGGCTGAACAATTTTTGGCCTTAATTGCCAGTAACTTAAAATAAAACAAAATTTGCCACAGATACTAACCAAGTCTTTTCTAGGTCCAGATTCGAGGTAATATGCAAAGGGATAAGTGTTTTGGAGAGTGTAGCGGCAGCGTGCAAGGAGAGCTGCAGCATCAAGGAGATACTGCCAATCAATCCAGGTGCCAGTGCCAGCCATCACCTTATTTTGGATCCTCTCACGGATCTTGGCTAATGTCTCTTCTTCCAGTTTCAGAGACTTGCTATGATTCTCCCACTGAAAGAATCCACTGTATTAAATAACAAAATTAAGACTTACAATGTCAAGAAAATATAAATTTTCATCATATTTAACAATAACAACTCTGTATCAAGCATGCATACATGTAAACTAACATAGCTGTCCTTCCATTCAGCATTACAGTACTCGACAAAAGTTTGAGCAGACTGTAAGTAGGCTTATGATTATCGTGAAAAGGTTGTGAAAATACTCACCCGCTCATAGTAGTGAAGATACTTTTTGAGAGCTTCTCTGGCTTGCGCATGGGCAGATTCATGAGCTATATTGGGGTTTTCCTTATAGCGAGAACATTCATAATATTCCGAGCCATGGGTTTTCCAACAGCCAAGACACATCCAACAAAAGTCATGCTTACAATTGTAGCATTGCATGTGATTGCAGCCACCATTTTTTTCAATACATATGTGGCATTTTGGACACTGCAAGCCAAAACATTTACATTAAAACACAAATGCTTTGAAAACATTTGACAATACAGTATTAGAATAACATAATTTTACACATTATAATCGACTTGAGAATGGTCCAGGAAGGACCGAAACGTCGTCGTCCCTTCACCTTCTAGTGTGTGGTCAGGTCAATTTACATATTATAACATTTGTATAAAGTGTATTATCCAATAAGAACCAGGGACACTTATGCAATCATCATCTCAAATTTGAAAAATATTAAAATACGTAAAGGAGAGTTTGATCCAATAATATCATTAAAACTTTCAAATAAATTTATATAATTCCTTTTTTTTGTTAATTCGTTATTCATTATACTGTACATAAATTAGATATTTAATGTTTCTGTTTTCATATTTGTAAGTTATTATGCCATGTGTTTTAAACCACAATGACTATATTTGTAAATTCCAAATGCATTTGTTTCTTTAATACAGTACTATAAATGACTTTTAATTTGCGGAAGAACTCATCATAAACATTAAACTAAACATATCATAATCATACATTATCCATTTATCAATCATTCCATTAAATCATTTTGGCATCCACATGCAGCAAAACTATAGCTTAAATATTAAATGAACTGCACACAGAAATCACAATTGTGTGATGCATCAAATGAACCAATCCACAAGTACTGTGATGAGGATTCGAACCTGCGTCCGAGAGCATCCCAGACGTCGTAGCTCAGTCGATTAAGGCAGCGTCTGGGATGCTCTCAGACGCAGGTTCGAATCCTCGTCACGGCCCTTGTGGATTAAATGAACTATCACATCATTCGCCCCTCAGTTTTTGTTATATAACACAAAAGGTTCTAAATCAATAATTCTTACATCTTTGGTATGTGCACTGATGTAGTTAGCCGTCTCGCTGTCATCGGCACACTTGGTTAGCCAACGCTTGATTGTTTCACAATCTGTTGGGGCATGGTAGTCACCACCACATTTGTAACTGTAAGATGAGCAAAAAAACAAGAATGCTAAAAAATGCTTAGGAATTCCATGCCTAGAAGTAATGGGAGAAGATACTCATGCCAATATGTGCAGCAACTGATAAGGGCAAACAAAGGAGGAATCAATCTGCTTAAGGTAAAAAAATGACATCTTAGATACCATTGTTATTTTCCTTATTTACAATATAATAAAGACTAAATACTTAATTTGATAGCAAGATGTCAAATAAAACCACCATTAAATGTAATGAAACACTTCTTTTTTGGGGAAGGAGGGAATGGTTTGCTTGAAGGTAGTGATGAACTGCCAACTGATACAAGAAATGACATACTCCCAGATGAACAAACCAAGTATCAATGACCAGAACGCCCCTTTAGAAGTCAACCATCTCATTCTTTGCCAGAAAAGAAAAACGAAGAAAGGCTGCAGATGACGAAACCATTCACCAGGGTCGAAAAAATAAAAACCCCATTTCTGGAGGAGAGCATGAAGCTTCTCAAGCCAACAGCCAGAAGAAAAGAGAATTCCCCCCCCCCAAAAAAAAATGAAAAAGGATTCATGAATCAAAGGGATGACCAAGAAAATGAATGAAAAATCAACACCTCTATCCAGAGCCCAAGAAGGCTCAGGAGAATACACTGGTCAGAGGTGAAAAATAATACAAGGCAATTTACAAATGGCACTGAGGAAGAATTGATGCTGAAAGTCATCAAAAGTGGATCTGCCAAGACTGAATGATGAAATGTGAGAGTATTTGGCATAAGATGTAGATCAACAAATAACCAGGACAAAAACAACAGGACCACCAAAACAGATGACAAACAACGAAGAGATAAGATGAAGAGTGCTCCAGGAAACCTCATACTGCCACATAGAGAGAGACCAAAAGTTTAACCACATGCACAGTTACACACCATACAATGGCAACAGACAACCATCAGAAACTCCAGATGTGAAGATCAAAGGAGAACCTTGAACCAGTGAGGAACCAATCGGATGAAAGAGGTGGAGCTACAGGAAGACGCCTGGGTTTGTATACAGGATTACAAGGGCTGAAAACCAACGCTGAGCAGGTTACCAAGGAGCCAGAAGGATCACCCTGCCAGTATATGTCTCCAGTCTGGACAAAACCTAGAGCAACAACCAAACCAGAGGAAAGAGGTAGAGAAATCTCCACCTTGACCAGTCCAGCCAATAGGTATCCACCACCAGAGCCTCTTGATCAGGTAACAGTGCCAAGTAAAATGGAAGCTGCTGTTTTCAAGTCGACACAAGATGATCCATCTCAGGGTGATCGAACACCTCACAATGCCAGTGGAAGCACATGTAATCCAGAAAATTGCAGAGCCCAACTCCAAAAGAGGAAAGGACTGAAAAGAACCTGAAGTATACCTGGAGTGTGTTCTGAGAGTTCTATTACTTCCAAAGCTCGGCCTAGGAGTAGTTCGAATGGAGTCAGAGAACAGAGCCAAAACAGAGATGAACTCGTTGCAGGTCCTCTACAAGATTCCTTACTTCACATTCCTGACAATCATGTACAAGAAGTCAGCAATGTGAGGAGAGAATGGGAGCAATTGAGGGACTGCTCAGAAAGGAGCTTTCATGTAACTCAGTAATACTTCTGAGCAAGATTCCATCAGCTGCTCTCCAAGACAACAGAGACCCACTGATAAGGTAAAGCCTTAAAATAACATACAGCACAAGTGGAGATTTACTTGAGCAGAACATGGCTAACAATGGCCACTACTAAAAGGCAAATCCACCAAGCAAGCAAGGGAATGAGCTGAGCCATCTTGGATGAGGTAATGGACCACTAGTCACAATCCAAATGAAAGCACATGTGAGCCAACACTACTAACCGGTGTGGTGACAGGTGGAGATGAACCTCAACCCGAGGCCCAATGCATCCATACATGGCTTGAACAACAGAGGAGGCATGCACCATGTGATTGAACCCCAAAAAGCTTGAAAAAGATGAAAACAAATGTAGGTAATCCACAGGTAAGGAAGGGCATACACCACAAAGTCCCGATCACAGCACATCCCGCTCATACTGAGACAGAATAAGAAAATATGTCCATCAAGAGTAACAAGCTTACTGGGCCTGGAATCAAACTCCAAAAGGCTACTCCTGTAACAACTCCAAATCCTTGAAACTCATTCTCTCCTTAATTAAAGGAATAAGGCCCTGGGATGAAACCAACATAATCCTTCTGGTTCCTATGAGCATGAAGGTAGAAACAGAGCATCAGCAAAGGATGCCAAAGCCCCATGCATATCCCAAACAGTAAAAGAGGAAGGAATAGAAGACCCCACCAGCTACATCAAAGCCAATGGGCCGAGCCACACCCAGTGGCACCAAAGCTAGGCTCTCCTCCTGTCAGTACCTGCAAGCCCAAGGCCTGGGCTGTTTAGGAACCCATACCAAATGAAGCTTAACAAACTGGCTGGTCAGTAGCTGAGGAAGCCACCATAAACTTGGCACAAATGTCCATGATGATAAACATTCTCCTCATAAAACAACAGGAGATTCTGCCACACCACCCGGGCCCACAGAAGCCAGGACTGTGAAGGTCAAGGGAACTTAACCTAACGATCTTAGAGAACAGACAAAAATTATCACTGCATACAAAATACTGAGGACAATAGATAGGATGGACAAGGACAGTCTATTTACATTGAAAGGAGGAGGAACAAGGTGACATCAGTGGAAGCTGGATAAGCAATTAAGTTGCAGAGATGTAAAGAAATGTTCATCCCCCTGTACAGGTGGTCAGCAAATGGAAAAAACTGAAATAAATTGTCAAAGTGCTTCCAACCACAACTTTAAGAAAAAATATGACACTCTAACTTGACCATTAACAGATGTAATTAGCATGCCAGATACAATAGGTTAGGAGGAGAGGCATAAAAAACTAGACCTCACTCCCTTGTAGTCATTGATTGGTAAGAATTATAGATTAATAAACTGATTTTTCTCAATACAGATTATAATCTTACAGATTATTAGTCTCACAAATTTCATTTCAAAATACATAAATGTACCAACTCCAAAATACCATGCTCTCACTCACCAAAACTGAGTTTTACAAGCTGTACAATTAACTCTTTTTGCTCTGCATTCTTTAGCTTGAACAACAATATTACAGTTGGGACCCGGACAGAACCGTAACTGGGGATGACTTCTAACATAGTCAGCAAATGCATACTGTTGATATTTTTCTTTCAGTCGTGGACGTTTTAGCAATGGGACTACAAAGTCTTCTGGAGCGAGAACTTGACAGCTATTGCCCATACACTCAATACCTAAGGATGGTAATATTATCAGTTATTTCTAGCAAAAAAATTATTCTTTATACAGCACAGCAATGTCTCATTTATATTACAGTTACTAATATTCACTTGAACACTTCCCTGCACTTCTCTGTACAGAGAACAATAAAATACCAATTATATGCACATTTTGGGTAGTGTTAATGTCTTACTAGATTGAGCCTTATCCAAACAAGTTCAGCCAACAACCCACTCTTAATCAGATGTAGAAGTGAATATATAATTTTACCTGTGGACATTCCCTGCATAATTTGAACTTCAAAGTGCATGCTCCAGCAATCCCTACAGAATGTGTGACCACAGGAGAGGTGACTGGTATAATCTGGGGACATTGGAGCAAGACACACAGGACAAGTGATTTCGCCCTCTCCTTGCTGGCCGACAGTCAGCTGTTGAGGTGGTGTGACTGGCTTAATGTGTACCGAGGTGAGCAGCTTGTGACAATCTTGGCGATAACCCGCAACAATCTCCATTTGATTCCAGTTGTACATGTGAAGGAGCAACTTTGCTAGAGATGGAGTTGCCTGAAACACAGATGCACAATTTAATTAAGAGAGCACCCTCTGGAATCATGTGACATTCAAGGACAAATAAATACTGTTGTGGTATTTCCATTATATTAGAGAATATCTTTAACAAACAGTAGATACAGTAGATAGTACACATAAACTATCACAATTTGAAATGAAGGCTGAAAATATGTATGGTTAATTGTACATCAAGAAAAACCTAAATTAAAGCAATTCTGAATGGGAGATTTTTAGATGTTGACCAAAGACCCACAAATTTTTTTAATTGAAGATAAGAAAAACAAAACTTTAAAACTACAGTATTAGTGTTATGATAATAACAACTTGTATAATAAGCTTGAATCAGTTACTGTATACTGTATCTAACTGTTCACATGCATTACAACAGCACAACATAAAACTACTTTAATTTTAAACTTCCTTGAGCATCAGGGTATACCTGGAGAGGGTTCCAGAGTTTTTCTACTCCCCGAGCCTGGCCCAAATGTATATGCAGTACAGAGAAATTTTGGTACAGCAATGCATATTAATTTTTTAAATACTGTACGGTCAAAACCTTCCCCAACGATGCATTCAAGTAGTAGTTCTAAAATTTATAATGCTAAAAAATATTGATTGCTTTCCTTGCACCCTGCCATACATAAATGTTAAAAGTTTGACACATTTTCCAGTGTTTTCCAGTTATACTAAAACACTGCACAAAATATTGAATCATGTGAAAATCATAAATTATCCCTACCAGGTATATTTAGTAGCCGTGCTGTGTTACTGTAATCCTGAGCTCATCTCTTACCTGTATACTGTTTGAGAGTTGCTCTACTGATTCATTAAGAAGCCTCTCAACCTCTGTGTCAGTGAGACAAGCAACATCAAAATACTCGGGATCATTCTTCTGGGGATCGACATGGTCAACATCACCATCATATTCTTGATCATAGTACCCATCATAATCATCATCACTAAATTCCATTTCCTCGTCAGACATCTGCAAATTACAATTATGATAAAAAAAAAATTCTATGATAAAATTCTTAATGATTATCATAACAACTTGGGGTCAAGTCCTGAAGCCATTATGTGCCTCCGTAATATTTTTCACTACCTCACACAGGATGGGTATGTGGGTGCAAAATAAATAGACAAAATTAAATCATAACAAATACAGTAAACTCTTAAATGTTATAAGCAAAAACAAAAATGATCTAAGTTTCAGAACACTCCCCATGTGGAGTGCAAAGATTTTGCAACAGAGAAAAACAGGGTTCAGACCATTAAGACTAGGTTTGAGAAACCTAATAGAATTCTATGATACAGTTATCACTAAAAACATAATACAAAATAAAAATAAGTAAAATATTTTTGGGTGAGTACCCCACCCCCCCCAGCGGAGGATAAGCCAGCTGATCATAGTAAACAACGGACTCACAGCAAGAAAACTAATATTACTGTACAGTATATCAATAAAAAGAAAAAATACACTAATGTATATATCATTCTGCTAAGGAAATACAAAAATTTAATGTAGCACTGATGACAGTAAGTTATGATAAATGTGGCCATTGAAATTGTGAAGTAGGAAGACAATGTTATGAATCAAATGTGAGAGTTGCAACACCACTGTATACCACTGTACTTGTCTTGAGATCTCCGACACCTTATGCAATGTATACAACAACGAGGAAACTGAAGACAATGGCCTCTTTCACTTTAAATGCATTAACTATACTGACAAACTCAGTAAACATAGAGAGAATAATGATGAAACAATTGATGAGAATAATAATGGAACAATACATGGAATCAGAGAATATGAAAATATTATATATGAAAATATGTATGAAAATAAAGACAAAATAATTGATGAGAAAATAATAAAGAAATGCAGGAGGGTCACAAAGCAATAAAAAGAGCTACAGAAGGAACAGAAGATACAGTATTGATGAAACAAAGCTTCACGGGCTTTAAACAGTAATAATACTCGTATAGACATGTTCCCCGAGGACAATCGGGAAGAACCTGGAGAGACATCAGGCACTAGGGAAACACAGTGAATACAGTACAAGCAGAGTACAGGATAGGGATGCATATGCCTAAGAGAGGGCTGCAGAAGCCATGGATAGGTAAAGACAAAAAAAAACTTATTATAAGAAACCTTACAAAAGAAGACGACAAGAACGCTTAGCAAATCATTAAAGCAATGATAAGAGAAACTGATAGGCAAGGAGGAAGATCTAAGTATTTCCTGTGTAGGGAGAATAGATAAGTCTGAAGCAAATCTAGTATGCATGACCATTGCAAATTTTGAACATGGAAGAACAATACTCAACAGTGCACACAAACTAAAAGATCATGACAGGTATAACAAAGTTTACATCTTGCCAGACCTCACAGTAGAGCAGCAACCAAAATGACAGGGTACTAGGAGGCAAACTAAAGGCATTCAAAATACAGACCAATACAAAGATTCAAAACTAAAGATCAGGAGAGGGTAGGTGATCATGACAGGAGGAGGAGAGGACATAGTCCTTCACCCGACCAGACAGAACTAACCCTATATATCTCCGACGAAAAATGGGCACGAAACCGGAGTGACAATGAATGGAACAGTATTACAGTAGTGGAAGGGTTAAAGTAATAATCCGAGTCAAGCCTTTCCAGTATTTTTTTGGAGATTGAACACCGACCTGCAAGAAGTGAACTTGTCACTGTACCGACCACACCAAGTGGCGTGGAAAATAAAGCACCTTCTAAAAACACCAAGCTGAGACCAAAGTTCAATAACGCACTTCAGATAACGTGGAGTAACTATAGTGCATGCACAAGTGTAGCAAGAAAACTTTGTTGCCTCATCGTTAAAGTTGTATCTGTTTGCCATTTTTGCAACCAGATCTAAACATTCTAGTTGCAGCTATACAGGTAATTTAGCTTCCCAATTGGATATTGATATACAAGTCATACAAGACGTATACAGAACTACACCTCAGTTCTAGTAGAGGGCAGAGACCCTAAACTTAAAAGTAGTGCAGCATCTTCCAATGACTTTTGGAACAAAAACAATGCAAGGATTTCTGTGAAATCTCACCTTGAAAACTAAAATAACAAATTACTCCCTAATTTGACACCTGATCTAGTAAATATCATCAACATTCACATATAATACCCCAGTAACCGGAGAAAAACCACTAACGTCTTGCACTGAAAAATGTTCAGGAAATAAGGTTGAATCACCATGCACTTGCTCCTAGCAACCAATACTTCATCAATATCCGCCATTTAAAAACAAAATAAGACATCGACTGGACACCAGGAATGTGTATCTACAACTTATTCTGAAAATGGGAAAATAAAAATGGTAATAAAGGTTAAATACATAGGTGTTTTGGACATTAAAACCTCCTCCAAGAGAAGAATTGTACCACCATTCCTGGCCCGTGATTTACCCTCATACATCCCTTGTGTGGCTCGTTGGGTATCTCTAACTTGTCAAAGTTACATTAGGGCAATGCCTTACCTTGGGCACGCTATACAAAGTTAGGACCCTTGACTTATTTCTGAGGTGCGTAATATGTATTGATATTTTTCCAGCTGCTTAGTTTACTATTTCCCCAGTCGGCCGTTCCAATACTATTTGCTGCAGCTCTTTCATCGCTTGTATTCATCAATAACTTCAACCATAACCACGGAACCCTTCTTACGTTGAGAGTTAATGAAGAACCTGTTTTTCCCCTCTCTCATGCAGGTCAATTAAAACAATCATACGGATTTATTAAATCATTTTAAAAGGCTGGAGACTAGAGGGGGTGAGCGTGAGGCTGCCGTTTTCTACAGTGTTGGATCCCTTACAATATTTCCACCAACTTGAACTCACGCACACAATTATCTCTACTCTTTCTTATAATAATTTAGTATTATTGGCATTATTATCATTACCATTATTATTATTATTATTATTATTATTACAACTCCCATTCAATATTTCCACCAACTTTAACTCACACAATTATCTCCACTCTTTCTTATAATAATTTAGCATTATTGGCATTATTATCATTATTATTATTATTATTATTATTATTATAAGCCCATTCTTGTAGCTACCACTGCCACGGACTGTGTAACACATTTGCATATGTATTGGGACAAAGCACTTTAGCAAACTCTTAATGGGACGCGACGAAGGTTTTACTATTGGTATAGACCAACTTTTTTTTACTTTACGTGACAAGTGCAGATGACAGCAGAGGGGTAAAGACGTTGACTAAATGAGACTACATGTATCTTGAGTCCTGAATGTGTATACCTTGCATATACATGGGCAGGAACGGATTTATAAGGGGGCATTTGCCCCGGGCCGCCCCCTTTGCAAGAGGGGGTCTCCTAGACTCTATTCACAAACAATTGTAATAATTGAAGAATTAGTTTTACTATTAAAAAATTAACAAAATATGTGTGGGGGGCGTAAGAAAATAGAAAGACAGGGGGCACCTAAATTCCGTCTAGGGGTTTGTACTGCTAAGAATCTTTAGTATCCAAAGTTTGCTTGCTATACGTGCAGCCTGCACACCGTCGACTCTACCAGGGGTGCTGCAGCCTGCACACCGTCGACTACACCTAAATCCTGCCTCACAGGTTTAATAGAATTCTATGACCAAGCAACAAAAATTAGGCAAGAAAGAGAAGGGTGGGTAGACTGCATTTTCTTGGACTGTCAGAAAGCCTTTAACACAGTACCTCACAAAAGGCTGTTACAAAAGTTGTAGCAACAGGCAGGAGTAAAAGGGAAGGTGCTCCAGTGGATAAGGGAGTACCTAAGCAACAGGAAACAGTCAGTAACTGTGAGGGGGGAGACATCAGAGTGGCGAGATGTCACCAGCGGAGTCCCACAGGGCTCTGTACTTGGACCCATCCTGTTTCTAATATATGTAAACGATTTTCCTGAGGGTAGACTCATTCCTCTCAATGTTTGCTGATGATGCAAAAATTATGAGAAGAATCAAGGCAGATAAAGATAGACAGAGACTATACAGGATGACCTGGACAAACTGGAGGAATGGTCTAGAAAATGGTCTCTTGTTTTTTTTTTTTTTTAGCAAAAATATGTTGCGTTTATTGCAGAAATTATGCGCTGTGAGTCAAGAACGTGAAGAAATGTTTTAATTAAACGTAACCATTCTACACTACATTCAGAAATCACAATAGCGTGATATATCAAATGAACTAGGCAGGATTTGATGAGGGTTCGAACCTACGCACGGAATGTTCCCAGAATAACCATAATCAACTGTACCAAGATAGGTACCCTGTGGTTCTGTTCATTTAACCACTCTGCTACCGAGACCCTCAAATGAAAAAAAGATAATGAAAACTTTAGAAAACAGTTTAAAATTATATTGTATTCAGGAACTCACACAATATATTATGCTTCATAATTTATTATGTAATGTAACAGCTAAACAAATTAAAAAATAAATGAATTAGAAATTCATTATGCCTCAAGACACAATATCCAGGCACAATATTATTGGAACCGTGTATGTTTTGGTGGTGGATCATATGGCGGATGAACTGAACCTTCAGAGAGTTGCCGTAAGGTTTTTGAGACTATGTATGAAGGTCATACACATAATACGGTGAGTTGCAGTCAAATATCTGAGAATGTATTAAGATCTTTCTGTATAACACGTGTCAAATACAAGCGTTTACTCAGGGAATGATATTCTGAGTTTGACTTGGAAAATTTTGACCTGCCAAAGGACATCTCTCACCATTCATAATGTTAGAGCCTCGGGAGGAGGAGGAGTAGCGGTGCTGAGTGCCGCAGAGCTAGTAATAACTTAGTGCCAAGTGTGCCCAACATGGCACAGTTAGAGACCAAAGTATTACACCAGTAGTGGGTGTGTGGTGAGGGAGGCATCACCAGGTACAGTCTCTCCTCCAATGTCACGACACTAGATTTAGATTTTTTATTCCGGTAAAGGTACATTCATTGAAGATGAGTTACAAATATAATGTTGGAATTTAAAGATAGAGCTAGTACATACAATACCTAATGCTACTAGTATGCACAGCGTTTCGGGCAAACTAGTAGTGTGTGTGTGTGAGAGAGAGAGATGGCATTATTGGTTTAAAGTCATGTCATACTTTTTACATGAACTCTTAAGAAAAGATGAGATACAGTTTGGATATTTTGTAGCATTCACGATAGTCTGCCAGTACAGCTTAGTGAAGTAAATACCAAATTCTGGTCCACCTAGACATTGTCTTTTGGTTAGTTTTTTTTTTTTTTTTTTCTCACCAAGGATTCTGATCCTAGATGAGACTAAGGATCAAGCATCCTTCTGATCCAAGGAGACCAAAACATTAAGCAAGGCCAAGCAATGCTTGGCCTTGCTTAATGTTTTCAGAGGTTAGAGTGCCCTTGATATGACAAGAAGCAGGACAAGTTGCAGCATTATGAGACTTGTTAAGTAAGGTTTTCCATTAATATATTAAAACTGTACAACTTGGAGAGCCACTGATGTAAGCTAAAATAACTGTGTATGGCACCATTCCTCAGGCTAGATTGACCTACAGTGTGTTTATACACACTGGCTACTAGCCAGATCACAAGTGTGCATAGGAGATTCATTGACCCAATACTGTATGACTAGTAGGGGTGTTGCTAGGCATTACTGAGGTCAGACAATGAATTTGCAAAATTTGATTTTGGACTTCACTGAACTGTCTGTCAATGTGACTGTGTTTGTGGTATTTTATATTTTTAAGGGTATTGTATGTTTGCATATAATTAATTTTTGTATTCTTAAAACTATTCATAATATTGTTTATAAGATTACTAAGGATTGGGGACTTGGGATAACTTCCTTGTGTATCTACTACAGTAGTTTTAATAGTTTTAAATTAATGGTTGTAATTTTTAGGACATTCAATGTAACAGTTTAGAACATCAAATCTTTTATTAATTTTTATGTCCTTAAAATAATGAACAAAATTATCTGATTTAGATTTTGAATTCTTATTTGCTTGAAATTTAGAGCCTATGTGATTTTACATTTAAGATGTAAAAATAAGTATTAGAACAGTAACTGGTTTGCCAATCTTTGATACACCAGTGTACAATACATTTATTTACTTATTTCTGTACTACTTTATTTAGCACTTGTATTTGTGCTCTCCAAAACACCTAGGCTTTCAGTCTGATGCTATAGGTTGTGGCATCAAATTTTAAAATTTATGGAAAATATTTTTTGTCACGTTCCTTAAAGTCTTTGGATTGAGCTCCAGACAGCTGAGGATTATAAGCTTAGCTTAGCTTCCCCTCATTCTGTGCAAAATAAACAACAGGTGCATTTAGCACAACACCTGCCATTGCATGTCAGGTTGTTTGAGGAAGTGTAAATACTAGATTCCAAAATCTTTATGTAATAACTTTATTATCAGTGAGCACACACTTTGCATGGTATGATTGAACACACTTTTACAAACATTTTAATGCACAAAATATAGACTGTGACAATAAACAGATACAAACATAAAAGTATTATGTTACAGACATTTACTCTTTTTCTCTCTCCATCTACCAACAGGATCATTATGTGGACTGGTATCTTGCCAGGGACATAAGTATAAAATATCTAAGTGTATGTTAGGTTTACTGATATGCATGTGCACTAAAATATTCATGATACAATTTCTTAGTGCAGCATATAAAAACCAGGCGTCCGGACTAGCCAGGATGTGAATGATTGAGATGTACCTCAAGAAGGGTACCCCATACTTCTCTGGACCAAACCATTGTTTTAATATTGCTAACTGCATTCGTCTGCTCTGTTCCTGGCTCTGGAAGTTGTTACCTGAAATACTGGGGTAAGTCTGTAAGTGTTTCTGTAAATAAAAATACAGTATAGTAATAGCTTTCCACTGGCATGTTTAAATATATAAAAATACTGTAGTAATTTTATTTGAGTTTTGTTTATTTTTCAACAAATCATATTATTCTGGCTGACAAATGATCTGAATACTTTGTAGCTTGATCTAAAAATCCTTTATTAATTACATGATAAACTTTGACCAACTTAGATACTAAGAATAAGTACCAGTGGTTCTTTTCTTCCTTAATTAAATGTTTGCTCTCTAAACCAACAGGTATATATATGGACACTATGATCAATACTCCAACACGAAGAATGTCATTGCGACGTAAGCGAAACACTAAAGGCACTGATGGCACAGGTACAGTATGTAATTTTTATATACTACAATGTAATTTTGAAAAATGCAAGATAGAAAATATTTGTAGGTATAGATTTTATATAAAGACATAGAAAGCAAAACAAAAAATTGGTTTGTGTGTATAAATTATATAGTACACTGTATTACATTTTAAAGGGGAGGGGGGTAAATTATTCAAGCAGAGTTTATACAATTATAAATCAAATTTGGGAGCAAATTTAGAAACTACAATAGGATTAGGTCATTGACCCTTAGCTACTTCTGAGTGAGTTTTTCTTTTAAGGGAATACAAATATCTTATTTAACTTTTTGGAAAATCCTGTTATGAATCAAATGAAGAGATGTTTTTCACATGACATCACAGTCTAGTATGTGCATGCAGTATTTACTGAAACATCAACCAAAATACTGTGCAGTATTGTATATCATTGGCAAAGTTTCTATGCATTTTTAAATCCTAGACTGGATATCATAAAATTGTCAGCATGCTCACACAAAATACTGTATCTGTTTTTCTTGTGAAATAGAAGATCTGTATGGAACAGTTTGAAAACAAAAATCATAAGTACAGTACTATACTGTACTGTATATCCTTATTGTGGCCTGGCCATTGGTCAGCATTCTGTCTAGCATGGGTCAGCATCTCAAGATGATGAGAGCTTGAACCAAACATAAATTAATTATGTATAGTGTATACTGTGTATATATATTGTGAAATACAGCATATTTATGTGTATATGGAAATGAAAAATGTTTATGTAAAAGAAATAATTTTGTACATAAACAGCATTGATCTTTGTGTTGGCCTGGCAATTGCAGTTTTTCATTTAAGAATATAAAAATAAATGAAACTGCAGAAGGCTTACTGGACCATACAAGCTAGCTCCTATTTTTAATTTGTGAGATAACATTGTCATACTTTTCTGTACTGATTACAATGAATTTGCCTATTCTTTAATTCAGTGACCAGAACTAAACTACGTAATCTCAGTGTGCCTTAAGAAAGGCAAGATAAAACTGAAGAATACCATAAGATATCTTTTTGTTAATGCTTCTAGATATGAATCCCAGTATTGTATTGGTCTTGGTCTGTACATTTATACATTTGTTTTTTTTACGTTATCGGAATGTGGAAGTTTTAATATAGATGTAGGTTGACCTTAAATCCTTAATAGTAATAATATATATATTTCAGTGTCTGTACATTTTTGAAATTTCCATATTCCTCTTACTCTAATGGGGTTGTTTATGTTTCTATGGAGTAGAGTGTAATTACTGTACTTATTATATTAATGGGTTTCAGAATCACCTGTATCAAAGAAGAGCTCCCCATTAATGGAAAGTAAGGATGAGGAAGCTTCAGCCAATACCTGTACTCCAAAATCCCAAGTTTATAATTCTCGTCGAATTCGAGGCCAGACAGCTGTATCTCCTGGTCTGTCATCAGGGACATTAAAGGTATTGGCTGATGATTTTTATATTTGTTGTGCATGGCATTTTTTTTTATATCCTCTACTCTTCTGACAACATGTGTCTATGCTGTTTGTGTTATAAACACTAAATGAAGTGCAGTACTCTACAGTATACATTGGTATACATATCTTTTCCTACACTGTTGTTCTCAAAGTTTGCTTCTCCATACTTTGAGATTTTTATTACCCTATCGGTATATATGTTGAATGTTATTAGTGTAAGTGAAGTGGAGAGTAAAGTGAGCCAGGGAAGGGTATTGCCTAGTGCAATAAAAGTCCCAATAAGAGAACATACAATAGGTAAAGAGAGAGCCAGAGGGCTGTAATGAGAAGCGGTGGGATGTTGGTGTGGCATGGACATAAAATATCACAAATTAGAGCAGTAGAAATGAAGAAGCTGAGAGGTTTGTGCGATGTCAGAAGAATATAGCGTAAGAAATGAAAATGGCACAGTGTTATGGAGAGCAAAAATTTGGTGAATACAGTAGCAAAACTGAGGAGAGTTTACAGAAATTTCCTATACATTTCCTTTACATATCCTGTACCCCATAACTTATTCCCTTAGAATTCAACATTTCCTAAGTTTTAATAATTTTTTTCTTCAGAATAATGAGCAAAGTTTTCACACACCTAATAAAAGGCAGCAGCATCACACAATTGAACATCGGCAACAACATTCACCCGACACACCGCTCATTTGTAGTCAGCTGTGCGGGACTCAGGAGTGTGAGGTGGTGTGGGACTGTAACTCTCCCGGTTACTCCAAAGATGATCTAAAGCGCAGTGAGTACAGTACTATTTCTCTGAGATCACACTTGACATTTTTTGTATGTACTATATTACTGTGTACATAAATTGCATTATTCGTGTTAAAATGAACATTATGCTAAACATACATATATATGTTAATTCAAAAGAGTTTTTATAACAAAATGTGTTACCATGTACACAGAACTGCCACAGAACAAAATGTGTTACCATGTACTGTAAATTATTTGTACATGTAAGTTGAAAATGGAATTCTTTTTATGACAGGCTTCAAATGTAAAAGGAAACATAGAACTTTGTTGCTTTACAGAATGAGTGGGGCTTTTACATTGAAGGCAAATTTGGTTCTGTATTGTCTTGAGAGGTAACGATTCCATTTATGTTTTATGGAGAGCGCTAAAGAAATAAATTGGGAGATTAAAGAATGGGAAGCATGAAGTGGTAACTAATTGATCAGAACAATACATTGGTGATAGTAAATTATATATATTTCTTGAATTTTGTACAAGATGGCACCTACTCATAAGAATGATTATTTTTTAGTTATTGTAATAAGAAGAGATTATTTATAACGGTAATTATTTTCTTACAGTGCCAGGTGGTGATACCGGAGAGAGGGACTCAGAGGAGAGCCCGGTGGTGTTTGTTGCACCTGCATTTCATCGCCTGTTTCCCCGAGCTCGGGGCCGCCCACCACCACCAACAATAATTACAAATACCACTGCACAGTTAGATGAACTATTGGATCAGCTCAGCAGTAGACGTAGGTTTTCAGACTTGTCATGTGAGATAATTGTAGTACAGTACATAATACAAACTGTACAGTACAAGTTTGCATTTATTTGTATGTAGATGTAGATTTAAGTATCAAGTTATTTTACTGTATATACAGTACCATTTATTTTAGGTATGAAAATTCTTAAATTGCAATAAAAATTTTTGATAACCAGCATTTTTCTTAATTTAGAGGGTAAGTTCTTTCCTGAAACTAGCATTATTTAACACGCTGCCTCTTCAGCAGGAATTAAACTTTGGTCTCTTTGACTGTGTCGGTGATATGATAACCACACTGCCAACTATTTTCATTAAACCACCCTGGAAGCATGGGGATATGTTGATCTAGGGTTGCTTCTGTCGATTGCAATTTCTAGTAAAAGCTGTTTAGTCTCAAAAGTGTCACATTAACATATCTTCACTAGCTGCAGAAAATAAAGTTGTTTAACTATTCTTGGCAGCTGGGGTAAGTGCTAATGTGATGGGGGGTGCCTCAGTAGGCTCTTGAACTGGTTAATTATCTTTTGAAGTGAGGAATCGGTTTATTTTCTACTATACTTTGGTTGAGTTCAGAATGTGAAATTAGTGATTCATGATCTTTGTTTTAGCTCCCTAAGCACCCAGCATTGTTTCTAATAAAATTGCAGTTTGATTTTAGACTAATTAATCAGAGTTGACTGGTGGGTGGGGAAGGGGTTTAATGAATATCACAACCCTTTTAAAATGGTGATTAAAATTAAAAGGCATCACCAGTAAAGAGCTATTGGAGGATTTCCTTTGTCCCCATATCTATGTCCAGTCTTTGAATTACATTTATGAAAGGAAGGAAATGGCAAGTTTTTCCCTGAATGCTCTGTATTCCCTTCTCTGAGGCTGTGGGTCCCTATAATTGCACCAGAGGTGGGTACCTTTATGAAAGGATATTTTTATATTTTTCCTGGTCTTTTGTCAAATTAAATTTATTCTAACAAGTCTATCATATTTGCAGGAAATTCACCAGTGGAAACTAGAGGTCATTCCTTGACTACTCCACTACCGGCTTTAGACTTCAGACAAAGAAGAGCACTTCCTGAAGATGAATCTGATGCAACTTTAGAAGAGGACACGAGCCCCAGTACTTCATCAACTCCAGGGTTGTTACAGGATGCCTTGTCACAACCCTTTGATATAAGAGATGAAAATACTCAAAATGAGCAACAGCTTACAGTTCCTGCAACAAAGAACATGAACCTAACAATTTGCCCAGATGATTCACTGTGGGGTGATGATCTCAATATGGGTATCTGTGATATTAGTGAAGTGTGTGATACAGACACCAGACATTTTGAGAGAGAAAAAGTGAGTGCTACAGTTGATGGGGGTAGAGTGAATGTAGATGATCAGGTGAAAGATGTTTCTAATATGTCATCTGATATATTTGATGATGATCTGTTTAATGAATCTGTGATACGTACTACACAAGCCATGGAAGAAGCCATGAATGACAGTGTCGGTGGAAATTATTTTACAAATGTAGTTCAAAAGAAGGATTTGGAAGAATTGGAGCGAAAGAAGAACAACAGACTTTCAAAATATGATAACTCGAGTGAACATTCTTTAAAGTCTGATATGGATAATGGAGGTATTAAAATTAGCCAGAAAAGTGTAAAGCCCAACAACAGTTATAGAAATTTGAGTCACACAGTCGGTGATAAACGTAGTAGTAGTAGGCATGTCAGCAGTGTTCCCAACACTCTTCATAACAGTGCAAGTGTAAACCAGAATGTTAGAGTGGTTCAGAATTCTACTCATTCTGCCAGTACTGCTTACCAAAATTTAAATGATAATACTAAAGATAAAATAACTAGTGTTAATAGTCTGAGTAAATCCAGTGCTTCCAATGTTTATAGCAAAGCCATAACTAAGAGCCATATAAATCTTGCTGATGATGATAGCTGTAGCCCTGTCCTTGGCAAAACTCATGTATCCCCCACAAATAATCCTGTACGGAAAGTTAGGAATTCATTTAGATTAAACGTGTCTAGCCCTAGAAAAAATCGCCAAATTAATGCTCAGGATAATGGCTCTTTTGTGCAAAGTGCTAACTCCAATAAATTGCTAAACAGTGTGTCTGTAAATGAGAGATGTTCAACAGGTAGTGGTAGTGTAAATAGCAAATCTGAGAGTAATTTGGTAGTTACAGCTGAAACAAGAAGACTTGAATCAGTAAGTGCACAAAAAATATCTGTGATACATCCTGTAGTTGGGAATGAGTCGTATCAGGCCAACACGGCTCCTCCTCATGAAATGAAAAGCACAGTTAAATCTAACTATGGTTCTACTTACACTAGTATATCATCAAAAAAGTCATTTAATAATTGTAGTAGTAGTCAAGTAGGAAATGTGACAAATACAGGCCAGACAATGAGAGGACCTTTATTGCGCTCACATTCCACTGATAATCCAAAGTCTGTTGTTGGTAATTTGACATCAGTCACACAGCGGAGCAAAAGTTCAGTGGAAGGAGACGCTTCCCGAGAATTTGGAGAGGATGATGAATTTTTCAGGTCATTACTGTCGGTTCTTCCTGAAGACGAGAACCTACTTGAAAACCCTCCTTTCCAATCAGAAATTAGTGTACTGAAAGGTAAAGAGGTAGCCTTACCTCAAGGCAATAAATGTTCCGTGAATACTGTGAGATTTCTTGAAAACTTTAATACCAATAGCAAACATTTACCTAATGAAGTCCATTCAGATAGTTACGCATGCAGAAAAGATGACGCCAAGAAGCCTCATACAAAACCAGTAGCAGCGACTTGCACAACGTTGAAGGATTTGCCCAATCAACCACAGACTCTAACTGCCAGAAGTAGGGCTCAAAGGAGTCTTATCCAAGCCATACCAACAACAACTGCTAACCCTCATAATTCAAGACTAGGCCCTAGTATGGTGTCTTGTGTAATTGTGGATAATTTACGTGGTAAGTAGTTACATTAAGCTTATTATTGTAGTTAAAATTAATAGATACATTATTACCCTGTTCCCCATTTTGATTGCATGCGGATATATGAGCCTGAAGAGAAAAGTGAGTAATATAGTAAAAGACGGTTTCGTATATTAAATAATGAAATACTACAAATATCATTCGTCCAATCACAGTACATTATTTATTTATTTATTTAATTATTTATTTATACATTGTACATTGGTACATTGTATAAATATACTTCTTGTACATTGGGTTTGTACCAATGTACAAGAAGTATATTTATATGAGGTACATTGGGTTTGTGAGAATACATAGCATAGTATTTACAATCTTGTAAAGCCACTAGTACGCGCAGCGTTTCTGCCCGAAACGCTGCGCATTTCATTACAGCTATTACAGTGTATAGCAGTGTATAGATGCTATTACAGTGTATAGATGCTATTACAGTGTATAGATGCTATACACTGTAATAGCATCTATACACTGCTATACACTGTAATAGCATCTATACACTGCTATACACTGTAATAGCTGTAATGAAATGCGCAGCGATAAACAAGCACTACCAGGTACTGCACTCAGCAGTCTTCAGTCTTCAACAGAAGCACGCAACTGATTAATAAGACCAGGTGAATGGTGCGCCCTGTGAATTGTCAAAAAAGTCACTTACACCTGGACAGTTGGCGGAAAGTGGACAGTCGTGCCAACAGAAGCATAGTGCAGGTGTGGTTACATTCTTGCAAATGTTCTGAAAATCAAAACCTGTATAAATCAAACTTTAAGGAATAAGGAAGAAATGGGGTAGGTTCCAGAGATCTCTAAAATTCCACTGCTTCACACTTGAAAAAAACACATTTAATGTAACATTATTTACTGAAATGTTTATTATGCTTATCTCCAAAAAGTCAGGAAACAAGCACTGCTAAATGTGTAACATATCCCCATTTTTTCCCTCACATTAATGACCACACTATTTCTTCCATATCTTATATTATTATGTAAAGAGAATGAAGAGAGAGAAGGCGAGAGAGGCAGCTGGTGATTTTCTACTGCTGTGTGACACCAAACGGCATGGAATTTACACATAATAACTCACAGGAGAAATATGAAAAATTGCAGATGTTTGCAACAAAGATATTACAGTACTGTACCTGAATTAAGAACTAGTTAAGTAAATACTGATGGAATCAGTAACAAGCACAGCCCTTTTTAAAGTGAGAAATGGGACAAGAAGACATAGGGTGAATCTGAAAATGCAGATAAAAGAAATGTAAGGAAATATTCATATCCATTATAGATGCCCAAGACATAGCTAAATTAGAGAAAATTCACAGGTATGCAACAAAATGAATAACGGAACTCGGACATGTTACATATAAAGAGAAACGAGATTTCTTGAAGCTACCCAAACAGGAAGCTGTAAGAAACTGGTGGGATGTAATTACCACACAAAATAATGGTAAGATTTGAGAAAGTTGATAAATTAGATTTCTACAACCTATCTCAAACAGAATGAGAAGACATCAGTGTTTCTTGATCTTGTACCAAAGTAGAAAGAATATAAAAATATTTCTTCAGTGATATTTAATGAATGGTTCGGGGGATAGAACACACTATAGGAGAGTTGTATATGCCAAAACTATTATTAAATTTGATAAAATATGTTTAACAAGATGGAGCACCACGAATATGGCTCTTAAAATTATGTAAATACTGAAAAAAAAGTGTTTGACGCTATCTCCACATACAACTTTAAGGCCACATATGACAAAAACTTGAATATCAAGGAAGTTCATTTAGAATACAAGAGGTGTAACATGGCTTGTAAGCTGGATATACAAAACTAGACTTAAGTCATATGTAGCCATTGTTTGTTTAGCACATTGCTTTTTTGTTGTCTGTATTCCTTAGACCAGCCTGTTTGTATCAGAGATAAGACAGTCCAGGGGTACTTTTCTTATTACCCCTCATTCTATTAAATCATATTTACTGCTTCTGTTTTTATTAAATTAAGGAAGGCACATAGCAACACAATTTAGATAGTCTGGGAATCTTCATTGATGTTTCTTGCTTTGCCAACTAAAGCGAGCCCATTACATGTCATACATCCTAATTATATTTACAGATACTGTGCAAAGTGTTGGACAGGTAGATACCTTAACCAGCCAGCCTGCATTACCTACACCTCCTCAGCAAGACATCACCACTAGTGATATCTTGGATGATGATCTCTTTGAGGATGAAGTTTTAACATTATTAGATGAAGTGGAATGTGAGTACAGTAAAGTTCCAGTAAGTCAGTACAGGTAATAAAGTAAAATGTTTTATTATTGTAGTTCCTAGGATGTACTACATTTATATTTCTAGAAGAAACATTTGCATGTAGTGTGAACATTGTTAACTGACCCTCTCTAACATAGAAATATATGATTCAAGAGGTTATTGATATCCTCTTGTCTTATCCGCTTTCAATTTAAATAGGCTATGTTTGTCTATTCCACTCAATATCGTGTCCACAGTGATCATATCCCATTTCTTTTCTCTTTGTTTGTGAGGGGTGAGTTCCCTCAACCTGTCCTCATAGCCAAACCTTCTCAATTCTGGCACAACTATAATTGCAGTGCTCTGTAATATTCTGCCAGTGCTGCATACTTCATTAGTGTTGTCACATAGGCACTGTGTGTAGACTTTATGTATATTTTTTTAATGCTGTTTTTATGTTTGACAACTTCCCATATCCCGCTGACATTATCCTTCACACACGAGCTTCTGGTTAGTGTTAGGATTATATACACTCCAAGGTCTTTTTCTCTTATTGTGTCTTGCAATTGCCTTCCTCTTATGGTGTCATTTTCTACAGGTCTTCTGTCTCCCTTTCCCAACATCTTTATTGCCTTACACATTACTGTACTGACATGGATGCAGTGAGTTTAAATATAGTAGAGGTAAGTGATGTTACAAAGCATAAGAGACTGGATATTGTTGCGTCCTTAAAATACAACTCGAGATAGTACTAAATGAGAGAAAAGGTGCTGATGAAGAACCCTTGACCATGTCTATTTTCAGAGATTTTAATTTTCCTGCAAAATATGGCACTGGCAACTAACTGTATTAACTGATATAAATAACTTACAATTTTTTTTTTTTTTTTAGCAAGAGGAAAAGATATACTGGGCCGGGCACACATTAGCTCCCTCATCAGAGCTACGTATATTAACAATCTTTAAACACAATAACATCACTCATATTTGCTAAAATGATCTCAAAATTACAAAGGTCTTAACAAAGCTCATTTCATAGTAACACTGTTTACCAAGGCAAATGGAGTGTGTAGCCTTCATAGAAATTCACACTTAAGGGTATCTCATTAAATTCCTGGTAATGCCTTTTTTTTTAACATAAAAGGTCTAGCCCTGTGAAAATGCTCAAGTTTAATTGAATTAAATTTGTCAGTGATGTACATATATTTTTAAAGTTATTTGGAAAGTATATAAAGTCCTTTGATCAGAATGGTGGACTATAGTGTCGTGGCTGGTATTCATACTGTTTAATTTGTCCAGTTCCTTTAATATCATAACACAAAATGCCCAGAATTATATATATAATGAGAGACTAGGCTATATCAGTTATGACCATTTCCGATAGTTGGAGCAGGCGAAGTTAGTTGTGGGAAAGCCTGGAAGTGGAGGTAATGGCTCTCCTAGGAGAAGGTAGTTGTTGAGGATGAGGAAGAAATGAGTGGTGCTTTGGGAATATAGAAGCACGATGAGTGCGGCATTGTTGGATGGGGAGCTAGAGGATTTAGGAGCAGAGAAATTCTGAGAAATATGTGGAAGAGTTTAAAGTGGGTGAAACCTTTGGATATGGGAAGTCGGATTTCAGAAACATGGTAAATTGGGGTGACTTGGAAGTGTATGGTGACGGGAATGAATGAGTGCAACTTCAGTTTTAGGGAGGGGAATCAGATTACATAAAAGCTTGGTGTGGGGGCAGGTGTAGGTGTGACAATAATAATAATAAGCATACAAGATTCGGTGAAGGGTTCAGAGAACAAGAGTAGAGCAAGTGAAAAAGGTAAGGATTTTGTTGGGTATGAGTGAGGTAGGGGCGAAGTTTGGTTTGTGTACAAGTACTGTAATTTGAGTTAGATAAAGAAATTACTTAACTGGTGCTCCTAGACATGTTATGCTGTATTTACTTGCTTTTCTTGAATTATATTTTATTCAGCCATCTTTTGAACGTGGAAAGTTAAACTGGTACAGATGGAACTAACCAATTTTTTTATTCATCAGCACTGTATGGTAGCCAGCAAGCACAGTCTGATGCATCCAACTCTCAACAATCACTCTCTCAGCCTCTCAGATGCACGCAAGATGAGATTGCCCGTAAGAAGGAAGCAGCTCAGCGCTTACGTGAAGAGAAACAGAAACTGAGAAATCAGTTGGTACAGCATCAAAATTGTTAATTTGTATTAGTAGCCCCCAGAAATTTTAGTAAATATATTGTAATTTTTATGTTTGTTAAATAATTCATACATTTGTATTTTACCATGCAATAAATGTATGCATCGCACAGTTGGTAACCTCTAATACCTTCTTAATTTAGCATGACTTTTTCCAAGGTATGGGAAGAGGTGCATAGTGAAATAATTTCCATATTTTACCATAAAATGTAGTAATATCTGGTGGTGGCTTATAGAAAATTACCCAAATACCTTTTAAATCCTATGCATTAGTTACAGGTGTGATGTATTTACATTAAATGCACCATGTGAGGAATACCCAACTTATTTAGTAAGTTAATATCACTCCAAGGTGAGAAGAGCGAGCACAACAATGGGGAGCTGGTCAGATTGGTTGACGGAAGACTATCATCAAGGGGGTAGTGTCAAGTCTTGGTCAAACACAAGCAGCCGTGGGGCTATCAGGGAGTCTCTATACAATAAGCAGATACTGGAACCCAGGAGCCATATGATAACACCTTTAGTGGCAGAAAGAGGTGGGGGATTTGCAAGGATACCAAATGCTACCAGAACTTCCCCAATTTTACTGAAGGGTACTAAAACAAGAGTTCACTCCAGTGCAAAGACCTCTTCCTGGACACCCATTCCATCTACATAAAGTGGCCCCTTGAATGGCTCAAAGGGAAGTACACTACAGTAATTATAAAAAAAAAAAGCAACAAGCCGAGAAGACTATGTAGCGGCTCGAATGGAAATTCAAAGACTGCAATCTGCTCCAGTAGAAACCACCATCAGTTGCCTGGAATACATTTTGCAAATACCCACCTTGCCACACAACAGCCATTCCTGTAAGGAAGATCTATTTTCATTAAAAAAAAAATCAATTTTAGCTGTAAACTAACGTATAGTAATTGTATCTTGAAGGGAAAAATAACTGCCAAATATATTTTATTTAAATTTTATTAAAGTATAAAATATAAGTTTAAATATGATAGCACATTTAGTATCTATTATTGCTATATGACAGGTTTAGCTACTAACCTTAATTAATCTACATCCTTTTAAATAGTTTAAGTAATCAGTAGCTCAATGAAATAAGAAAAACAATCTAGTATATTTGTAATTAACACTGTACTTGAGACTATAATGAAAAGTTCAACATAACGGCTGTGGGAAGCACAGTATGCCACCTGAACTTACTAGCAGTTAGCTTGGGTAAACTTTATCCATTTCTATTTCTTTTAATTAACTTCAAGATACTCTGCGCACAGTGAAATATGCTCACTATACCAAGATTTTACAGAAATGTGAATCATATTGAGTTTTGCCAATTAATTATACTAATCACCACGCCATTTTACAATGCATTCTTAAATGTGTATACATATAGAAAAATCTATGTAACTATTCCATTAATGTCTTATCAAATGCAAATACAGAGTGAATTTTTACCTATGAAGCTTCACCACTATACATCTCATTCTTATAAATAGGTTTAGAGTACTGAATTTGTTAAGGCTTGTACACACAATATCTATTTGTTTACATATGAAGTGATGTACACTATATGTACTCATTACAGTAATGATGTCAAAAGTCAAAAATAGCTTATTTTATCCAGGTAGTTAACACAGGGAAATGAACCAAGAACTGCTATTGATAGCACAAAGTGCTGACAGCTATGTATAAATTGAACAAAAAATAAGTACAATTCTTTGGCACCGAAAATGACAAACAAACTTAAGTACCTGAATGTTTACTAACTGTATTGTTTATGCTACTTTTGGTGACCTTACTACTAATAATATTTTACTTATTTATCCATCTATATGATACATGAATAGTGGAGAATTCATAGGCAAGACATGTACAATACATAAAGCCACTAATATACACAGCACTTTGGGCACACTTCATTGCTCAAGTCTCTATTTTCCTTTTTATTATCTACTTGTTGTAAGAAATTTAAGCAGAGGCCAAGTACTGGAACTGTTGTTAGAGTGATATATATATCACCTGGTGATGCATCAGTGTGAGATTTGAATTATCTCTTCACAAATGTAAAGTGTCTGGGATGCTCTCGGACGCAGGTTCGAATCCTCATCACGGCCCTTGTGGATTTGTTCAGTCTTCTCCTTAGTCACTCTTTTAAACTTCATAAACTACTATTGGCATATCATCAACTAAAAGATATAGATTCATCTAAGTGTCATGGATGGATCTTTACTACCCAATTTTTATTAGCTATATTTTGCCTTTTTTTAAAAGTACCTTCTCCCTAAATATTAAAATACAAAACACCAATAACAATTTTAATTTCGGCACGTTTTAAGTTACAGTACTCTGCTTACCGTGTAAAACTTTTAAACCACCGTTGAATATTTTTAACTGATGGTATCATGGATTAGTGGGCAGAGTGCTAACACACTGCCTATCTGTTATTGTAAGTACTTGGAAATACTTTTCAGTACACAAGGAAGATCAACAATACCTCTTCAAAATACGTGTATTTTTTAATAACATTTATTTATGAACAAAATTAGCCCATCCTTCTATCCTCAATACAACCTGCGAACCTAAAGGAATACAGTTTTAATCTTTAAAAAGTTTTAAAAAACATTTATTTTTAAATATGGTTACCCTGACTTTGATTACAATTTCTACATTTCAGGTGTTGAGCGTAAACTGTTGACATGATCAAACATCAATGACAATACTTGTTTGAACTAACACATTATACTGATAGCATACTAATGTACAATACTAGTCATAATGGCTTGGCACTTTCTGCTAATATTTCCCTTACCTTCCTGATAATTGCTTTAGTGTACAATATCTTTGACATTTGTAAATATGAGTTATACAAGTTGATGAATTATGATGCAATTGAATAATGAATTGCATACACTAAATTTTACTTATTAATGTATATAATTCTAAATACTGTATATTGTATTGATTTTATTAAAATGAATTTTAAATTTAAAAAACTATAAATATGAGTAATATCAAAGCACATAAGAATTTGTATTGTCAATATAAACCTCAAAACTTTTCAAGCAACTGCAGCTCAGATGGTTTTTAGACCACCTAAAAAAGTTAACTATCTGGAACTTCAAACATCTTTCAAAACTGAGTTCAAATTATATAAACCCCCACACAGAACCATCTGTTTAATCCCAAAGGTACAGCTTCCATACAAACCTTAGTTTGATCATTTGTTTTGATAAGTGTGGGTTGGTATGCAATAGGCAGTATGCAATACATATTCTATTTGATCTATTTAAAAATAGATGTTATGAATAACATTACTTCAAAGAAAGCAACAATCAGTGCACTCGCTTAAAGCCAACTTCCATATAGTCGATCACTACATTAGGGACCAAGCAAATGCCTCGTCAAAACAGATTTGTTGTATTACAAAAAATAAAGTCCAATAGTGACAAAAGGCGTGGTGAAGTACGATATGAAATTATTTTCCAGTATTTTTGTTTCTTTTTAATACTAAATATTTAATTTTTTTTTTACCTTTAACAAATGTTTCATTGTGCTTGTACTACATGTAAATTGTGCCAAAAAGCTTGTTCTTGTGAATTTTCTGTAGCATCCATAGACCTACTTTTCATGCACACACATACTACCCACGAGTATTCCCAGTGCATGCATGCAGTCTGACTTTTCGTTGCTCAAGCATCTTCATTTGCAGTATCACCACTGACAAGTTGAAATCATGTCGTTAGCAAGGTAAGGCCACAAGAAACTTCCTTACCCTGGATAAGGTAAATTTATTGGAGAAATTAGACAGTAGCGGGGCAGACAAACTGCTGGCAGAGGATTATTGCATTGCCACACACATGAAAAAGCTACGGAAGGAAATTGTGGAGGTAAGAGCAGCGACAAGGAAATCTCAAGGCCATCAAAATCCAAGCAGTTAGATGTGACTGCTTATCAGTGGTTTATATATGGCAGGAATAGCTATTGGTGACCTGCCAACTCAGTCTGAAGCAGAATATATGGTACAAACCATAGGCATTAAGGAATTCAAGGTTAGTGCAGAGTGGCCCTAAAATTAACACATCAAAATGCTTTTGTTATGGCCTAAACTGATAGAACATATTGGACAAAGACAACAAAAAGATAAACAATGTACAGTATTTTAAATACAGTATACTGCATTGGAAGGCAAAACATTGGAATATAATTTAAGGCGATAAAACTGTACTTACCTTTGAGAAGAGCTGATTAATTACCACGCTCAATGGGCAAATATTACTGAACAAAAATATTGATTTCAACTTGTCACACGAACAAATTTGACTGTACAAAGATTTAACCATCATGCTATTGTTTCATCATGAAAATGGTGAAAAACAGCTTCTAAACTATATTTTTCCAGTCTTGATGAATGGCAAATGAAAATGCCTACAACTCAAAATGAAAACCAACCATAGAATTTTGTAGTTATGCTCAAAGGATTATGCTGCATATTTTTTTTTACAGTATCTTCACTTAACTTTCTCCCAAATTCCTCATTTTTCTTTTTAGGCACAATCATTTTCCTTAATCTTTGAACAACTTATATTTCATCTTTCCTTTGTAAAATCACTTGGCATAACTTTCCATGCATCCCTTCCTTTTTAAAAGCCAGATATTTTCACAGAAAAGGCAGTATCTCCCCTATTCCCTTTTTGACAGTTAAAATCACACATTTTCTATGGTTTTGGTTCTTTCCCAATATACCCCTTTTGCATTCACCTTCCCATAGTGACTCCTTACATCAAATATTTTACTTAATATTTCTCGATAATGTACTGTGTATACATTTTTCTACTGTCTTGCTATACACCACACTGATCATAACATTCATCTCCCACTAATCCTACGTTTGCACATCATAAAAATAATTTTGTATACATTAAAAGAGTAGACAAATATTATTTAAAATACAAATTAAATACAATTTTGTTTGTAATATACAGTATTAACAATTGGTTGAGATTGCAGAGCTTTTCAGTTGCCCCACAAGCACAGCTGCATTGCCTCAATATATGAAGCTTCACTGATCTGAATATTACATTATATATGGAATAATTACAAGATGTGCAGATTTCCCAAGATTTATATACAGTATAAACATAACTGCACTTTAACCACCCATTTAAAGGAAAATGAAGCACACATGTAGAAATATTTGACTTAATTTATGTTACTGGCATAAAATGTTATATTGAGAGTTTATGCACATTCCATCACCAATAACCACATTGACAAGATTTTTTATACAGTACTGGATAAAAATATATATATTCCATTAGTTTCTTGTATTTTATTACATGCTAAAATTAAAGTAAACCTCCACTAAGCATAAACTGAGTCAAGGCACTTGTATTGCGTACTTGTGCACATAATGGTATACTTTAATGGAAGGGAAGAGGGATGTGATAAGGCACTTACATTTTGATAGCACTATTTACACACCACTAACTCTACAACCACACCGCACTAAAATGCCTGGCAATAAATAGAAGAATGCATCAGAGAAATACATTTCTTTAAACATTATATTTCTGTTCAATTTATAACATCAATTATTTGTTTTCATGCATTGTGACCCAGCAAAGGCCTGCATAACATAACAACAAACATTCAACGGTTAATAAATGTTTACCCGCAGCAATTATATACAATGCTACTGGCAACTCAGGTACTACACGGCTCCAATAATGGCATCACTTTCAGACATGGAGAAGCCTCCACAAGATAAATGCCATCGGCACAATGACAGTTATTATAAAGGATAAGCCCTCTTATGGCTCCATCATATTATATTAACAACTACATGTACTTGGGTCAACCAGTAGTACAGCAGTAGTAACGGTGCCCATGTCACTTGTCCATGATTAAGCAAGCAAGTACACTCACTGTACTTGTAGTTTTCTTATCTCAATTTTATATCCATATCAGTACATCTAACATTCAATTTTGTTTTAATATTCATCTCTAAGTTTAGAAAAAATTACTTTATTCCTTCTTGCATCTATATTCTTCTGATTTCTAATACAATTATCAAAAAATTTAATGCTGCATTAGTCAACATAATACAGTATATCTCTACAAAATATATACATCAAAGAAAGTTACTTTTTGTCAAGCATATTATAAGCATCTAACTTTTGTACTTTCAGCTTCAACATTTAACCCCTAGGCTGCTAACACTTTCTGTAGTTAAATACATTGTATTCTTCTAAGCACATATAGAAATGTAGCAATCATAGTAATGAGTAAAATTGAGATCTGTTTAGGAATTCTTAAAAACCAATAAGATCTGATTTCTGGAATTATAACCCCCTTAAAGGACAATTTAACTGAGAAAAGGGATATTGTCCCTTTTCTCAGGTAAATTTTTTAAATTGTCCCTTACCTGAGTAAGGGACAATTTAATTTAGCAGTTTAAGAGTTAATTATCCAAACTTCTTTAACATTTTTCGGATAATTTTTAATTACCACTTCTTCACTGACATTCTTTTGATAATAATTACTTCGGTTTTAATATTTTTTTTTTACATCTGAACATTCCTAAATACCTCACTAACAGCTTTACCTACACAATACATAACTATTTTTATCAATGTATTCACATGCAACCTACGTAAAATTACTTTTGGAAAAGCATTACAGTTTTGTCTGGAAACAATCTTAAGAAAATATTAAATTACAAAAGACTTTCCTGAGTACATCAACAGTGAAAAGTGAAAATTTCTTTTCCCCCTTTTTTAACAAATATCATTAAGTGTCAAACATTAGTATTCTAAAACAATATAACAAAGATGCTCTGTAATATCACATTCTTGATTGTCACATCATATCTTGGCTGAAAGTGTTGCAATTCTATTATTACGCATTTAATCAAACAAATTATCTGACCGAGACCAGTACAGCAACATGCACACATGTACAAGTATTACACAATAATTCAATGCTAAGCTAGCATATTATAAACATTCTCCATGTTGATTTTTGTGTCTTACAACTGTAAGTACATAAATGAACTTACATTCTCTTCAGTATAAAATAGGGAGCATTGTTCTACATGGCTGATAGAGTAGCTTTACAACTGAATAAAAAACTGCCATTTAAAACAATATAAAAACATGACTTGCCAATATTATGGCAAGATTCAGGCCTAAGCCCTAGTATTAAACACATTACTGTACTTGTAAGACCAATCCAAGTGAAACTTATTTCAAATAAAATATTTTGAGCTCCATTCCACATTACCCATCAAAACATTCATGCAACTTGTTGTGAAATGTCAAGAGATATGTCACATCATCTGATTGACCTGTCTTTGCTGTCCTTACAAGCACTGTATTGAAAATTATTAAAACATTTTTTTTAATTAGGAAAATGTGAGAGGAGGCAAGTGACTCTGCAATACATACTACGTTCTGGCAGGTTCTGTCATTATAATAAATTATTTACACAGTAATTAGAGTGGGAAAGACAGAAAAACCAGAGGAACAGTAAAGACTGCCAAGAAATAATGACATCAGGAAATGGAAAAACCTAGGAGATATCACCTGATAGTCTTACACCAGAAAAACAATGTATGCAGAAGATGCACCCAAAAGAACAGCCTTCTCAATCCTGAACATTTAATAATTCAAAATACTACCCATACCTTACATAAAGCCAGTCCTGAAGCAAGCAACAACAGGGAATGTTATTGGAAATGCAAAACCCATAAAGCCAACTTGTTTGCACATGAACAAGGAGACATGGTCATAAACAAGATACAGAGATAGGAGGAAAGGATCGAATGTCATAACAAGAGGAAATAAATGAATTGACGTGCGGAAACTGGAAAAAAAAAGTCACTAGAGATACAAGTACTCCTTCAGCAGTTGCACAGCGAACAAGTGGAATAAGCTAGAGATAATAGATGCCAACTTGTATGACAGCATCAAAAAAGACATTATTGTCATAGTGTATTTCAAGGAATGGCTGCACCAGATGCCTGAAAGGGAAGCAGGGCAAAGACTAAGGCTAATCCTCCCTACCTGCAAACACTCGTGCATACATCCAAATGAAGCCTCTCAACCTACCAATATTACATTTTAGAAGCACATCCACGGAATTGGAAAGTAAATAATGCAGTAATGATTTTTAACAGTCCAATCATGTTAACTCAAGACAATATCAAGTAAAAAAGAAAACATTTGTAAAGTTTTACTTTGTAAGCAATGGTCATTGAGGAAGCAAAGAATTTTATCTGTTTGCAAATTCTACAGACATTGGCAGTTAGTGTTACAAGTGTTATTTGAGCATGTTTTCCTGTCTTCATAGATAATTTTAAAGTTATTACTCTAACACTTTCGTGCGGGGATGACACAGTATGGCGTCAAAAATTTATTAGACGAATATGCAGGAATAACGCAGTATGGCGTCAAAAATAAAATTTTTTGCTAAAATTCAGGTTTTCACCCGATTTTGGGGGGACTGGTTTTAAAATTGGCGCAATGTCTTCCCATTTTCCGTGATGGCCCATGTAGCACTGAGGCAGCACGACCCAGAAGGCATTTGAGAGCTGGATATGAGTGTGTAGCGGGTAGGCCAATGGGTGTACACTCACGGGTAACACATGATCTGCCTTTGGCTTGGCTGCGGGTGGAGCGTGTCACGGTTTTGGACATTATATGCATATACTCCTGTAGGGAATTCTATTGTGAACACATTGATACCAAAATGAAAGACCTAGGACGAGAACTGAGGTGACCAAAATGAAAAGAGTATTCACATTTTATTGCTTTTGCACGCTCACAGGGAACGTGCGACCACTTTCAGTTTGTTGCGGGTGGTACGACGGGCTTTTGGACTTTATATCTGCATATATTCCTGTAGGGAATTTTATTGCAAACACATTGATACCAAAATGAAAAAAACGAGGACAAGAATTGAGGTGACAAAACTGAAGAGTATTTTCACTTTTCAGTATTACCGCGCGCTCCCTTGGAATGCCCGACCAACCTTGGGGTGGGCACGCGTTCGCCCAAAGCGCGAAGGTGTTGAACAATAGTTATTTAAATTCCTGGCCTACAACAAGTTGCTCGATTTTTGTGAATGCAGATGGCTGGCTGCTTTGAACCACCATAGGCATTTCTGTATAGGGTGGGCAACTAGGGTACTTGCAAGCACAGACCACATTGCCTCGGAAAATCCAGTGTTTATAGCATTAGCAATATAAACTTTTTATTATTCATGAAATAGCTGGGATGGATTTGTTAAACGTCTATGGAGGGTATGACTGCCATCTGTTAGTGATTCAGATACCGTTATCATGCTTCCAACTCAATGTAATCGCCTTGCAATTTTAATCAAATAACTGATGCATTTTAACATACTAGTATTTCTTTATATACTCATTAAATAAGATTTGTGCTTAAAACTGTATAACACATTTCAAACAATGTGTGTGTGTGTATACACACACACACACACACACGTACCTTGTACGGGTTTAATGTTACACGTCTTAAGAAGATATGTAACATTATACCCAAACAAGGCCAACATGCTGGTAAACACTAAAAGCCAGAAAATAAACAAATCTGGAAATTTGCTTGACCACAACCATTCTTCAATGCATTACTAAATATAGATATACAGGTATACTTTATGTGCACACACAACATTAAAGTTACTTAGAAGGGGGGACAATTCATACCAACAAAAATGTTCTTAGTCTATGCCAAAAAATTTGAAGGAAATGTCCAGAGAATTGATAGAATTTGAAGACCGTGGTAATAACTTTCACAATAGTAGCAATTTTCCTCAGAAGTTCATATTAAGCAGTTCCAAAAATGCTCCAACTATATAGCCATTATGATAAAACATTATGCATGATATAGAACTATCCCAAAGAGAGAAAAGGTGTTTGGCAGTCTTACATTAATAAAATTTTCAACCTTGAATTTTGTTTATTATATTAGTAAACAATGCATTTAGAAATACATGATTTTATAATGCCAAATGCCATTTATGAGTCACATTCCTCACAAATACATATTTCACCAGTGATTAAATATATAAACACTCCCTGTACAAAATTACTTTCCAATATGGAGAATATAAGCAACAGCGTTACATCACGCTTAAGACCCCTTCACATTTGCCCTAATGAGTGAGCAAAACTCAAACAGTTGTAAAATTAACGCAGTATATCACATTTGTATGGTACACATCAAATACTGAATTTTGGGTATGACCTCCTCAGGTGCCCTTAAGAACTATTAGAGAGACTATACAACAGCTGCATGAACACCCCCCCCCAGCTTAAAGTTCAACTTTTCTCCCATAATGTCACCATTCTAGTTACTTTGAACTAAATGTTTGATGGGGACAAAATTCAGATTTCAAGAGTCTACCCAATCTGCATTTACACATGTCAGGCTAGTCATCTCTATTTAAGGCCTCAGTTCCTCATAGACCAAATCTTTTTACACACACACACACACAACACGTGCATACACGCATACACACATACAATATATATTTAGCATTTTTACAGTACTCGTGACTGCACTATGTCATATATCTATAAAAGAAGGTCTAAATATGGAAGCCTTGGCAGCAATTTGGATTTCTTTTCACAGAACAAGGACAATTTAAATGTGCAAGTCTCCCAAATTTAGATAGCTCCAGTTTATTAATTTACACATGATCATTAAGTGAAAACCATCTTTAGGAATATTGTTAATTATATAAATTATATCTAAGCTGGGTTCCTAATGATGTACCACTTCAAATAACCCTCTGTAATCATTACTGATTAGGCTAAAAAAAGTAAAATCATAATTGCCAAGTTTTCTCATACTTCATTATATACTTGTATGTGCTTAGTTTAGAATGATCCCGATTGAATGCCTAGTCAAATTTGTCACAAGTACCTGAAGTCAATGAAACCAAGTGTTCTACATGTATGACTCAAGTCATGAGAACGATCTTTCCAATTTATATGATTTAGCCAACAGTTTTCAACAATATACTGATTATCATAAATATGGTAACAAATGTGACCCTATTATACAAAAAATGAAATGGTTTGGCCAGCATGATTAAATTTGCAGTACAGGTGCTAGATGAGATGAGGTTATGGTTTGGACAGTGTTGGCATTATAGTTAGTGGATGCATGCTGGGTTAAGGACTTGGAAGGTAGAAGGTGAAGTGCCTGTGTGGCTGCTGAACATACAGCTGGTGGCAAGACATCTGATGCAGTGTAATCATTTTGATTTTCATGTTTGTGAAGTAGCTGGTCTGGGTATTCAGAGATAGCTTCAAGAGGCCTCACCTCTTCTACCTTAACCTTGGAATTAGAAGGAACTAAGCATTCTAAACTTTTCTGAGGATGTTCTACTGGCATATTAATATACACATCTTGTTCTCCATGCCGATCATTCTTACCCTCTTCAATTATCCCCGCTACCGAGAACACACTATTACCTACATCCAAATGGTCAATAATCTCAACATTTTTTAATAATAAATTGTTTTTAATTGTAACCGACTGTTCTATCTCATGTTTAACTGCTGGATAGGTAACCTGATTTTTAATATGTGTAACAGTACCTTTCTTCAACCCCTTCTTACTACTAGTTACAGAGATGGGTGACAACCGTCTGCTGCTGTTTATGGTCTGCGAGGACCAAGGTTGGTTGTCTTGACTAATGGAGACACTTCTGGAGTCTGTTATACAAGGCACAGAAGTAACAACAACAGGTGGTGATGGAGTCATGGCCAGTGAAGTTCGCTGTAGGTCTCCAGAACTTATACTTACAAGACTACCATTCTTAACAATATGATTGTTAAGAACAACATTGTTTACAACCTGTTTGTTTATGAGTGCCTTGTCATGATTAGAGTAAGGTCCATTAATAATACTCATGGTTCTGGATGGAGCAATAGTAGAAGCTCCTGTATTATACATATTACCTACAGTCTGTAACTTCATGCAATCTCTGGCTGCAGCTCTAACAACCAACTTAGAACTGTTCACTGAGGAAGTGAACGAGTTACAAGCAGCAGTGCTAGGTACAGTAGTCACTGGCATGGTCATGTTTTTATTAACAGAACTGCCAGCTAAAGTGTTTGCATTAGTAATGGTGCCTGTCTGAGTAGATATCTGTTGATTATTCCTATTTACAAGTGAAGCATTAGCATGATAAACTTTGGCCAACCGTCCATCCCGGCCCTGAATATACTCAACAACATACACCCCATGACCATCATTAGAATTAATGTTGGTATCTGGATGGGCACCTTGAGTAATTGCCATGGTCTCTGAGCTAATGCTGGCACCAGATTCCACCATGCTATATCCTGGTCTTCCATAACACTTCTGGGGTTTCTTGACAGTAAACCAGTCATTCTTACCTGACCCAGAATGATGCCTGGCCACGGGTGACATTATTGCTTCCTCATTCATGCTTTCCACTCCAGCACAAATTGTTATCACTTCCTCTGGGGAAATCTGATCACCCACAAACTCTGAGGAACCATCAACCATTTGTGCTGTTACTTCTGCCTCTTGACCAATAATATCGCCCTTCACATCTTCCATACAATCACCTCTTTTACTGTTACCTTCTACAACAGGTTCTGTGGCCTTTTCTAAACTTTTAAGGTCAATGTTAATGGTATTCCAAGAAGATCTTATATTTACCTTGGGCAATGAGTTATGCTCTGGAGGCGGCTGGAAGACATAGGTGCGCAAGTCATCCATGGCAACTTCCTCTGTTATAACCTCTTCCTCGACCCTCTCCTCCAAAAATATATCTTCAGCTTTCTTTTCTAGAGCTAATGGATTCTCCCAGTCATTTCCTCCTCCTACATGGCTAGATCTAATATTATCCTTAGATGTACTTAATTTATTAGACCTGACATGCAAGCCTGTTTTACCATTGGCAATTTGTTGGACTCCTACTGCTTTTACTAGAGTACTTGACAGCAGCTGACAACCTCCTACATCTGTATGATCACCTGATTGAAGAGACTCGTCAGTATGTGAGCCTTCTTCCTCCTCTTCCTCCTCCTCTTCATCATCATCTTCATCTTCATCCTCTTCCTCACGATCACATTCCTCAAAATCAGTCCATATCTGTTCTTCCTCCATTTGAGCAGCAGTTTCAGGACTAATAATCTTGAGAGGCTGACGAGGCCTTCGAGGTTTACGTCCTTGTGTCTTCTTCATGCGGTCTGCCTCTTCTTGTGAAAGGATGATGATAGCCCCCTGGGTAGTTAACAGTTTCCCATGTCGTGTTCTAAGATGTCGCTTATATGTATTTCGAGTTTTAAACCTGCAAAAGTGTTATTAATTTTTATAATTAAATTTCCTTAAGAAAAACAAAATACATTAATTCCTTTCACGGTGGCAGGGAGGAACTCTCCTCGGAAAGAAGGCAAAATAGGAAAAGAACAAAGATAGTCCACCAACCACTTGCCACAATTTCCTCACAAAACATAACTGCATCCTAACACTTCCACAATTTATCCACAGCAACACATTAATGCTTCACAAGAATAGGTGGGGTTGAATAACGGCCTGGTTTAATATTTTATCTTATGGTAGATCTAAATTTAAACTCTACCATCACTTACAAGAATAATCGTACAGGGCTCGGAAACCATCCATCTATTCGAGCAGAAAGTAACTACTGTATACTAAATTTTCCTCAAAACGCTTCTTAAATTACTAAAGCAAGAGCAATAATTTAAGAGTACTACATTTCTACTACACTTTCCGATTCAGTTTCTTAATTCAAGTCTTAAATTAACGATCTTCCATTCTTTTTTTCTTATTCTTGAATTTACATTATATTTTAATTCTTGTACTCTTAAATCAGTTCAGAAACCTTCACAAGCGACTGATAAAGCTAAGAACCATATTTGTCAAAAGTATCAAAGACTGATGCAAGATTCAAAAGGAATATATATAAAATCATACAAGTTTTGTTTTTTCTTAATTACATACCAGTCTCAGTTAAATAAAATTATAACCCATTTCTTCTCATTTTTGACAACCATTCATACTATCTCTTCAAAAAAACACTTAACATACCTCATAAGACAATCTGAGCATTCATAAGGAGACTCGCCAGTGTGACGGCGTCGGTGTTCTTTGAAGTGTGATGGATGGCGAAACTTGCGTCCACAGTCTACACAAGTAAATCGTGTTTGGTTGGTGTGGATGAGCATGTGGTAATTCAAGGAGTGTTGTCGCGTGAACACTGCTTCACAGATTCGACATTCATATGGCCGAATGCCTAAAGAAAAAAAAAAATTAATTCCTTCCAACCCAAATCACCCGCTCAAGCTTTATGATTCTAGAAAGCCCTAATGCAATGACTATAAAATATAGATCAGGTAATTATGAACAAAATTCTCAAGCAGAAATGGACAAACATGTTCTGACACATTTTAAATAATGAGCTTATCAAGTCTCAATCATTTCCAACAATTTGAATAACAATCTTTATTAAACTAAAATTTGTTATATACATTAAACAAGCAACTTTCCTATGAAAATATTGTAAGCCTTCCAACTATTTAATGGTACAAGAGCCTAAGTTGAAATTAAAATATATGAAATATATTTGCACATTTTTAGTAAAGCAGGCACTAATTTTCCAGTAGTGTTAGTATGAAAAGCAGAATGACAGGCCAGGTACTACTGAAAAGCAGTTAACTAACTTTACCTTCAAATTTTCCCCATCACAAGAAAGTGGTGGGTAGAGAAGATAAATGTCAAGATAACATTTTTAGTCATGCCTTTCAAGTGATATTTAGGTTTGACTCCATGAGTGCTCAATTATGTTCCCCCTTATTTACATTTTTTAGACATGAAAAGCTGACCTGAATTACCTACCTGCATGACTGCGGTAATGGGACAACAGAGTGGACGGAGCAGTGAATAGGCGAGGTGGATGACATATCTTGCATTCAAGTGTGTCCAGTGCCATAACAGACTGTGACCTTATTTCTGTAATAAGCTTCAAAGCCATCTCTTTTTCAGCCTGAATAATGAAGGTAAGCATTTAAAATTTAAATAAAAATTAATAACAAATCAAACTTCACATCTCACAATGCTTAGTGAACTATTTCTTTAAAGCATTACCTTGGAAAAAGCAAATTATATTTACAGTCAGACCTTGCTATTCACAAGTTTTGAAATTCACTACAATCACTATTCAAGAAGTTGACATTTGCTACAACTTCACTAAACACCACTGCTGGGGTTCACAAACATTAAACTGGCAAGGATTTTATGTGGCTTATGCACATTCTGACTGCTCTAACTTGACACTTATAAAAACGCTCCCTGTAAAGCCTTCTGCACAGAAAGATACCCACAAAAAGAAATAAAAAGGTAATGCTTACTTTATTCTATATCATATGTAATTGAACAAATCTACTTTATATATTACCACCTACATGTTTCTGGCTGGAAAGTGGTGGAAGTACTGTACTTGGTACAAGCTGCCATTGATTTGCACGATATTAAAAATGTAGGTAATTTTTGATGGGGCACAGGTTGAGTAATCTACAATAATCTGCATGATCTTCACTGCTAGTCTTGCATTTCAAAACTTTTGGAGAAATTGTACCCCAAACATCACTGCACATCTCATGCATTCTACATTTCATTATATGCTACATTAAATGAACAAATCCACAATGGCATTGATGAGGGTTCAAACCTATGCACTGAACGTTCCCAGACGTGCTCTAGTCAAATGTACCACGACATTTGTAGAATTGTAACCTGGAACACTACTGCCTTCACGAGTATCCTGAGGCTTCCACTGAAGCAGAAGGCCCTTGTGGATTTGTTTACTTTATATGTCACGTTATTGTGATTTCTGTGTGTATGCTGCATTAATGACTGGAAAATAGAGTAGCATGATATGTTATTGAAAAAATGGACTTTTAGAAGTCTTTGAAGCCTAACTTTTTCTCATATATATATAATACCTTAATACTTAGTTTGAGTGGGTTTTTTCCATTTACATTGTAATACAGGAATGTAATCCCTGCCAATTCAAGGACCATTTTCAATTATGCTCAGGCAGGTGTTTTATTGACATGTGGAAAAATGTATACTTTGGGAAGTCTCTGGAATGCATCTGTATTTTTCCCATACTGTAATAACATTAAGTTTGCAATTAGCCCAATCACACATGCCAAGTTTGTCTGGAACGCATCACTCGTGAATAGTGAGAGCTGACTGTATATCACTTCAGTTATGTCAGTGCCATAAATTTAAAGCTAGAGAAAAAAAGTATTGCTAAAATACAATAAAGTACAACTAAACTGCCATCTAATTTCACAAACTTTTGTATTTATAATAATTCTTGAAACTTGCCTTGCTTTGACCGATGAACTTGGCTCGGCCTTTGGGTTTTTTTCGCACCTTGTATTCATCCCTTTCTATTACCTTGGACACAGTCTCTACACTGTCAGAGGGATTATTGTGGTCATACACAACTGGCAAATCTGCTGTTAAAGAAAAACAAGAGTTGAATATAATGAAATGGTGGGACTTCAGTTGCTTCAGTACCCAAGATAAGCCAAGTGCTGATACAGTTGTACCTTAGCAAGGTGCTCCAGGCATCAGAGACCCATCCTTGTCTACCAGCATCTGGCTCTCTCTACGAGGGCAGGAAAGCTTGTTTTAGATGCACTTATGCTTTTTGGTGGTTTGTCTTAATTTTGAGTTCATTTCTGACCTCCAAGTAAGATTCTGGGCCTGACTCCTGGTAGGTAAGGGTGGGTGCTGGAGGTCTGTTGCATCTTCCAGAGGCATGGTGGTGTAAGTGCTCAGTTTAGCTCAGGGGGGATATTAAGGGGATCCTTCCAGAACTAAAAGAATGCCAAAAACAATTTTTAATCACAATAAAAACACTATTTTTAGACTTCTCGGTTTATACTTCATCAGTTTTGAATTGTATGCAAACATTGACATGTATAAAAACTCTTCTTTGGGCACGATGTACACAGACTAGATAATGGTAATAATGATTGTAATGGTGGAAGTGATGATTTATAGGGAAGCAATTATGGTTCGTAGTGCCTGCCCTTTAGCAACTACAGAAGTGAAATCAACTTTTTTATGCCCTACTACCAAGCCTTTTATACCCAATACACAAGTGATTATGATGTTTGTGGCAGAAGTAATGATAATCATGATAGAATGAGAGTGGGGATAGGTATTCAGAATATAATATAACGTGTATTAAGGGAAAGTTGAAGGAGATGCTAACTGCAGTATCATATTCCAAAATGGATTAGTCTGACCAGAAGGCTCAAAATGAATTTATCCAATCAAATTCATATACTGTACAATATATATATCGTAATATAACTGACATTGTGAAGAATTTCACCTTTAAGCCTATTTTAGTAATGATATATTTAGTTTCATGGTTTAAGAAGTACATTTCCAACTTTAAAATCAAACTTTTTATAGCAAAAATATATAAATTACTTTTGTTATCTATTGACTAATTAGTTATTGACTAATCTATGTAATTAGCTAATCTATTTATATCTATTGCAAAATGTCTTAGGTAATAATTATTTGTAACAACTTTTGAATTATTCACATGCATCACTGAAAATGTGTAAAAATTGTAGAGCATTCACGTATATTTCATATATTGCTCACAGTCCTCCACCTCTCCTCTGATGACCTATAAAGTGGTTATGAAACTTGCCACATTGTCAAAAAACAATAAAGGCCATATTTTGCAACATCATAACACAAGACCAAATATGTGATGGCATTTTACATATATAGCACTCATAGGAGAAATGACTCCATGTTTATCTTTTAAGGTTATTGTAAACAGTTACCTGTTGGATGCAAGAACTCCTAAGTATAACACAATTTCACTTAACTACTGCATGGCTTATAAGTACAAATAGCAACTTCACCAAACTACTGTTGATTGCTTATGTTTCGAGCATTATTAGCAACTCCAGGATCAAGAACAAAAGGTACCAATACTAAAAAAAAGTGAGAACTAAAGGTACTCCTATGCAAGACACCTATTTACTGGTGAAGTTCCCAAGATAAATCACACAATTATGCTTTTCAAACTCCTTTTATGCACTAAACTTTTTTTTACTGCTAATATGCAGTAATTTACTCTTTGAAAACTAGGTACAGGAGCCAATTTCATTAACAACGCACCTGAGCGCATAATCTTGTACTGTTGATCAGGAGTGAATTCCACCTCACAACCCACAACTGGCAGAGGTGTTCCACTGCTGCCAGAGTCTTGTGCCATCTGAAAAAAACAACTAAGGTCAATAAATTTGTATTTATATCTATTTAATTGAATAATGAACACTCTTCAAGATTTATTCTCTTTAGGGACTACTACATCTAATATAATCTAGAGATGCCATTGTACACGTTTCCTGTGAATTTATATCCAATCGGCATAAAGTGCAGATTGGATATAAATATAAAGTGCAGAAGAGTGCATAAAACTAAACATCATAATCTAATAGCACTAAAGAGGGCAAGATAAAGCTGGAGAATCACACAAGAGGCTTTATTGCTAATGCTTCTAGATATGAATCTCGGTACTGTATTCTATTTGCTGTATCGATATTTGACCTGTGATTCCTTCTAATTATGACTCCAAAATCTTTGTTCCCATTCAGATTTGGTAATTTCCAACATTGTCTAGCTGACATCCTGCAACTGTTACCATTACTTAGGCTACGTACCCTCAATTAAACTGCATCTACTACCCTTTTGTGAAATTTTCAAAGCATCTCTAAATTATTTTTTATCGATTTCAAATGCTGTATTCTTAATTTATTTTCTGCATTATTTACAGTGCCTGGAAATTTGCTAATGATTCTACTGTTCAACTATGTCTAAATCATTTATATAAATAATAAATAAATAATAATAAAATGTTTTTAACAAATAAATATATATATATATATATATATATATATATATATATATATATATATATATATATATATATATATATATATATATATATATATATATATATATATATATATATATATATATATATATATATATATATATATATATATATATATATATGTATATCAAAAGTTTGTGAGGGTACCACCTCTGGTGCCAATGTGGGGACCCATAGCCTCGGAGAAGAAAATAAAAAGTATTCAGAGGAGACCTTGTGGCTTCTCACTGAACACTAATATTATCTTCTCCTACCACCCCCATTCTTTTGTATGTACACATATATATTTACTTTATTTGAACTTTGTTACAAAAAAGGAGTTACATATGGGTTACAAAGATGGTTGTCATAGGTTGTCGAGTTCCTCCAGCTCCTCAGATGGCGGGCAGGAACCCTGGATGCAGTGCGCATTTCCCCTCTGTATCGCCACACTGAGGTGTATATGTATATCTATATCTATATATCTATCTATCCAGGGGGAGGAGTCATGAGGCATTCCATTGTCAACATTATTCAAATCTGAATTCACTACTGTTTAATTTACAATAACACAGTAGACCAATATTCAATGGCAGTACATTATATGCTACATTTAACTAATGGAGTAAAAAAAAAGGCAACATTTTAATTTTGGTTAAACGAGAAACATAAATATACTGAAACAACTTTTACCGTTATAACAAATTCCCGAAGGATCTACTTACTATGCCTCCACACAATTCTTGATTCATGTGCTGGTGAAGCAGAGTTGACCGATCCTCTGAAGGACATTCCTTAATATACACATTGCCAACAGAACCATTAATGCAGCCTCCTGAGCTCCATGATATCTGAAATTATTTATTTCTAAGTGTTGGGGGCAAAAAGTATTCACCAGTGAATAGGTGTGGGGAAGAGCATGTACATGTGGGTGAAATAATTAGAGTGCACATGAATGGGTGGAGAGCATGGATGACAAGTACGGTATTTAGATGTACTGTATTGTGCATGGGCAGGGTAGATATTATATGACAATTGGTGCATTGCAGGTAGTTAACTGGGCAAGTGCTGTGTAGTGGGAAGGAGTGGGAGTATATGGTGTATAGGTGTGGGTGAGCACTGTGTACTATAAATACCATAGGAGTGGGTTCCAGATGTTTTCCATGTATGTGTGTGGGTGCTGGGAATGCCATAAATGGAGGCCATGCTTGAGGATGGCAAGTGGAGGAGAAAGAAGAGGAGAGACAAAAAGCGTAAGAAAAGGAAATGGGTGGTGGTGGTATTTTGAGTGGGAGGTAAGTAAAATGAGAAGGGAAAAGATAAGGAAATTTGTATAGAACCTGATACTATATGACCAGAAGCTAAATATACATAACCTTAAAGTAATCCCACACCAATTCTGAACTTTGAAAGAATGAGAAATCATTCATGAGACCTTGTGTAAAAGAACTCTGCAATACAGAATTGGATGCTTGCCATACACCAGCATAATTGAATAATGGCACAATTATGAAAAATGGATCAATGAAAATTTATATACTGAATAACATAGCCCGAAGATATACAGACTGCTATTCAGTATATAGTATACTGATCCATTTATATACAGTATATAAATGGTTCCAAATTGAAATTTATTATCTAATGCAAAATAATTCCCTAGGGTTGTTGTGATAGGCCTACTGGAAACTTCCCCCGGCCTCAGGGATGTGTACAGAATAGTTTTATTGCAGCTGTGATTATTAATTATAGCTATATCACTCAAATTCTTCCTTTTCTGCACCCTACCTATCAGACGATATGTCTAAAATGTCCCACCACGGGACTATGGTCCAATAACAATGTGAACCTTCCTCATACTGTACTTTAATTAGAAACGTGTGACAATTAAATCTATATGCAAACTTGAGAAGGAAAGTTGGTAGTACAATGAGAGCCCCTGGTCAGGAAGGATAATATAGGATGAACTGAAGTTATGGATCTGAACACTTCACAATTTTCATCATGTAAATACTTACAGGAATTAAATGAATAAAATACACCCAAAACATTTAGATAGATTCTCTAAAGTATCTAATAACTTGGTGGCATTATGAGACATTGAATATTAGTTATTTGGTCACAGTCAATGGCAGAAAAAGAAAACAAAAAGTTAAAGGTGAATTAATGAACTAGTAATTCATAAAAAGTTAAGCAATGGGAGGCATATAACCACATTTTCTTGGTAAAGTATCCTACGAAAACAGAATACATGATTAATCAATACCTGACAAGGTTCCTGACCAGTGAACCTTTGAGGGCCATCAGTAGTGAAGACAGCTCCCGCACCCACATCTACCTGCTCTTTATTTTCGTAATTGATGGACGGTGCAGCTTTCAGGTACACATGATCATGTGACACCACTTGCTGAATTGGTGGGCTTTTATCCTCCTTTCTTTCCTGCTAAAATAAAATTGCAATCAATTGGGAGGTATTCCTGTATCCTCTTCCCTATTATAATAGGTGATAAAGAGCCTAGACTGGATACTTTAAAACTAAGGGTTGTAAAAGCAAAATACACCACCTGAATACTCGATTAGTGTTTTGTGGCTGCGTATGTGTGTAATAAATGAGAATAATATTGATGTTTTAGTGCATGATGAATTTTGACCAGTTACTAAAAAATGAGTTTGAGAGAGAAACCTCGACTTACTGACATTGCAAAGCAAATCTGCACATAAAAAGAATTGCACAACCATTAGCTATATGGTACTTAAAAACCATGTAATTTCCTTAAAACTATACTCATAGTTCCAATGAACAAACTAGAGCCTCAATGACTTGTAGCCTTATATGAGTTACTTATTATGGAGGTGGCATCCACTTCAAACATTTCTCCATAAGGCTGTATCACCAGCTGTATAACCCAACCCTTTCTTTTGTATAATGTTATACTTTCCTCTTCCAAGATACTTTTCATGAAGACCATATATAGAAGAGATTATGAAGCACTTGACAATTTCAGAATAGTTTTTAATTCATGCAGAAGAAATGCCAAAGAAACTGTTTACAACATATGCATAATACAAATTAGAAAATGCAGATGTATGGTGTCCATATCTCAGCAGCATACAGATAAGAATAGGTTCAAAGACAGGCTACTAAATGGCTCCTAATCTTGACACAAAAGAGCTACAAAGAAAGGTTGAGGCATTAAACATGCCATAGTTAGTAAAAGATAAAAAAAAAAAAGAGGGAATATGACCATCACATAAAATGTTATGACAATTGACAATGTTATGAAGACTTTTTTTTTTAAATCCACAACCAAGAATCAGAGGTTATAGATTTAGATTCAAGCCAAAAAAACAAAAGGCCCCCCAATAAGTATGAAAAACTTCTTTTACCAACATTATGGTAGACAAAAACTAAAATGAGAGGGTAGTGAAGCTTATCAAAACTGTATAAAGCTATAAAACTCTTCCTACATAAATTATAAGGAAGATGGACCACAAAGGGTATAGCTCTTATCCTAGAACAACATTTAGGTAACTTAAAAAGAATCTGGTAAATCAATAATTTAACAAAAAACTAAAAATATAAACCTTTATATCAACTTTCATATCTGAGTTGTTGTTGTTGTTGTTATCATTGATGTTGCTATTGGTGGCTTGCATTTCAGATGCCACACACTTCACCTTCTTGGCACGAACTTTTCCTGTAATCTCCACCTTTCTCTTTGGCTGCTTCAAGTCCATGACCACAATTTCTTGAGTAGTCTTTGCATCTACTTGCATTTCATCTGTTCTTACTGAAGGTTGACCAATTTTCTTGTCCTTGCTTATTCCTATCCCATCTCTCTTTTTACAGAATTCATTTTCTTTTTCCGGAGTAACAGTGGAGACTTTCTTGGGTCTACTGGCATTGTCTGCAATACGAGTAAGTGTTCTTGGCGACCCCCCAGATTTGCAACCCCGGCCATTTGTTGACAAGTTACGTTTGCGTGACCCTGAACCTTCTTGTTGAGCCAGACGTCTGTTCCTCGCTGGAATGGACTCCAGCACATAACTTTGACGACTTTGTGTACCTTAAAAGATACAAAAGAATTTAATTTCACTTTACACTAAATTTGTCATCAAACAAATATTGTCTATTCACTGTAAAAAATATATTTAAATGAGAATATTGTGATCTGGTTATTGTGATTATATATATATATATATATATATATATATATATATATATATATATATATATATATATATATATATATATATATATATATATATATATATAAATAAATAAATAAATAATAGGGGTACATATATATATATATATATATATATATATATATAATAAAAAAGTAGCAGAAAAAAAGCACTTACTTTTATGAACATCCATAAGACTTTTAAGATGGACTTGAAGGTGAGACTTCATGCCTGCTCGTGCCTTGTGCTCACTACCAAAGCTTTGGAAATACTTTGAGCAAGCAGCAGGAAGCATGCCACATGTGTATGTAAATCTTTTCCACATTTCATTGGACTCAAATTCAGCAAATAGTTTAACAAGCAAGTTGTCCGTCATGCCTGCTACGTGCTCTAAGGTTAACAACTCATAGTCACTTGGCTTGCGGCTTGTTGCACTACTGGCCTGTATAGAAACAATAATGGTTATACATTTACAAATAAAATTAACTACTGTATTACAAACAATACAAATAATTTACACAAAATGTAATTAAGATTTTCATGCTAAAGCATAGCTGCTAGTCTCACTGCCACAAAAATAAAGATAATGGCTTTAAGTTAATAAGTACAGTCCAAAATACATGCAGCTTCAATACATACAGTAGTTTTCAGGTAGAAAACAGGTTTTCAACATATTGGCAATAAAAACTTGCATTGATGTAATAGGGTTCTAGATACTATACTTAATCATCAACTTTGGGTACAACTTGAGTGCAAGTCCAAGACACTAATATTTGTATTAGGGACCTAAATAAGAGAATAAATGTGACAAATTGCAGTTGGAAGTGGGACCAACCAACCAGATTTACTCTAAGCCTTGGCAAGGTTAGTGAACTCAACCTTTACTATCAAGTGTACATATACAATAAACTAGATATAGTAAACTACAGCCACATAAATAGAATATCATCCCTAACAAAAAATTGTAATTGTTTAAGAGCCTACATGTACAGTATTTATTTTTTGAACTAATAAATCTTTCACTGTTAACAAAAATAGTTGAGTTATGCTGTGCACAATATATTTCATGCCCTTTACCAACCCATGAGGAAAAATGTATTAAAAAATCCACCCAACACACTTTTATGCCTGTCAATATCAAAGAAACCAAAGATATTAACGGAGAAATGGTTACCAAAAGAAGTTTTAAAATAAATTACCTTTGATTTGTATATAGAATTTGTGTCTGTTACAGATGGGTCAGTATGAAGAGTTACAGATGCAACTTCAGCCAACATATTGAGCATTGAGAGTGCATCTGGACCAGCACAAGTCACACCCCCCGTGCGCACACCTTTTGCAGGCGAGCGTGTGCGTGGTGTGGACACGGGGGATTCCTCTGGACGGGGTGCCATACTTTTATCAACTGTAAATAAATAACTATAAAAATTAAATACTGACTAATATAAAAAGATGTGTACCATATTTGTTATTTATATACAAGAAGGTACAATGGGTTATATTAGAAGTCTGAGTAACAATTGGGATATACATTATCACATAAGTAAACAACTTAGGTTGTATTATTCCTTTAAAATCTTGATAGTAAAAAAATCAACATTTGTATATTTTATTATGAGAGTGTGTAAACTTGAAAAAATTACATACACCAATCATATCTGGTAAAATAAATCTCCACCAATGTAACAACAAATAAAAATATGCATTTCATGAATTCCAGATTTTGCAAAATACCTAAAGGGGTCCCAAGTGATAATAACTCAAGTTTTCAAGGTTGCACTGTATTATACAAGTACCATACATTCATAAAGACTTCATACAATGAGCACTTACCAGCTGGATTATCATTAGGTCACAATCACCAAACTAAAAACAAAGTTGATATGGTACTTATACATTTTTTGAATGGAGCTTTTTATTTAGTCATTCTGTACTATGACCAAGTACAGAACTTAACTTATTCATTTAACAATACTGGAACAGTATTGCCTAACAAAATTAAATTACAACTAGAGCAAGATGACCATCCCATCAGAGTAATGAAAAGTAATGCAATACCAGCCAATTAATGTTCCTAAAAGAGTACTGGGGTATATTTCAGGTATTATTATTAATTAGATTTTATCTTTAAAATTATACAGTACAGTACTTTTTAAATGAAAAGGGCGAGTTACTTGTGTATAAAACTTTTTTTGGGGGGGGTTGGGGGGGGGGAGATATACAGTACTGAACCAAAAAAAACTAAAAACATTGTTCTTTCACATTTTATATAGAAATATGGTTTGAGTATCTCAATACTAGGTAATAAATGATCCCAATGTATTGAACATAAATAAAAAAATAAGCCTACTCAATGTAATTTTATACATCCGAGTCAAAATAAAATTACAAACAATAATTCCCTATTTTTGTCTGCATTGATTTGTGTAGTTTCCTCTTACAATGCTCCTGACAAATTTAGATCTACTGCACTGGGTTATGTTTCCCTCTTATTCCAAAATGGCTGCACTTATAGTGCCCAAACCTCTATTCTGAAGGCTGGACTAAAATGTTCCTGAATGTTAAAAGTATCATTTTGAGGCAATTGAAGTAACTTGTCTATCACGGTGAACACAAGTGTTCTCGCTAATCAGAGAAATTGTTAAATTATCATCAATAAGTCATCAATATAGCTTATAATTTGAAATTGGAATTGTAAACTAGATGTAGGAATGGTGTCATTTGTAGTAAGACAGCTCACAGCCAAGAAAACACTGGATAATATGCTTTAATTTTAAAATACACTACCTAGTCCTGGCAACTCCTAGAAAATATTAACTTGTTTTATCACAGAATAATGGCTCCTAAATCTGATCAAAACAAGTATGCACCTGCCAAATTTAATTAGCAAACCTACAGTAGAAACCAGGCTGTAAATCATTTAAATAGCATAATGTATTTAATTAAGGATCATTATGCCTTCCATTACCTGTGAATTGTGTGTAATCTATAAATTAGCCAAGTACACACCATGATAATAGACTTGTCTATATAATGTCTATGTTTACATTGAGTGATATAATGGACATGCCACAGAGGTCAGTGAGGGCAGCGACAGGAGGCACGTGCCCTGTGAGCACGAGTAACCCAGCACGTGCCCTGTGAGCACGAGTAACCCAGCACGTGCCCTGTGAGCACGAGTAACCCAGCACGTGCCCTGTGAGCACGAGTAACCCAGCACGTGCCCTGTGAGCACGAGTAACCCAGCACGTGCCCTGAGAGCACGAGTAACCCAGCACGTGCCCTGTGAGCACGAGTAACCCAGCACGTGCCCTGTGAGCACGAGTAACCCAGCACGTGCCCTGTGAGCACGAGTAACCCAGCACGTGCCCTGTGAGCACGAGTAACCCAGCACGTGCCCTGTGAGCACGAGTAACCCAGCACGTGCCCTGTGAGCACGAGTAACCCAGCACGTGCCCTGTGAGCACGAGTAACCCAGCACGTGCCCTGTGAGCACGAGTAACCCAGCACGTGCCCTGTGAGCACGAGTAACCCAGCACGTGCCCTGTGAGCACGAGTAACCCAGCACGTGCCCTGTGAGCACGAGTAACCCAGCACGTGCCCTGTGAGCACGAGTAACCCAGCACGTGCCCTGTGAGCACGAGTAACCCAGCACGTGCCCTGTGAGCACGAGTAACCCAGCACGTGCCCTGTGAGCACGAGTAACCCAGCACGTGCCCTGTGAGCACGAGTAACCCAGCACGTGCCCTGTGAGCACGAGTAACCCAGCACGTGCCCTGTGAGCACGAGTAACCCAGCACGTGCCCTGTGAGCACGAGTAACCCAGCACGTGCCCTGTGAGCACGAGTAACCCAGCACGTGCCCTGTGAGCACGAGTAACCCAGCGCGTGCCCTGTGAGCACGAGTAACCCAGCGCGTGCCCTGTGAGTACGAGTAACCCAGCACGTGCCCTGTGAGCACGAGTAACCCTGCATGTGCCCTGTGAGCACGAGTAACCCAGCACGTGCCCTGTGAGTACGAGTAACCCAGCACGTGCCCTGTGAGCACGAGTAACCCAGCACGTGCCCTGTGAGCATGAGTAACCCAGCACGTGCCCTGTGAGCACGAGTAACCCAGCACGTGCCCTGTGAGCACGAGTAACCCAGCACGTGCCCTGTGAGCACGAGTAACCCAGCACGTGCCCTGTGAGCACGAGTAACCCAGCACGTGCCCTGTGAGCACGAGTAACCCAGCACGTGCCCTGTGAGCACGAGTAACCCAGCGCGTGCCCTGTGAGCACGAGTAACCCAGCACGTGCCCTGTGAGTACGAGTAACCCAGCACGTGCCCTGTGAGCACGAGTAACCCTGCATGTGCCCTGTGAGCACGAGTAACCCAGCACGTGCCCTGTGAGTACGAGTAACCCAGCACGTGCCCTGTGAGCACGAGTAACCCTGCATGTGCCCTGTGAGCAGGAGTAGAGTAGTTTGTTTACACTCAACCCCCCCCCCAAAGTTACCCTTCAATGCTAATAGTCAAACAAAAAAACCTAGAAATCTCTGAACTCAACGCATAAAATAATTACCAAAATACGTATAAAGAAGCTTTACTACATATTAAGTTCTGGCTGCTATACAACTATTACTGGCGTCCCACAACAATGACAGGACCAGCGAGTCCTCTTCAGAATGGCCCCCTTGTCATCCTCTAATTAAATAATTACCTTTTATACAGTCTGCAAAACTTGAGTAGTAAACCTTAGGCGAGAGAGAGATGTGAGAGGTGTGAGGGAGGTGCGAGAGGTGAGAGTGTGAGGACCTGACTCAGGCCACGCACTCGCGCCAAATTCCTGCCTGAAACGCTTTGCGTAATAGTGGCTTTAGGCATTGTATGTACTAGCTCTATCTATAAATCCATCAATTTATGTAAAATCTCTTTGTATGTATGTACCTTACCTGAATAAACATTTATTATTTATTTAAATACACCACACTACCACAGGGACGTAACCCCCCGCCACCTACTTCTCTCATCACCTCTAGTTTAACTTACTTACTCCTCTGAAACGGTCGTCAAAGAGCACACAATTATTGTAATATTCCTTAAAGTTGTATAGTGGACGTAGTGCCTGAGAGCGGTGTGGCGGGGAGGTGAGATATGTGTGTGTGAAGGTCTATCGTCTGCTGGTGAGGGAAGTGTCAGGACGTGTTGTTTACCTCGCAGCCTCTCAACAGGTCCCTCTACCGCCTCTATTATGGCCTCCTCCTCCCTCTACACGGCCTGTGTAGAGCCTCACGCTTCGCCACAGTCTCCCTACACACCGCCGCCACGCTGCCCACATCTACCCAGCATCGCCTTAACGCGCCACACCAATAATGTCTAAAGTTTGGAGCGTGACCCCAGTTCGCGCGTCCCGTACAAAGCAGACGCCATTGTTGGCCGCCTAGCAGCCGACGCTAACTTGACAGATTGTCAAACTTTCTCTGTGCGGCACGGAGCTCTCCCTCTTGCTGAATCCTCCCCCACTGCCCAGATCTGAGATGCTCGTGCCACAATGGTTGCTGCGTGCCACTTACCTCTGAGCATCTCCTCCGTTTCCGTGGCTTTCCGACGAGTTTTCATTCTGCGAGTTTGTTTGACACTTGTCTCCTGGCGAGGGAAGGTGGCGCCACGTGCAGCTGCCTCCTCCTCCCTCGCCCGTACCTCCTCTCCCACACACTCACTCCTCTCTATTGCCTCTTATTAATGTGCCAATATCCTTTATTCTAATCTAATTCTGATATTCACATGTCATATAAAGTATACATTGAGGGGATATATTGAGGTTGTCGCGACACTGGGCGCCCCCACCGACCACGGCGGGGTCCACCTACTTGTTGCTTCATGGCTCCCACACCTCCACCACCATCGCACACACACATCACTGATATTAATTTAATGCCTAACGTTGTGTGAATAGTTTAAGGTAGGATGTATATAGTGCTGGGAACCATCTGGCGATATATTACGAGAGGTAATATGCGTCGCTGCCAACTCGGCCAGAAGGAAGAGGAAAGCGCGGGAAGGTCACTATGGTGGCAGACGATTTCTTTGTTCATAGTTATGGTGACCGTAGGCGGTAGTCGAGATGCCTTCCATTTTACCGATGCTTCTTGTTTATAATGTATCCGCCAGTATTATGTATTGTAATTAGCGCTATATATAACATATTATAGCATATATACACACAGCTGGTTTATTGGAATGCTCGAGCCATATGTTAAAATTTTGTAATGTTTATCACTTTCCAAAACTTAAAATCTATACTAATAGTTAAGAAACGTGGTGTAACTTATTAATATCATCTGAATTCGGACATGATAACGTTGCACAGATTGCTGAGGCAAGCAAATCATTGTTTTCTCAGCTGGGGGCGTGTGGCAGGGGGAGTATCAACACCCCTCACCACTGGCAACACACTTGGGTGCAATATACTCGCCAGGTAATCAGTGCCACTGAGAAAAAAAAACATATGTTACTTCTACACGAGTGTCTGATAAGTGCGAGCATTATCATTTTTACATCGTTACTTTAAAGAAGGTTTATTTTGTCTGGTAAAAAAAGACACAAGAATAAACAAGTTGTTATACATGCAACATGGCATCTGTTTAAATAGCGAAACCCTTCACATCAGCGGTCAAGTACCCTTTTACAACACTTCCTTTATATTATATTAAAGATATTTAGTTTTATAAGCATTGATACACATGAATATTGTTGATGTAGTCCTATATTTCTATTATTAAACATTCAATTTGCAAATGATTGATTCACTGATTGTATATATTTTACAATTTATTTACAGATCGAGTTGGACACGATATATACACGTACATATACACGTACATAGGTTATCGTTACAATTTTAGCTTATACACACAAGTCTGTCTGTTCAAAGTTGGAGGCCAAACGCTTAGGGGCCAGCCTCACCCTAATTTGCAGAGGAAATGGTCTGGTTTTATTTTTTTTTTTTAATTTTGCCCCGAGGGGCAAGTTTATTGGGCAGCGCCACTCATCTTGTGAGTGGACATACCGCCATAGCAGCATGTACAACACCAGAATTAAAAAAGGAATAGTGTGCCAAGGTCACATTCAGACTCCCACGACGATTTTCCAAGCAAACATTTGAAACAAAATTGTCTTTTTAGTAATATACACCATTCTTCATTGATATCAGAAAAATGTACAGAAATGTCTTGCTATCTATAATTTGCCCATAGTTGCATAAAACTAACGATCTTCACACAGTTCCAACGGTTTCTAAGTAAATCTGGTAAGTATTCCCATTTTTTAGTATTTTACACCGTTAAGCTCCTCTTGCCAGCAACCACCCCTCACACCTTTGGTAAACAATTATATTTTTTATATGAGAGTGTGACAGAGACAGACACAAACAGAAATAGAGGCAGAAAGTAAGAAACAGAGGCAGTGACAGTAGATAGACTGATAAAGGGATAGACAGATGAGTAGATGAATGGATGGATAGACGGATAGATATATGGATAGATAGTATTTTATAATGCACCACATACTCATCCTGCGAGTGGTAGTTTATAATGCACGCCATACTCGTCCTTTGAGCATTAGATTATTGCGCACTCCATTCTCATCCTTAAAGTGGTAGTTTATTATACACCTCATATTCATCTTGTGAGTGCTAGTTTATTGTACACATAATACTCATCCTGTGAGTGGTATAGTTTATTGTGCATCCCATACTCAACCTGTGAGCGACAGTTGATTGTAAACGGCCATGTGAGCGGTAGTTTATTGTGCATCCTATACTCATCCTGTGAGCAGTAGTTTATTATGCACCTCATACGTACTTACCTGTGAGCGGTAGTTTATTTTGCACACGGTACAGCGACGTCGACGGTGCTTCTTGCAGGTCGGCGTTCGATTCCTGGTACAGTATGTTAGGCATCGTTTCTTCCCATTTTCCTACCCTAGATCTTTATCCTCATATCCCTTCCACGTGTTATACAGTTATACTAGCTTAGCGTTTTCTTGTGATAATTACTTTGCCTAATTGTACTTACGGGGGTTGAGCTTCGGCTCTTTGGTCTCGCCTCTCAACTTCCAATAAATTGGTGTGCAGGTTCCTGAGCCTTTAAATTGGGCTCTATTATCCACAGTTTCGAAACTGTGTATGGCGTCAGCCTCCTCCACATATCTAAGAGTAATATCTAAGAGTATGCTCATATATGACACCCCCAGAAAAATTGTCATACTGAGGTCTCTTTCATTAAGAGCTTACGTACTTTACCGAATTTATCAGATCTATGAAGCAGTTAAAGGGCAGCATCAAACGAATCAACATGAACAATTTCTGGCTTCATCAATATTATGTGATAAATGTGCGACTGCCTTTACACTCAAACATATATATTTTTGTTATTCTAGATGCTCCAATCATTTGGAGTAAATGGTAGAGCAACGGTCTCGCTTCATGCAGGCCAGCGTTCAATCCCCGACCGTCCAAGTGGTTGGACACCATTCCTTTTCTCCCGTCCCATCTCAAATCCTTATCCTGACCCCTTCCCAGTGCTATATAGTCGTAATGGCTTGGTGCTTTCCCTTGATAATTCCCTCCCTCCCGTAGAGGCTTAAGCTTAAGCTTACAAAGCAGAAGTCTCTTGTTTTTTTGTTTGCAAACTAAGAGCTCTTCTTCTCACATCTTAATATTTGCAAGGTAAGAATTGTCCCTCCCATAGTTCAGTGTTTGCAGTTAAGAGCTCTTCCTCTCACAGCTCAGTGTTTCCAAGCTAATAGGTCTCTCTCCCACAGCTCATTTGATGCATTACTCTCCTAATTTTTCCCCGGAAGGTATTCCGCTAATCACTTTACAACCAGGATTTCGATTACTGTTGGGTGAACAGGAGCGTACAGTGAAGGAACGGTTCGTCGTCTCACTGGCGTTCCCGCTTGCAAGACGAGTGAGGGCACTAACCTTTTAACAAAGGAATTCCATAAGGAGTTCAGACCAAATTAAGGCTGGTTGTCATTTATAATTATAGTATTTGTTTGGAAAGTATGACACATTTAAGATTAAAGAAGTATGGAAAATACCTTTGCCTGGAGACTGGAACTTACTGTAGAAGTCCAAAGAATAGGCTGTCGCTCATTTGTTTATCGGTCATGGTGTAGTGTTGGGTTTGTGGCTTATCAACCTCTGGCAAGTTATTTGTGTGCAGGGGTAATGTAGAACTTTCTGTGTGCAGGGGTAAGCTAGGTAGAACCTTGTGTGTGCAGGGGTAGAGCTAAGGTAGAACCTTGTGTGTGCAGGGGTAATGTAGAACTTTCTGTGTGCAGGGGTAAGGGTAGAACTTTCTGTGTGCAGGGGTAAGGTAGAACTTTTGTGTACAGGGGTAGGATAGAACTTTCCGTGTACAGGGGTAGGACAGAACTTTCCGTGTACAGGGGTAGGACAGAACTTTCCGTGTACAGGGGTAGGACGGAACTAATTTGATATATTGTAGATAAAGTAATAAAACACACACAAATGATGAAAACATCAATTACCTTTAAATCATTGATCAGATAAGTAACACACAAAGGGAATAACATAAAAAATAACATTTATAAAATTGCATTTAAGAATAATTCAGTAACATACAAATTAAATAAATGTACAATATTTTACACCATAAAATTCAATTCTGCAGTTATAAACTGTACAGAAAACTTACACGACAAGTTCACAAAATTCAGTGAAAGAGGTAGAAGTGTATGGACATAATAATAAACACAACATTTGACATAATGTATTTATACGCCAAAATACGATGTACTATCCGAGAGGACGGTTTGTGCCCTGGCGCACTCCGATGTTCCCAGTGATTGGCACCAGTCCTTTTCCCCGACCTCATATCTCAATGCCTTAGTCTATCCTTATATCTCTCCCAAGAGCTATTTAGTCATACTGGCTTAGCGCTTTCTATTATAATTTCTGGATGTGTCGCCTAGCCTTAACATCCCGTGTGTCAGGATGATCCCTGCAAGACAGTACTATGATCGGGAGAGGTAGTGGGGGTTGGGCAGCCCGTTTTATCGATTTGCTACAATGTATAAAGTACAAAGTCCTATTTTGGACTTTGAAAATGTGGATGTTTGTAGGCCGTTATTTTTTATATTACTTTGCATTGTGTACGCTATGGACCGTAACGTACAAAATGAGATGTATTGACCAAACCACACACAAGAAAGTGAAGGGACGACGACGTTTCGGTCTGTCATGGACCATTCTCAAGTCGATTGTGAATCGACTTGAGAATGGTCCAGGACGGACCGAAACGTCTTCGTCCCTTCACTTTTTAATGTGTGGTTTGGTCAACATATTTCAGACACGTTATTGTGACTCCTCGTCTACAAAATGAGATGTATTGAGAGGACGGGTTGGCTATCTCCTCACAGCAGAATCTCTGGTGACGCCCAACAAGGTCTTCTTTATAGGGATCTTGCAGCTTTATCTCGTCTATGAGCAGTTTGGGCCTTTGCCGGCCAATGAGATTACTTATACTTATATCGCAGAAAGATCCCCTTCATTATTCTGAGGGGCATGAAGAGTCTCTCCAGTCAAACAATTTGTCCAATATATCTCAACCATATGTGAAGACTGCGTCATACATATATATGCGAAGGCTGAGCCATACCTCATACATTTATATACGAAGACTCAAACATATATAAATGAGGTGTATGTCGAATAAAATGGAGAGTGCTATTATCTGATGTAGCCTGTTCGACTTTATTAGATAGCGTAACTTTTTAGGCTATGGAATTTAAAATTTTTAGTTAAATACGATGCACAACACAAAACAGTATATTGGCACAAATGCGCTGCTATTGCAAGTCATTTAATTTCGGCGAAAAAAATGTCTTTTCACTATTTAGGCATACACAAATTGTTTAGGCATACACAACTTCTTTTGACATACAAATTATAGGAACATGCTCCGGCGGAAATTATTGCCGTATTGTCACTGGTTCATGACACAGAGAAGTACAGCTTATGTCCATACACATACTAGTTCCAAGTACATGTTAAGTTCTAGTTCATGGTACAGCCTATTATCATATCACTGGTTCATGGTACAGCCTATTATCCTATCACTGGTTCATAGCACAGCCTATTATCCTATCACTGGTTCATGGCACAGTCTAGTACTGTCATTGTTCCTGAATCTGTCTACTGATTCACGACACAGCTCATTATTACAATCACTGGTTGGTACCATAGTCTATTAAGCAATCACTGGTTCATAGCACAGCCTATTAGGCAATCACTAACTCATAGCACAGCCTATTTCCCGGTATTGGTTCAAGGCATCAATGTATCCTGTCGTTGATTCATAGCACATCGTAGTACCCCTGTTACAAATTCATAGTATTTCGTAGTATCATACTCTTGGTTCATGGTACAGTCTTGTATTGTTACTCTATGGCTCACCATAGTAGCCTGTAATTGATTAATAGCACAGTTTATAATTCTACACTAGTCCCTGGTACAGTGTAGTATTGTTACCCAGTTCATGTCACATTACTATCCTGTTATTGGTACTTGGAACATCCTAGTACCCTGTTACTAGTTCATGGTAAAACCTAGTGTTATTACGTAGGCACTTAATATTGATTGGCGTGCAAAAATTTATCTAATCTTTAGAACATCATTTATCTTAAATTTAAGCGTAATAACATTCAGGATATGACAAAAATTATTGAGTAGTGCATACAGGTTTGACATCAATTTAGAGGCATATAATATAATATATAAAAACATTGATTTACAGATTTCTTCTAAAAGTGATGAACATGTCTTGCGCCTATTTCTTAAAGTTGGGTGCTGTCAGCGGAACTCTGCCTGCTGTCATTCCTAGACCTTTTAACATTATCTCACATCTGCCCTGGAAGCACCCTAAATCAAACCTAATTTGGAGACATACCAGGTAACTCTGGACCTCATTCGCGTGAATAGAATTCAAGACACAGTGGCATATGACTATTACAATTATATTCAACATTCAATAGCACTAAGGAGGAACTTGCACCACCTGACTAGCACCACATCACTAGCACCATGGAGATCTAGCACTCTACCACACCAACACCAAGGAAAACTAGTATCATGATTCCCATCATGGGGATCTAATACTATCTACCACGCTAACAGCGTGGATGAATAGCACCACCACCACACGAGCACTCCAGCAAACAGTCAGCACAAGCTCCTCGAACTCACGATCAAACAGCTCCAGCGCACACTCGACCACATGACCAACCATCCCTAACACACACTCGACCACATGACCAACCATCCCTAACACACACTCGACCACATGACCAACCATCCCTAACACACACTCGACCACATGACCAACCATCCCTAACACACACTCGACCACATGACCAACCATCCCTAACACACACTCGACCACATGACCAACCATCCCTAACACACACTCGACCACATGACCAACCATCCCTAACACACTCGACCACAAACACACAAAAAAAGACCACAGGAACCTCAAATTGGTCTTCTTGCCTCACTTTTTCAAAGGATCCCGTAGTAGTACAGTCGGGTTCGTTCTCGACGCATAATCGAGAATTCCGAGTTCGAATGACGGGTTGGACAGAAATGGTTGGACAAATATTCTTTCACCTAATGCCTCTTTTCACCCAGCAACAAGTAGGTACTCGGGAGTTAGTCAACTTGTTGTGGGGTTGCATCCTGGGGAAGGTCAGTACTGTAGTTCAACTTTGGAGTGGCAAACTGCGATGAATCCTGTATTGTACATATTCTCTGAAATAGGATAAGGATTTATCGACGCAGACATTGAAGTAAATCGGTCGTTCTTTGGAAAACATTCTTTACGTAACTATTTTGTCTTGTTCATTGTAAATGACAGCACAACAGCCTCCTGTGGATACCATCATTATAACATCTGTGAATGTCATCACAAATAGCTATATAGCCTCTTGTGAATGACGCAAAATAGTTTATTGATAGCACGAAAGCCTGTTAATGCCAACATAATAGCCCCCTGTGTATAAGAATAAAATCCCCTCCGGTGGATAAAAACACAAAAAATTCTCCTGTGGATGATATCACAACAACCTGCTGAATTAAGTACAACAGCCTCCATTCTCGTGTACAATTATACCAAGACTAAAAGTCTGACGACGATGTGGATCATGAAAACTAATTAACCAAGTGCTGTTTGCTTAAAGCATCTAGTTCTTCACCATTAGCCTCGGTTATCTGAAACAAACATAACTGATATTCTGTCGAGACTTCCACACGATAACAGCATCTTCTATAATCTCCCACGAGTCAGTTTAAAGAAGACCTTTGTTTATGATGAATAGTCACTGATGTCACTAGTGGTGGAAGGAAGAGGATGCACTTGGAGTTACCATTTGATGATGCTGGAATTGGTTTTTGATGCTTTAGTTGGCTGTGAAATTACTTGGTGCCTTCGTTGAAATCCCTGAAAGAGGAATGCAAGTATCTGTGATAATAGAAGAATTTACAATTCATTAGTAATGTATCTGAATTTAGCTAGAAAGTTTATTAGTGAAAGTGTTCTTTTCTTATGAAAAATTATATGCTAAATAGTTACTAAACATATCACCATATAACGCAGCGCACACTTCTCGAACACACAACCAAACAGCCCCAGCGCACACTCAACGAACACACAACCAAACAGCCCCAGCGCACACTCCTCGAACACACGACCAAACAGCCCCAGCGCACACTCAACGAACACAACCAAACAGCCCCAGCGCACACTCAACGAACACACAACCAAACAGCCCCAGCGCACACTCAACGAACACACAACCAAACAGCCCCAGCGCACACTCAACGAACACACAACCAAACAGCCCCAGCGCACACTCAACGAACACACAACCAAACAGCCCCAGCGCACACTCAACGAACACACAACCAAACAGCCCCAGCGCACACTCCTCGAACACACGACCAAACAGCCCCAGCGCACACTCAACGAACACACAACCAAACAGCCCCAGCGCACACTCAACGAACACAACCAAACAGCCCCACCACGCTGTGTGGCGGTATATTAACTCACTAGATGAGTGATGCTGCAAAATAAACTCGGTCGTTGGGACAAAAGTAAAAAATAAATTAACAAATTTACCTGGAGGCTGTTACAATCTTAGCTTGACCTGGTTTTCCTCATTAGCTTTATATCGTTAGCAAACAGTGGCACAAAATAATAATATAAATAATAATATGATTTCCTCAGCTATTTCAGTTACACATAAAGGTCGGTACTGGTACGCAGGGTACCAGTACCCCACCACAGGGCGAGGGATGACGGATTGTGGGTGAGGTATGGTGGGTGAGGCGTGAGGTATGGTGGGTGAGGGGTGAAGTATGGTGGTTGATAGGTGAGGTATGGTGGGTGAGGGGTGAGGTATGGTGGGTGCCATACCTGAGAGTTCAACAGGTCAAGTGACCGGGGTGGGTGTAAGAGCGGCGGCGGTGTCCGAGGGTGTGGCAGCAGCAGCAGCCTCGTCTCCTGTGAACACAAAACAAACATAACACTCTTGTTGCCAATATATTAACCCAGTTACCTTCACTCGAATAGTTATTACAATGTATACCTGCTGCATATAATCAACATTAACATTGCCTACTTTTGGGATACTACGAACACACAATGATTAACTTGTATCATAAGAAACGCTATTGTTTTGGTATACTAAAAGCTGGCACTACATGTAAGCTGCTACTGCCTATAAGCTGGCACTGTTTGACACTGCTTGTAAGCTGGCACTGTCCGTAAGACTCTTGTTTATCTAGGACCATATATACCGTAACATTGACAAGTATCAAAAAGTCTAAGCAAATTTACAATTGTTTATAACTAGTTCCCCACACGCGTGAATTGCTTAGCTTATATAAAACATTCGGGGGTCCAGCTCCCATTATGTGACTAACCTTTCCAAACATCGCCCACAGCCTATAGCGCGTTATTTTAGATTGTGATTAAGAATGTAGCGTGAAATATGGCCATAATATTTTCCTAAAGACCTAATTCGAAAATAATGCTATAAGTGTTAGTGGCTTTGCATGAATGTAAAAATAACAAGTCTTATGTACTCTCACCAACCCATTGTACCTTCTTGCAAATAAAAATTATTATTACTATTATTATTATTTTAGTCATCAATAAACTATTGTTACTATGTTTTGACAGGTTGGTAATGTGGCATAAACCCTGGAAAAATTGTCTTGAATCTTCGACTCGACTTGATAAAATTCAGTATTAAGCATTAGAGACAACCTTGAACAAATCCACAAGGGCCGTGACGAGGCTTCGAACCTACGTCCTAAGGAGAGGCTGCAGGACCCGCGGTAGGTCAGGATGATTTCTCGGTTGCAATTGTTTTAACCATGTCGTAGCTCAATCCATTAAGGCCGCGTCTGGGATCCTCTCGGACGTAGGTTCGAACCCTCGTCACGGCCCTTGTGGATTTACTCTCCTTCCTTCTCCTCCTACTTATTTCCCTTACCTGAAGTTCCTGTACCCTTAAGTTAAGTATTATATGGTAACGGTTGTGTGCTAGCCTAGGGTCCAGCTCATCTAGCAAAGGACATTTTTGCACTGACTTGACACCCAGCTGGATCCCTTCACGATTAAGGTTAGTGTGGCCTTGTGTTAGGGGCCGTGCAAATTTTTTGTTTTTTTTCCAATTTTTATTTTTTAATTTTTTCTTTGGCTGGGAGCTAAAATTATTAGTGATGTCTTCTGAAATGCAGAAACTGGCAAGGGAGCCTTCAGTGGTAGAGATAAAGAAACTTAAAAAGTCTAATTTAGTATTGTTAGGCCAGGAATTTGGCCTAGAATTAAATGTCGCAGATAAAAAGTGGACTTTGGTAAATGAAATATTAGAACATTGTATTGATGAACAACTATTGGCAAGTGATACACCTTTATGCCAGCCTAGCCAAGCAGAAAGTGCAACTCATAGGGAAAGTGAATTAGCTTTAGAGTTAGCAAAATAAAATTAGAGGAGCAAAAACTCAAAACCGAGGAGGCTAGAATTAGAGCGAATGCCACTGGACCTCCACCTGCCGGGGATTCAAACCCCAGGCATTATGAGAAAAAGCATAATTTGCCTGAATTTTCCGAGTCTGACCCTGAAAGGTTTTTCAACCATTTTCAGAGAGTGGCCACGTCCATGAACTGGCCAAAGGAAGAGTGGGTGAAAATCCTACAGGGAAGACTTAGGGGTAAAGCACAAGATATTTTTATAAACATGCCTGACGACGAGTGTTTCGAATATGATAAAGTCAAGGAATGTATTTTGCGGGCATATGAAATTACTCCTGAAGCTCACCGCCAAGTTTATCGTAACCTTAGGCCTACTCACAACCAACCGCTCACTGAATTTGTGAATGATCAAATTCGATTGTTTGATAGATGGATTCGCTCGGCGAAAGCCGAAACATACGAGGCTCTCAGGAACTTAATTTTAATGGAGCATTTTATAGATGTTATGCCAGAGAATGTATCACAATACATTAAAGGAAGGATAGAGTTAAATTCTAAAATAGGGGATTTGGCCAAGTTGGCAGAGAACTACCAATTGGCGGGCAAAAGGCCCAATAAAAATAATTATACCCCACAGAGTAGCAAACCTTATACCCACAGCCAGTCCAGACCAGCTCATTCTAACCCTTTACCTAATGCACCTTCTGTTTCAGACATAACTAACCCTGTTAAAGTGTCTAGCCCAACGGCACCTAAAGGTGAACCGAAGGGTAATTCTGTTAGTAATGTCTCTTCTCCCCGACGTTTTTGTGGTCACTGTAATCGTTCAAACCACAATATTAGCCGTTGTTGGCAACTGCACCCTGAAAAAAGACCCAATGCTCTAGTTGTGACACAGGGCTTGAGGCTTTCAGAAGGGTTAGGGAGTAAGACCTCCAACCCACAGTGGTTGGACTTGCTTACCCCATTCTTATCGAAAGGGAGACTACTTTTGTCTGAGGGTTCTTCCTGGAAGGACGTGGTGATCTTCCGAGACACCGGTGCCATCCAGACTTTAATTTTAGAGAGTGCGTTGCAAGGTGCCAACACTCTCGACACTGGAGAGGTGGTACTGGTCGAGGGTGTCACTAGTGATACTCGGGCAGTACCCCTCCATAAGGTTACCCTGGAATCTGATTTCCACAAGGGTGTTTGTACAGTCGGAGTCACTCCATACCTACCTTTCCCTAATGTTGATGTAATAGTTGGTAATGATTTAGCAGGGGATAAGGTAGGGGACTCCAGACTGCCTATTATGTTGCCTACCCCTAAGGTTTGCCTGGATCCGCCCGCCGCAGAGGATAATGTTCTGTACCCTGCGTGCGCGGTGACCAGGTCTATGGGACTTAAATGTAAGGGCAGCCCTGTGCTTGCCAAGGTGGTAAATCCCGAGGTCACGAGGAGCTTTCCGAGTGGTGAAAACCAAGTGGACCTCGCGGACACATTTATGGCCCGACTCGATGACGTGGCCGAGGACATTGTGGAGAGCCTGCCACCGCCATCTACCGAGAGTAGTGGGGAGGTGGAGAACACTGTTGAGCCTCGGCCAATGGCATCTGACCAAGGCCTAGATGCCTCCTTGAGTGAGTTACAGAAAGCTGACCCCACTCTTGCAGATTGTCATGAAACAGCTGTCTCTATGGAGGAAATTGTAGACGCAGCAACTGGGTACTACTACAATGATCGGATTTTGATGAGAAAATGGAGACCACAGAGTGCTCCCTTGTCAAATGAGTGGGAGGTAGTCCACCAGGTTATGTTGCCGACCTGCTATAGAGAAAGAGTTTTGGCAGCTGCTCATGATGATCCTATGGGGGGACATCAAGGTATTAATATTACGTATCACAAAATTTTAAAGTATTTTTTCTGGCCCAAGCTGAAAAGCGATGTGGCAAAATTTTGTAATGCGTGTATTGTTTGTCAACTGGTTGGGAAACCAAACCAGACTCCACCTAAAGCTCCTCTAAGGCCTATTGTCGTGCCAGAGGAACCATTTTCTCATGTGGTAATGGACTGTGTTGGACCATTACCTAGAACTAAGTCTGGTAATATTTACCTAATCACGATGATGTGTATCACTACTCGTTACCCAGAGGCTTTTGCTGTAAGGAACATCCGAGCAAAAACTGTTGTTGCTCGTATGTTGCAATTTTTTTCCACTTTTGGACTGCCTCGGGTCGTGCAAACTGACAATGGTACTAATTTTAAGTCTGATGTTTTCGAGCAATTTTGTAAGGAACATGGAATAACTCATAAGGTTTCCAGCCCATACCATCCACAGAGTCAGGGGGTAATTGAACGTTTCCATCTAACTCTGAAGCAGATGTTGAAGACATCGTGCGAGAGTTCCCACACCTTCTGGGATGAGAATTTACCGTATGTTTTGTTTGCGGCTAGAGAGGGACTACAAAGTTCACTGGGCTGTTCTCCTTTTGAGTTAGTCTTTGGCCATAAAGTTCGTGGACCCTTGCAAATGTTACAGGAGAATCTGTTAGGGAACGTAACGTTATCCGAAGGTTCGGCTTTCTTTGTGCAACACCACCAGAGACTCAAGGACTGCAAGGCGGCTGCATTAAAGTATCTTGGCAAGGCCCAAGAAAAGATGAAAGAACGTAACGATGCTAAATCTAAGTTACGGGTATTTCAGCCTGGTGACCCGGTCCTGGTATTAAAGCCTCGACTAGGGAACACTATGTCCCACAAGTACGAAGGTCCCTACATTGTGACAGAAAAGACTGGGGACCTCACGTACAAAGTGAGGCACTCTGACAAACGTAACCAGGTAATGCTCATACATGTAAATCGACTGAAGAAGTTCCAGGGCCCCAGGCCCATTGCACTAACCAATGTTTCCATTTCCAGTGAGAGAGGGGATGATTGTTCTGGGGACCCAACTAATCTCATTTTCAATAATTCTAGTTCTGTGAATGCTGTGGAGGAACTGTCCCATTTGCAGATGGCCCAACGTGAAGAGGTGCAGTCGTTGGTTGATGAATTCTCCAGTCTGTTCGGGGAGGTCCCGACCCAGACTGATGCCATTTGCCATGATGTCGAGTTGACGGACTACACTCCCATTCGCCTTCAACCCTATCGGATGAGTCCAGAAAAGAAGGCCATCGTACGGAAGGAGGTCGACTTCTTGCTCCAGCACGGCCTCATCCGGCCGAGCCAGGGCTCTTGGTGCTCGCCCTGCCTTTTGGTCCCCAAACCAGACGGCTCCTGGCGATTATGCACCGACTATCGGCAGCTCAACAAGGTGACCATTGTGGATGCCTATCCGCTGCCCCTCCTCGAGGACTGCATCGACGAGTTGGGAAATGTCAAGTACGTTTCGAAATTCGACCTCTCGAGGGGGTATTATCAAATCCCACTCACTGAACGTGCTAAACAGCTCACTGCGTTCGTGACACCCGAGGGTGTTTTTGAGTATCAAGTGTTACCGTTCGGCTTGTGTAATGCCCCTGCCACGTTCCAGAGACTCATGAACTCTCTACTCGCTAAGGTGCCAAATTGTCGGGCGTATTTAGATGATATCGTGCTGTTTGACAGTAATTGGGCTGACCACATAGCTAGGTTACGCCAGTTGTTTGCCATCTTGAAAAGGGCAAATCTTACCTTAAATGCTAAAAAGTGTCATTTTGGCCAAGGCACAGTGACGTACCTCGGTTATGAAGTGGGCCAAGGAAAAGTGTTACCTCGGCAAGATAAAATCAATGCCATTCTGGAGTATCCAGTACTAAAGTCTAAAAAGGACGTTCAAAGATTTATCGGTATGTGTGCGTACTATCGACGTTTTTGTCAGAACTTTTCCAGTGTTGCCACTCCTCTCACAGACTTGTTGCGGAAAGCCGTTAAATTTAAGTGGTCATCAGACTGTGCAGAGGCGTTTAAAAATTTGAAATTGATCTTAGCTTCCGCCCCAGTGCTTGCTAGTCCAAGGTTCGACCGACCGTTTAAAATTCATGTTGACGCGTCTGACTCGGGTGCTGGTGCAGTGTTGTTGCAAACTGGGGATGATCAGGTGGAACACCCAGTATATTATTACTCTGTGAAATTCGACAAGGCGCAACGCAATTATTCAGTGGTAGAAAAAGAGGCGTTGGCGCTAGTGTTAACATGTAAAAAGTTCGAAGTTTACCTCACAGGTAATATAGTGGAAGTGTACACGGACCATAACCCACTAGTCTTCCTGACTCAGATGAAGGGTAAGAATAAACGCATCCTCAGGTGGGCGTTGTACCTACAGGACTTCAATCTTTCCATTACCCACCTACCGGGCAGACTCAACGTGATAGCCGACGCTCTGTCCCGGTTGCCTGAATAACATTCATCTGAGCCACAGAAAGCCATTTACCAACTGTCATGCTTTAGTTATTTTTTTTTTTAGGTTCTCCTGTGACATTAAATATTCCGTGTCCAATTTATTTACTTCCCTGTTCTTTTATTTTTTTTGTGTATGTTTTTTTTTTTTTCTTTCAGAGAACTCCTTTGTATTTTTTTTTTGCAGAGAAATTGCTTTTGATTGATTTTTTGTTTTTGTCATATGTTTTTCTTTTTGTTCTCTGTATACTCTTACAAAAAAATATGACTACTATTCTAGTAGTCACATTTTTTTTTCTCTGAAGGGGGGAGGAGTGTTACGACCCTGGGTTCTCCAGTGGAAACCAGAGGTCAAAATTGAGCTATTAAACTTCCTAAGTAGTACAGTTGGCGCATTTCGAATGGAAATTGTTTGTATCTTCCCTGCCAGACGTAAGACTATTATTGTTTCTCAAAGAGCATTTAAAGACTGAGCTGGGGGTTGATTATTAAATAATAACATAGGCACCAACTTTGCTTACTAATACTTTCTAATCATTCATAAAGTAACAATACGTTGCATAGGGGAAGATCTTTAATGTGCTTAGCTGCACGATCAATTAGGCTCCTTCCGGCACCACGACATGAGGGAGGCCAGGTGGTCGCGAGGAGCTCGCTCTTCTCTTGGCTGGTGGCGTGAGGTTAAGACCTACTCTATGGCTGTATCCCTACTCTCCTTCCATCTCCTCTTACTTATTTCCCTTACCTGAAGTTCCTGTATCCTTAAGCTAAGTACGGGGCATTAGTGAGTGTGCCTACTCTGGTAGTAACGATTGGGGAGACCTGGGGATAGTATTTTGCCAGTGTTTGGGTACCCCTAAGTGTTGTGTTTTGTATTAGGGTCCCACGTGGTTTCACTACCCTAAGCTGCATCCAGCTTCAGTGCTTATCCAGTAGTACTTTACCCTAGCTTGTTATTAGTGTAAACCTTGTATCCTGCCTACGTGGACCAAGGCTTTTAACGTAAGATAGTGTGGTAAAGTTATTATTATTATTGTTATTGGTGTGAGTGTATATGGGGGGTTGTTAACGGGTTAATAAATAAGTACATGAATTACAGAGTATCTCTTCTTCCAAGGTGGGAGTTCATTTGATGCATCACGTTATTGTGATTTCTGTGTTGAGAGACAGCCTTCTTGCAAGTCCGGCCACACGGAGCAGGCGTGTATGTGCGATGGATAACGGTTATAAACGAAAGTGAAGATGGGTGCATACCACTAACCAGGCCTCTTGGTAGTTGTGCTGTGAGGCGGCGCAACAGAGCCAGACCTGATGTGTTCCTGTTGGTCACCTGTGTACACCTGGTCACTTCTGTACACCTGGTCACCTTCATACATCTGTTGACCACAAGGCTCAACAGGTACACGACTATGAGGGTGTGTGTAATGAGATAAGGCGGTGCAGTGCGCATAAGGTGGCATACCGTGCGTAGCTGGGTACGGTACTGGGCCATGATGGTGCATGGTGTAGGTGGTGGAGGTGCGCGCATGGGTGGCTTGGCCGTGAAGACCACCAGAGACCAGACCATGGCGCTTGGTGAAGAGTGATGGCGGAGGTGGTGCGGCTGCGCAGGTTGCTGGGCAGAAGACGTCGTCATCTAGAGCTTCAACCTCGTGGTTGAGTGGACTGTCAGGGCTGGACCTCACTCTCCCGTTGGCACCTTCCTCACCTGAGACGGTCAGTCCACTGTTAGTGCCACCCTCCTTACCCGAGACTGTCAACCCTGTCAGTGCCATTCGTCACCTGAGACAGTAAACTCATTCGTTCTTCACAACAAACCGTAAACAATTGGTCTTACACCAACACTTACACAACTAATAATATCACAAATATTACAAGTTTACATGATTCTTGTTACATAAAGTAAAAATTAAGATATTCAATACAAAATAGACAGGTTTATCTGTACTTGCTAAAGCCCTTACAGGTGACACGTCGTCTACTCTCGAAATCTGATTTAAGGCTAACAGTCTACTGTATCAATGTATTCAAACTTGTGCGAGCAAATTTGCTGGACAGCTGACCAAGACATTACAGCCTATACTAGGCTACTGGTATAGCAACGTTGAGGACAGGAAGCATGTTAGTTTAGCGAGGTCTCTATCTGCATGTGGAACTCAACACTTCAAAGTCACTCTATAGATGACACCGGCTTTCTACTGTTAGGAAAATATCGACTTTAGCGTGGTAGTTCATCAATCATTGATAGCAGGAGAGCAAGTTGGTACAGTCATTAAAAAGTCAATCAAGCGTAAGGAAGAATCACCACTTGTATGTTCTCGCTTTGACTACTTTAGACAAATATCTCACCACAAAGGACTAAGCCAGTAAGTAATTATCAAAAGAAGGCACCAAGCCGGAAAGGCTATGTAGCACCATCAAGTGTGCGGAATAATCAGAGGGCGCTAAATATAACTAAGGATGCCAATATGAGAACAGACTAGTATGACTGTATAACACTATGAAGGGGTATGAGGACGAGCTGAGGGAACGGTGCCCTGCCATTGGACCATCAGGGACGTACTGGCCATGTAAAAAGGGAGGCGTTGCTTTAGCGACATGTTCAAACGGATGGACATCTCACCGAAAAAAACTATATATAGCACAGGGTGACGAAAATAGTTCCGGAACTAAGTCAACCACAGTCTATAATTTTTGACGGATGGGTTGGGATGTTTTTATAAAATGTTTGGACAATTTTGTTATATAATATTGACGACTAAGTCTAGGAATCCTTGAATGATAATTATGAATAACCTTACTTGGAGTTAATATTCTGGACTAATCAATACTTCTTTTACTTTACTAAGTTTAAATGTTTTTAATTAACCATACCGTTGGTGGCGACCTTGATGAGCTGGTCGAGTATCTGATCTGGAGTGCACGATTTCCAGCCCCAGTCCTGAAGAAGGTCTGGAGGGAGACAAAGCTTCACTACCGCCATGAAGTCCTCTCTTAGTCGCTGTTGTGGGTTGGGATCCTCTGAGGGCCTCGCACCACCCCGCTTCAATACATATACTAACTGCTGCTCTGGAGAACACGACCCCTGTTGAAGTTTGGACGCCTCGGGGACCGATAAGAGATCATTCAGCACAAGCCTTAGACGTCCCATGAAGACCTCATCCGTGTGTGTGTCGCTCGGCGTCTCAACAAAAGATTTATTTTGATGGCTTGTGAGGCTCGGCAAGTTGTTCTGGAGTTTTATGGAAGTCAACATGCAATGATGTTGTTGTCCAGCACCTGGTAAGGATGCAGGTCGTTTACTTGCTGATGCAGCATTATTAGTCACTGAAGGCAGTCGGAGAGGCGGCTCGGAGGCGGGTCTGTGGTGGTTGACATGACGAGAGCTGTGAAGGCTGTGGAGCTGGCCAGGGCCAACAACATGACCGTCTTCCAGTGTTCCTCCTGACTCTGTGATGATGTGATGTGACTCAGTAATCTCTTCCCCACGAGGCGCAGTCTGCTTATTGTCTTCATGGGAATCAACGGAATTAGCAACTTTTTCTACACTTTTATCACTATTCCATGTGGACACTTGTCCTGCACTAGTATTTACATTGTCCATACTAGACTCGTTATGTATAATTTGTTGACAATGTGTTAGTAATGAGGTACTTCGTTTATCTGTGTTATCTATGCTAGAAATGGATTTACATGCATCGTACATACAATCAATTGTTCTTTTCGATAATTCATAATTATTATAAGCTCTAGTCTGGGGAATAGCAGTGTCACTTTTGGACCTACTGTGCCCTTGTCCTCGCTGTGGTTTAGCTAAGGCAGCTTCTTTCCAAGCTGCTCCCGGAGGCTGATGGTTAAATGATGGTTCTGACGAAAGACAACGCCGAAAGGGAGGATGATCTTGTGATGCAGGAACTTGCGGACTTATTGTGGAGGCTTGATGATGAGAAGCATTAAGAGATTCTGGCCTCACCACATGTGTTCTCCATTGGACAGGATGCCCTTGTGGTGCTAAATTTTCACTATGATTGACACTAGCATATGTGTTCTCCCTAGGAGATAAAGAGGGAGGCTGAACGTGATGAGAGATGTTGCTCTCCATCTTTTGTCGATGAGGATCAATTACAGCAGCTTCTTGTCGCATAGTCGAAGTACTGAACGAATTAATGGATTTTCTTGCCTCAGGCGGTGGGCCTAGAGGGATGAGCTCCACGCAAGGTTTCGGAGGTTCCATAACTCGACGGGTCTGTATTCTCTCGGGAGGCTTATCTAAACCATCAGCAGGACGCTTTAAACTCCAGGGAGAGTCATAGTTCTTTAGCTGCTCGGGTGTGTATGGGGATCTCACTGGGATGGCAGTTCGGAACCTGTCTGGTGATGCATGAGAGGACATGATTGCAGCAGTCTGAGGCGATCTTGGTTTATGCCAAAGGGTATTCATAACAGACTCTGAGCGTGGGTCATAGGAATGCTTAGGATATGCCTCTGGCGCTCTCGGATGCATATGGCGATACTGACTTGAGGGTTGATGATTGTTTACGGAATAGACAGAGCCTGGCGCATGATGCATGTTGGAAGAATTGACTGGGATGTATACTTCACGAAGGGATGCATTATTTTGATGTTCAATACGACTTTGTAGATCAGGTCTACCTGGAACTTGACGTACATAAGAAAGACTTGCCAGTGTACCTGCTGGTTGTTCAGAGGATGGCGGGGGCATGCCAGGAGAGTCGCGGAGAGCTGTAGGAATTCCGTAAGGCACATCTTGATGTCTTGGTCGTGAGTGGTGCATGTCAGGAACTGTGAGGCGCGGATCATGGACTAAGACAGGTGCTTCTGATGGGGAACGATGAAGAGTTGGAGGAGGATACGAGCGGAGATCAGTCGTGTCCGGATGACCTGGGGAGCTGCGTGGTAATGTCAGCCGGTGGTCAGCGGGTCCCGGCGGGGCACCTGGACGCAACATTGGGGGTCTACTTATGAGGTGATATTTGCCAGGGTACTGCGGATAATGACGATACGGCTGAGGCTCTCCAGGTGGTATGTGCATGTGGTGTTGGGCAGGGTAAGCAGGGTCATGAGGGCGAGGTTGATACTGGTGATAGGGATGCCGGACTTCTGCAACTGCATAAGAACCGTCAGGAACGGATCGGTACACCGGGTACATGCCGGGGTAGACTCTGAACTCGGGGCGTCTCAACCTATGGCCAAGTGGTATACCCAGTGAGGAGGGCCGGACTCGCAGGTACTGCTGCTGAGCGGGAGTAGTGAGTGGGGAACTCACGGTCGCTGACTGGTGGCTGGGTGGTGGGTCATCCACTACACTCACCACAAGATCAGAGTCGATCCCAACGGCTGAGCACACTCTGGCTAGGATATCAACGTCTTCTTGTTTAGCTGGTTTTGTAATTTCATGCACCTCTGCACTTTCTGTGGCTTCCAGAAGTCGCCTTTTCTTAGTTATAGGTTCGATATCCCGACGACCGTTCTCAGTCACCAGAGGCTGTGATGGTGCTGGATAGTGTGTTGGTGGAGGATTGGTCGCGAGATGGCTAGTTTCTGTGTGAGATGACTGAGGAGGTGTTGGATGGTTTCTGGGTGATGAATTGGTCACTAGTTGGCTAGTCTCCGTTTGAGTTGTTGGTGACTGAATAGTTGGTGGAGGATTTGTTTGTGGTTGTATGGTATGTGGGTGTGATGCTGCTGGCTCTGTTGCTGACTCTGTTGCTGCACACTGCGTGCTGGGTCTCGATTTTAACGTGCTGTTGTCTTCAACTGGAGTGGCGTTGGCCATGGCAGGCGTGGAGTTTGGAAGTGTGATGGGCGGCGCGGAGCATGGAGGGCGTGTGGGGCAAGGAAGGTGTGTGAGCGGCGCGGAGCGTGACGGGCGTCTGGAGCGTGGAGGGTGTGTGGATGGCGCTGAGCGTGAAGGACGCGTTGAGCGTGTGGGCGGCGGTGAAGGTGGTGTGGGCGCTGGCAGAGCGTCGAACAGGTCACGAGGCTTGAGACGATGGAGGCTCATGTCGCCCCGAGACACTCTGCGGAACAACAACTACCATTACTATACACTCGTCATCATCATCAAATAAGAATATGAATAATACATTATATCAAAAGTCCGCCTTTTCAAGACAAGTGTGTGTAAAGATGGCTGGACGCTGGAACAGTAAGAACCTATGTGTCTTACAGCTCCATTTTTGTTTCCTGTTTTAAATTTTATCTGTTGTCGGAAAATCCGACACCATTTAATAATCATACAGATAATAGCTGTATTGTATAAACAAGTTACCCATAGAAAACATAACTTGTAGTGGAATTACCGTCTATAGAAAACGGGATATCATCACCACATACTATTATAAATTCACCAGCTATTCTGCTGGGAATTATTCTTAAATACATTGGTCTTTGGACTTTACCATCATAAAACATCTCATATAAATTAACTTAATTATCAATATTAAAGTAGAGTAAATGTGACCCTTCTATCACTTACTGTCATCTGGACAATGTAAGCCAGGCGTCAGTGAGGAAGGAGGGGCAGCCATTGTTTATACTGAGACCAGAGGCGCAGGGAGCAATTCGGCTCCTGTTAATTTTACTTGGACGAAGTGTTATGGAAACCAAAGGTGTACCATTATCACACGCTGTCAACAAATTCAAGTTAAGTGTTCTACCGAAACCCATTTATCTATCATTAGTGGCCATTAATGTCATTGGGTAGGGTGACCCGGTTAGAGCACGAGATCGCCTCATACTAAAGGTAATTAAGCCAGGTCTTCATTGTTCCATGTACAGTGTTTCTCTGATATACCTGTCATATATAGGATTCTGGCTTTACAGCTAGCGCCCTTTTGACAGGTCAAGACGAGGAAGCATGCTTTGTGCATCAGTTACCAGGGTGATGGAAGCTACCTCAAAGAGGGAAAATGTGGTGTCTACATCCTGGTTATACCTGGTGGACTAAGGCCTGCTGTACAAATAAGATAAGGAACCTCTTCAATGTTTAATAATGTGTAGTTAATACTGTAGTTTGATTGGCTGCATATATATAAATTAAATTAATATAAACCCCTAATGTGTAGAGGATCGATTTGTGAGATTAAGAGATTATTGCAGAAATACAGTCCACTTATCATCATACAAATTGCTATCGAAGTATATAAATTAACGTAAATATAAATTCTATATAAATTCATATAAATTAAATAAATATAAATCTCACAGGTCGGTTCCCACATCTGTTGCTAAAGTTTAGCTGTTGAAACCTAAGGCTGTCATTGTAGTACTCGAGTCCTGAGACTGTCTTTATGTTATATTACTTCAGAACTAAGACTATTATTGTATCACTAGAGATGTGAGACTGTCATTGTGGCACCTGAGACTGTTCAACACTAGACTTGCACAAAAGGTTGCCAAGTCCACTTGCTAAGTCCAAGTTGCCAAGTCCTAGTTGCTAACACTTGCACAAAAGGTTGCCATACTTAACCCTTAGGCTGCGACACACATCACTTGACATAAAGGTACAGAGGATCGCACTGTAACTAATGTCAAGTGATATTTACCACAGAAAATCTGAAATATTAGCTTTGATAATAAATCCCTATATATATATATATATATATATATATATATATATATATATATATATATATATATATATATATATATATATATATATATATATATATATATATATATATATATATATATATATATATTATATATATATATATATATATATATATACAGGCTGCCTGTTTCCGACAAAATAATTATAGCTATATAAACAGGCCCGTTCCACAGCTACACCCAAATACCCCCAGAGGTATATAATTTATAACACGTCATAATATATGCATTTTCAAATATCGTAATACAACCCAACAATGAACCATTTAGTAACGCAATGTTTGATAGACATGGGGAGTACTGAGGGTATCCAGGATGTTGTTATAGATTCAGCTACTCGGAACAAGTTCCAAGTAGCACGGGTTATGGTGAGCCCGTAACTTACCTGGCACAGGAGCGGGGCAAATAGCACGGGCTATGGTGAGCCCGTAATGGACTTACCTGGCACAGGAGCGGTATCCAGGAAGTCAATTACTGGCCATTAATATTGGCCATCCCCCCACAGGTGGTGTTGTGAGGGGCAGGAGTCTGCGGCTGGCGCACTCCACCCTTCAACTGTTGACATCATTAGTAATGTATAAACTTCGCCTTCCCGATGTGCTTCCTTCATTGCTATTCATATAATCGTTATAATTGCTATCATAATCAATATTATATATGTAGAATTATGTGTACTCACCTAGATGCTCTGGCACGAAAGAGCTAAGCATCTATTGCCTATACTTTGTCAGTTTCCTCTGGAATCTAGTATGTCATTATCATGTCCCCTGTATCTCCTCTCCTTCAATGTACTTAACTGGCAGTACTTACCCAGCAATGTCTGCAGGGCAGTGAGGTCTAAATCTTCATTCCCTGCCAACTAGCCTTCTTCTACCTGTTAGGTTGAGGAAGATCATTCTTTCAGTCATTCCTCACAGCTTAAGAACCAGCCATGTTGCATTCATTTCTAGTTTTATTTTTTTTAGATGAGGCTGTGTATAGGACCCGGGAGGCTCTTTTGTCAGAGTTTTAGGAGGAACACAGTTAGGGGAGTACAATGATGGGCAGGTGCTGATGTATACGTTAGTGTTTAGTGATCATATAATGTCTTGCCACTGTGGGTCGCCGCCTGCCCACACCCTCCTTGTCAACACCTGAGACAATAACAACTTTTCATAATGGTCTACCAACAGACATCAGACATAACACCATCTAATAGACTTACAAACAGATAATAATTATAACTCATGATGATGATCATCGACCATGATCAGCTACAATAACACCAGCCACCAGTGTTAACATATTCTAGCCCGGCCAACAACCCAAGCTGACTACTCTCCGCCATTGTCGGCGGTCATGAGCCAACAAGAATGTGTCGTCTCTCACGGGCAAGTGTTGACGAACACCGCCCTCAGCCAATATTATCGGCCCGGCCGCCACTCAAACTGGCTGCCTTGTGCTCTTGTGTTTTGTTTTACACTGGCTGCCTTGTGCTCTTGTGTTTTGTTTTAAACTGGCAGCCTTGTGCTCTTGTGTTTTGTTTTAAACTGGCTGCCTTGTGCTCTTGTGTTTTGTTTTAAACTGGCTGCCTTGTGCTCTTGTGTTTTGTTTTAAACTGGCAGCCTTGTGCTCTTGTGTTTTGTTTTCCTCTCCAAACTGGCAGCCTTGTGCTCCTGTGTTTTGTTCACGTCTTCCGGAGACACTTAACGCGTCGTCACTTTCAGTTTCATTTTTGTGAGTTCTTGTTCGAGGTTCTGGGCGTTTTTTTTTTTCATTTAAATTTGTAAATGTTGCTGCAATGTTTGCCGACTTGTCATATGTGGCTGACGTTATACTGTTCACATAAGCTTTTGTTGTTAGTGTTGGGATGGTATCCGCTCACCGGTCCATTTCTCTTATTGTTACTTGTAGTTTTTTCCCCTTGTGAATCAGCTTCCTTACAAATTTGCTAATCTTCTTTTCCAATCTGCATTCTCTTATATTTATTTGGATGGAACTTTATGAGCTTTATGAGAGTCTAAGAGTCAAAGAGTCTTGCCTTAGTGGCGCTGACGTAGAATTCAGTCAAATTTGCTAGGCATGATTTCCAGTCTCTGAATTCATGATGTCCCTAGACGTACGCTCTCCAAGTGATCCACATTCTATGCCAGATGACTTTTGCAGGAATTTTACATAGCAATGTGTGTTGTGGTTTTGAATAGATGTTGTGTCATGAAATTAGGATGACCTCAGTGATGTTCAGGGCTCAACATAATGTCTAGGACTGAACATAATGTCCAGGGTTAAACATAATGTCCAGGGCTGAACATAATGTTCAGGGCTGAACATAATGTCCTGAACTGAATATAACGTCCAGGGCTGAACATAACGTCCAGGGCTGAACATAACGTCCAGGACTGAACATAATGTCCAGGGCTGAACATAATGTCCAGGGCTGAACATAATGTCCAGGGCTGAACATAACGTCCAGGGCTGAACATAACGTCCAGGGCTGAACATAATGTCCAGGGCTGAACATAATGTCCAGGACTGAACATAAGAATTAAGGACTTACGAGTGAAACGCAATATTATGTGAATATCAACAGGAAATGACTCAGTTTAGGCTCCAGCACGCAGTTGCCAGGACAGGACGAACCAACGACTGATATTTCATATAATTTTCTTACTTGCGTGTTATTGTTAATCTTGTATTATCTTCTTTGGAATGTTCCCATTGGGTTGTTTATATGTATTTAAAAGTATATAGGGGATCCGGCGGTGTTCAGGTCAACCTCGACTTCGACGGGGTTGCCATGGGAATCGACACCTTTGGGGGGACAATGGGGGCCGACCCCGACCCGCCTGTAACTGTCCTCTAACACCCATCAGTCACCCTGCACAGTTTAATGAGGCTAACCTTAAGCGTCTGACTTTCACTCTTGGAGAAGTAATATTTTTTGTGTATTTCATCTTTACTTTGGCAAGTGTTGTAACACTCAAGGCATGCTGGGATTTTCGTAATTTTTTCGTCAATGACGAGTTAATCATGTCTAAAAAGATTGAACGATTAGGCAAGCACAGTAAAAACTGAGCCGTTTGGCAGTTATCGAGTCAGTAAATTGAACATTAAAGTATGATAAGAGTGATCTTTGTGTGACAATGTATACTGTTGACAATGTATACTGTAGTCTATATCTTGCAAATAATGTCTGAAGTATCTTGCAATATTAAAGGGAATGTCACTGATGCCGACGATAATAATTGTTGTTTAGTTTGTGTGGATTCCAACCCGTACTGGAAAACATGACTTTGTACATCGATTGGCCAATGAGGCTTGCACGAAATATACTGACGAAATATACGAATAAAATACTAACTTTAACTTTGTACTATATAATACATTATTAAAAACCTACAGATTAAAACAATTCTTTCAGATTTAGAATTAAAAAATACTCAAAGATTTGAAAATTGTTAAATAACTGTGATTTCGACAGGTGAGAGATGACAACATACACATAATTTGTCACTTGTTTTGACTTTTAGACCACTGAAAGCATCTCCCAAGTTAGTAAGCGGACTCTTGGAGGCTACAAACAAAGCTCTCAATCTAGTTCAGTTCTGTGTACAAATATTTGGAGTATATGTGTAAGTGTGATATCAACTCCTAGATCTTTCTCTCTGTCCGTTTCATGAAGGACTTCATCTCCAATTCGGAATCCTGTGCCTGGCCTCCTGTTTCCACCGCCTAGTTTCATTATCTTACATTTACTCGGGTTGAACTTTAGTAGCCATTTGTTGGAATGTTTGTCTAGGTCATCGTGTAGCCTCATACTATCTTCCTCTGTCCTAATCCTCCTCATAATTTTTGCATCATCGGCAAACAATGAGAGGAACGATTCTACACCCTCTGGGAGATCATTTACATATATCAGAAACAGTATAGGTCCAAGGACCGAACCCTGCGGGACTCCATTGGAGACGCCTCGTCAGTCTGAGACCTCGCCCCTCACAGTGACTCTGTCTTCTGTTACTTAGGTACTCCCTTATCCAATGGAGTACCATCCCCTTCACTCCTGCCTGCATCTCCAGCTTTTACATTAGCCTCTTGTGTGTACTGCGTCAAAAGCTTTATGGCAATCCAAAAATGTGCAGTCTGCCCACCTCTTTCTTTCTTGCCTGATTTTTGTTGCCTGGTCGTAGAATTAAATTAATCCTGTGAGACAGGACTTGCCATCAATGAACTCATGCTGATGTTGTGTTACAAAGTTCTTTCTCTCCAGATGTTTACTAGCTTTCTTCGCACAATCTTTTCCATCAGCTTGCATGGTATGCAAGTTAGGGACACTGGCTTGTAGTTCAGTGTCTCCTGTCTCCCCCTTCTTGTATATCGAGACTACATTAGCCGTCTTCCAAATTTTTGGCAGTTCACCTGTTACAGCGATTTGTTATACACTATGGAGAGTGGCAGGCACAGTGCTCCTGCTCCTTCCTTTAATATCCAAGGTGAGATTCCATCCGGGCTTATGGCCCTTGTCACATCCAACTCTAGGAAAAGCTTCCTTACATCCCCACTGGTAATCCCAAACTCTTTTAGTGGTTCTTGGTTATCTATTCTCTCTCTTATCTCTGAAACTTCTCCTTGCTCTAATGTGAAGATCTCCTGGAATTTCTTATTCAGTTCCTCGCCCACTTCCTTGTAGTTTGTAGTGAATCTGTCTGCCCCTATCCTTAACTTCATTACCTGTTCCTTCACTGTTGTTTTTCTCCTGATGTGGCTGTGCAGCAATTTAGGTTGAGTCTTTACCTTGCTTGCGATGTCATTTTCGCATTGCCCTTCTGCCTCTCTTCTCATCCTGACATATTCATTCCTGGCACTCTGGTATCTTTCTCTGCTCTCAAGTGTCCTGTTATTTCTGTAGTTTTTCCACGTCCTTGTACTTTGTTGCTTTGCTAGCTTACATCTCTGATTAAACCATGGGTTTCTCATCTGCATTTCAATTTTGTCCTTTTGGACTGGGACATACTAGTCTGCTGCCTCCTTAAACTTCTGCGTGATGTAGTCCATCATGTCTTGCGCCGTCTTTCCCCTGAGCGCTGTTAGGAATTTTCTTATTTCCTCATAGTTTCCCTTTAGGAATGCTATCCTTTTGTTTTCAGGTCCCTTCCTTGAGTTCATTAACCCTTCTTCGACCAGATACTGAAACGTGTGTGTGTGTGTGTGTGTGTGTGTGTGTGTGTGTGTGTGTGTGTGTGTGTGTGTGTGTGTGTGTGTGTGTGTGTGTGTGTGTGTGTGTGTGTGTGTGTGAGTTTGCATGTGTGGGTATGTATGCTTGCGTGTAGATGTGTTTTTTTAAATGTATGTACTCACCTAGTTGTGCTTGCGGGAATTGACCTCTGGCTCTTTGGTCCCGCCTCTCAACCGTCAATCAACTGGTGTTGTACAGATTCCTGAGCCTACTGGGCTCTATCATATCTACATTTGAAACTGTGTATAGAGTCAGCCTCCACCACATCACTGCCTAATGCATTCCATTTGTAACGACACTGAAAAGATTCTTTCTAATGTCTAATGTGTGCAGTTGTGTACTTGAATGTACAAGTGTAGGGTTGCGTGAGTGTGCTTGCTAGTCCAGGTGTGTGCTTGCGTGTGGCGGCGTGTAGAATGAGAATTGTGGTGACGGGGTCAGTGGCGGAGTGGGCTGAGGGTTAAGCCGCTGGTAACCACAACAGTACTGGGTGCCTGGAGACACGCCCGCACAGGCCAATTCAATTGCTTTCTTTATTATGCACCCCATACCCATCCCGTGGGCGGTGGTGTAAAGGGTTACAGAGGCACATAATCGGTTCAGGAACTGATCCCTCTAG